CTAAAAAATTCTCAATCCAGCCTCCCTCCCTCTCGTCTTCATCTGAGCCGCAACCCTTCTCTGAGCAGCCGCCCCCAGCCCCGGCCGCCCCGTCGCCGTCTCCAGCAGCCTCTTTTTCCCTTCTCTCCATCCCGAAAGGCGAGACCCAGCCCTTCTCTCAATGCATTAACCGGTATTCGAGACCCCAGACCTCGGGAACGGATCAGGTCAGTAACCTTATGGTGAGTAACCATGAGTAACCAACCAACATCAGCATCCTCTCTCTCCTGGAAAGCCTTTAATTTTCCCCTCTTTAATCTTTGACGGACGATTTCTCACTCATTTTAAATCAAAATTTAATTTTTTTTGCACAGTTAGATCAGATTAATTGTGCTCTTCAAAATGATATTCACTTTAATATATTTTTCGAACAAAAAAAATTGAGTCATTTTTTACTAGTCTATACCATATGATATTGACTGGTATTGAAATAAAAGCATACCTATGGTTTGAAAAACGTACCATGGTGGTATGAACAAACCAAGACTGTAGGATGGTTGAATACATGATAGTAGGAGTAATTAATTGTCATTTACGACTTTTAACATTGTATACCACACAATACCACCCCGTACCAGGGTGGTGTTGTATATTGTGTAGTATTTTTTGGTCCTGTAATTTGTTCACCCAGAAATTTGTAGATCCAATAGATCACGATGAACTCGTCCCTTGTGTGCAAACGTTTTCAAAAACAAATTAAAAACGAAGAATATACCATACAATACCACCCCGTACCAGGGTGGTATTGTATGGTACGGGGTGGTATTGTATGGTATTGTGTGGTATTTTTTGGTCCTGTAATTTGTTCACCCTGAAATTTGTAGATCCAATAGATCATGATGAACTCGTCCCTTCTGTGCAAACTTTTTCAAAAACGAATTAAAAACGAAGAAGATACCATATGGTATGCAGTTGGTACCGAGAGGCCAGAATTTTTTTTTTCTAAAAAAATATTGAAAATTGTTCTCATTTGGTAGAGCACGATGAACTCGTTCCATCTGTGCAAAAAAATTAAAATCCGAGTTAAAACGAAAAAGATATGAGCCAATTAAGAAAGCTAGAAAACATAAAAATGGTCCTTAATTTTCCATCCTTGGATCTAGATTTTCTAAATAAAGGATCCATATTTGGTTATTGATGGATGCATAACCCATGGTTATGCACCCTATCTTGAGCCCCAGACCTCCATCGTGCTTTATTGCGGAATTATCAACTTCAAAATATTCATCCTGCATAGGAAAGTAATTATTATTGGCAACGTAAAGCAACTCTGTAAATATCATTGAAGAAATTTAACAGAACAGATACTAACCAGTTCAACATCATCAACAAAAGAGCTAGTCTTCTGTATCATACCGATCATAATCGGGGGCATCTTTCAAATCCTCATCATCACTGCTATCCTTCCCCTGAAACAGATCACATCAACTATGGATCACCATTTATAATTTTAATTGCATTGTTATGTAAAACCTGGAACAACATATTACCATGTAAAGGCGTTCAATCTTCTCAATAACAGCACTGAAACGATGAGGATGAGAAACTTGCTCAGGAAAGCAAGATTAATGAGTTCTTTGACCATTCATGTTTCTACCTAGCCTAGCCCAATATTTTGAAGTTGACAATTCCCTTCTCTCAATGCATTAACCGGTATTCGATATACCGGTATTAATACCGGATACCGACTATTCGGTATTCGGTATACCGGCTAACATTCGATATCGGTATTCGGTAGGTACACTGTCTGTTTCCGGTATACCGGATACCGACCGATTCAATTGTCAACTTCAAGATTAGCAACCTGGCATCACATGATAATACTGCAAGATTAGCCAACCTGGACGTACGTCTAAACCATGTAACGTGAGGATAGGCATTAATTAAGAGCCATACGACCAAAAATAATTGTACGCTTGGGGTGAGGAAATTGCCAGAAGGTAACGAAGAACCAAGACACATGATGCCGGGTGGGACTTGTCTACTAGCACGACTCTGATATTATTATTGGTCTAAAACGACAAGCTTAATGCACAGAAAACGACAAGTAATCCGCAGAAACCAAAACTCTCATCATCTACGCAGCATTTTTGAAATAAATATTCCAACAATCCGCCTCGTGTTAGATCTAATCGCATTTATTGTTTAATTACTTCAAATCTAACAGAATCAAAGATTTTGTACCGAGCCAAAGGTCACACAGTTTAGCGGTGAAACTCTTAGTGGACGCTCATTTCGAAAAGTGACAGATTTCATATTCGAACCTCACCGAGTCCCGTTGTGGTGCTCCCAGAAATATTTAATGGGGATTTTTTGTGGAGGACCCGAAAGGGCTCAAGCAGGTGAACCACAAATTTGGTATAAAAGAATAAAGAATTTATTTCACATCAATAACAACATGTATTTTAAAATTAAAATATTTTTTATTTGAAATATCATAGTGAAATCTTCAAAAAAAATACATAGAACTAAACTGTAAAATTAATTTAAAACACACTGTAAAATCAAATTAAATTAATTCTTTGCAGATTTATACCTTTTGAATAATATGCACTTGACTTTCCCTTAATTTTTATTTATTTATTTATCATGTATTACTTAGTAATGCTTTCTCCCTTGCCATCTCAACAAGTTGATTTCTAAGGATTGATGATAATCTTAGCTTGCTGGAAATCTTGCTTTAAAATTTGTATATCTTCCCATCTAACTTCCAATAATAGTTAAGCCCTTTACATAAAATAAACCAAATAAGCTCAACGACAAAAAGAAAAGGAAGATAAAGAGGAATAACGTAGAAGAGCAAATAAGAGGTGAAGAAACCAACTTGCCAAAAAAAGTCATTTTGTGTAGTTATCAACGATAGTCATTGACTTTAGTAGAAAGAACAAAATTTTCAAAGTTGAAAATGAAAAATGAGAAGTCTGGAGGGGAAGAGGACAGTTGGGAAAAACAAAAGAAGAGCAATAATGGTCGAACACAAGATCCAGCTACTATAATGTTAGCTGAATGCATGCAGTTGTTACAAAAGGGTCGTTATATATGTCATTAATATCCATTAGTTAATTAGATATGAAATTCAGTTGGTAATTCCATCTTAATTACTCGAATCGTTACAACTAGCTGGTATCGATCCCGTAAAAATTAAAATTCAAAATTGAAAATGAATTCTCTTATATTGAACAAAAACTTTTAGAATTCAGTTCGCTACACTAGAACAAGACATCATGACCTATTTTGCAAGGTGTGATTATGATATTTTATACATAACTTCTTTATAATTTCCAAAAATCTCTGATTCATTTACACATAGAACTTCAAAATTTCTGAAGAGCGAGCCCCCCCGAGACTCAAGGTAGCTCCGCCCCTACAAGGTGTCTATATTATTGCTACTCATATCTACGTTAGTATCTAGCAGATGAATCAAGGTTTCATTTATCGCCATATTCTCGATCACCCTTACTTAACATGGGACTATTCATGATGGTGTTGCTTGAACTCTACTTAAGTTACTTGGTGCTAACATTGCAACCCATATAGGAAAGTGCCTTTAATCTCTATATTATATGCTCCATGCTTGACTAAAAATATGGAAATAGGATGGGTGATCCAACTACATATAAAATATATTGAAATGCTTGGGAAAAGAGCAGGAATGCATGGAAATAGGATGGGTGATCCAACTACATATAAAATATATTGGAAGGCTTTGGGAAAAGAGCAGGAATTTATGGAAATAAGATGGGTGATCCAACTACTTATAAAGTATATTGAAAGGCTTGGGAAAAGAGCAGGAATGATGTTAGGATACTGAATATTTGGCAATGTTTTCGTTTGTCAGAACCGAATCGGAGCATGACCCGATAATGCGAACGGCTCGCACTTTAGTGGTCCAATCGGCATTAGATCATGTAAAAACCGTTAGAGAACCGGTACCTAATAAACGTTATCAGTATAAATAGTGGACATTTCTTAATCAGAGCTCATCTCTTTCCTTCGAAATTGTGAAATGGAAATAAGGATTCAGTTTGAGAGCCCGACGTTTTTGGTTTATTTCAATTTTCAATTTCCTGCAATTTTTTTGTATTAAATTTAGGGGCTGAATGGCAAAAACCGGACGAGCGGCTCGAATGGTTAACCGCCTCAGCCGCTCGCCAACCGCTACATAAAACTGGAGCGACTTTTAGACTGTTCCAAGACGATTTTGTGACCGGGTGACGGTATTACCGGTCGGGTCGAACGGCTTGGTTCGGCTTTAATAACACTGATATTTGGTATTCGGACTTTGGATCCGTGCTCGACGTTCTCGAGTAGAGGCTCACCTTACTAGCGAGAAGTATCCCAATATACTACTAAAACTACTAAACTAAGAACGGGGCAAGCAACATAAATTTGTTTTTAATTTTCTCATATTATTGTTCATAAAACAAAGCCTATATTTTTAGAGTTACACAACTAAATCTCTTTCCTTCTCACCCTAGTCTTTAGCCTCTCTCCTTTTCATTTTCCTATTACAAGAAATATTAATTAATTACTAAACAAGAACTAACAAAACTCCTAATCCCACTAGAACAATTAAAGCAATAAACAATATTAGTTTAGAAAATAATAATACAATACCAACTAAACAATAAAAATAAACGAGCCTTAAAATTCCTAATTTTAAACGATAGCTCGTCTCGTAACAAATGAGTGAATTACAAACATCCCATAGTTAACGAGAATCGATCCAAACGTTCGAGAAGTGAGATTATTTCGTTCCGATCTGCAAATTGCAAAGGACTTAAGTGACATTTCCGCACAGCCCCTATATAGAATTGTGGATCACTCCTATGTTTCTTTTTTAAATACTCATCAATTGGTCATTTTTTATAAGTGAAGATCTGCAAATTGCAAAGGACTTAAGTGGCATTTCCGCACAGCCCCTTTTCACTATATAAACATCGCCATGGATGCCTAAAAGTCCATACACAAATACAAAGAAGCTACAGACAGACTTTCAAAGCTTCGAATCACCCATTGCCAAACTTAAATAGCTTTCTATCTTTCTCTGCCACTGCCAACCCAAATGGCCTCCACTGTCGGTGAAGTGATCACTTGCAAAGGTATAAAGATACGGTGTTTCGTTGCAGTACGCTTTTTTATTTATTGATTGATTTATTTATTTTGAATCTGATTAATTTGAGTTGTTAAAAATATTTGAATTCTTACTTTTATATGTCGTTCCTTTTTCTTAATATGCCCGTCAACCATTATTTATACTGGTAGCCGATCATTACAAGAATTCGAATAATAGACCTATCGATCAAAGACTTCGGTACGATATTAACGAATCATTTAATTCTCCATAACTCGAATTATTGAAAAAGATTTTATTCTTAATTTTTACATGGGGTGATATTGAATAATATGTAGAGAAGGGGGAAAAAACTATTGAAAATGATATAGGGAAATGAAGCACGTAAAGTAAAAACTATTTGTCCAAGAATATGCAAGATCTACTTAATTAGACCCAATTGTTGTGTCATGTGTGGAAGCGTTCATAAAGCAATTACTTAATTGTTTCTCTGCCTCACCAGCAGGCAGAATGTGTGTTATTAAGTATATTAACTATCCACTTGTATCGTTAAAATAGCTGCCTAATTTTTTGGCATGTGAAAATTTCTATGCATTTGTGCTTTTCCTAGTGCAAATATATATCAATCGCTAAAATTTTACTTGGGTTTTGACGTGAGAAATTCCCTATGTATATCTTGCAGCGGTCGTGTGTAAGAAAGTGCAGAAACCCGGGCAAACGTACAACGATATAATCGAGGTGATGGATATACAGGTGGATCCGCCGCAAAACACCGAGATCAGGGTCATGATGCTGTCTGCCGGTATCTGCCACACCGACATTTCAACTATCGAGGGCTTCATGACCACGGTATATTTTCGGTCTGGGTATTTTCTGAATATTCCTAGTTTCATTCCACAATCATCAAATTGTAATGTAATAGTTTCTCTTGGTTTAATTTGGTCCATTATGCAGACGAATTTCCCTCGAGTTCTGGGGCACGAAGGTGTTGGGTAAGCTAGGCCATGAATTTTAATTATTAATTATTAATCAATTATAGCATTCTAAGCAATATTAATTATTAATCATCATAGATCTGTAAATAAAAGGTGTATTATGTCATCACCAGATTTCTGTAGAACATGATACGTACCCCAAAGTTAATATTGTCCATATCGAACTCTACAAATCTACAATATGTCCTATGATTTTTGGACATAACGACGAGATCATATCGCCCTAATAAATAAATAATATAATTAGGGGTGGCAGTTCGGTTACTGGTTAACCGGCCGGTTATCCACTAACCGGTAATCGAAGTAATCGAACTTCGGTCGGTTATCGGAGGCTAGACGAAATAGTTTTTTGTCTTAAAAATGGGTCGGTTAACCGATAACCGAGATAACCGAGAAACCAAAGCCTATTTTGGGTAGTTTTCGATAGAGGGAGTGGTTATTTCGGTTAACCAATAACCGGCCAATCAGTTATCGGTTATAACCGAAATGTCACCCCCTAAATATAATAATTACAATGATAGACCAGAAAACTCATGTACTTTTTTTTTTCTTTCTCGTTTAATGATGAAGAATCGTGGAGAGCATGGGACCGGACGCGACAGGGTTCGCCGTCGGCGACTACGTGATCGCCCCGACGTACGGCGAGTGCGGGACATGTGGCAGCTGCCGATCTGGCCGGACCAACGTCTGCCAGACGTACGGCGCCAACGAGGCGGCCCTCGAGCCCGACGGCGACTCCAGATTCTCGTACATCGACGGCGACGGCAACAGGCAGATCCTCTACTACTTCCTCGCCTGCTCCACGTGGACACAGTACATGGTCGTTGACTCCAACTACGCCGTCAAAGTCGACCGCAACGAATTCGCCGCCCCGCAGGCCACCATCCTCTCCTGCGCCTTCACCACCGGCTACGGCGCCGTCTGGCTCGAGGGCCTCGTCTCGCCGGGGGACACCGTCGCCGTCTTCGGCGTCGGCTCCGTTGGTCTCTCTGTAAGTGATCTCCTCCGAGTTTGCAAAACTGCTACTCTTAAATAGTGTCATGAACCAGTTGGTCCCAATAACTCGAGTTGTTGGGAGAGGGTTATGCAACTTATGAGCTTGAAGTTTGCACAGGCCCAACCCTACCATGTGCTTGAAAGACAACGATTAATATTGGGGGTCGTGAGGACTTGAACACGTGACCTCACGAACAAACCAACTCTGATACCTTGTATTGAACCAGTTGGTCCCAATAACTCGAGTTGTTGTGAGAAGGTTATGCTGGATCTTATACAGGCCCGTGTGTGGTGCTTAACCACTTCCTTACAAATAGATATATTGTTGTGAATGCATATGTATAGTATTATACGTGTAATAATGCAATTCAAAATCGCGTTTTAAAACTTTAAAAGCTTACGCTTTTATCTTTTTTAGGTCACTGTAACGCTTCTATCGAGAATCGTGATTTTCCTTTATAAATGTAGTCAATATCTACGCTTTAAAACTTAAAAACTTACGATTTTACGCTTATAGGTCACCCAACCGCTTCTAGGTAGAATCGCGCTTTTGACTAGATTGACGTGTCATGTCGAATTTGATGCATTGTGAATATACAACGTTTGGTATGTGTGATTGTGTGTATGTCACACATCAGCTAAAAACCGAAACAAAACAATCTTAACTCAACAATCACAACTAAAACCTGAGATATATTACAATCACTCATTTTAAGTGATAGTTTTGTCGCATAACAGAAACAATCCATGTATTATTTTAGCTAAAAAAATATGCATTTCTAAACAATACATATGGTAACAAACGAGTCCTCCTTGGTGGTCTTGAAAAATCATTAATGTGTGTGTTTTAATTGTTAAATATGCAGTCTGTGATAGCGGCGAAGGAGCTCGGAGCGACCAGAATCATTGCGATCGACAGGAACGAGCGGAAGAGGAAAGTGGCGTTGTCTCTAGGGGCGACCGACTTCATCAACACCGTGTGGTTGGAGGGTTCCGTCTCCGACAAAGTGAAGGAGCTCACCGGCGGGATCGGCGTCGACGCCTGCATTGAGGCCTCCGGCTCCGACGGTCTCATGAACGAAGCCTTGAAATCTGCCATCGCGGTATATACCACCACCACAACTACAAGAAACCACACTTTTTGCGACCACAAGAAATTCGTCGTAAAAAGTCGCGTTTTTAATCTTTCTCCCATTGTGCTTTTTGGCGACGGACGGTGATCATTAGGGCAAAAACAAGACGGTGATTTGCGGGGCGGGAATCTTTCCGGGCAACAAGCTGCAATTGGATTTCTCGACGTTCCTGTTCGGGAACAAGCTGGCTGGGTGTATTTACGGCCGGGTGAAAATAAAGTCCGACCTCCCCACTGTGTTCGAGAAGGCCAAACTGCCGGTATATCCAATTTAAATTTTTTAAACCACATTACTCTTAATTAATTCATGACTTATCAATTTCATTTCTAAAATGTTTAATTTGGATGGTCGATTTTAATGGGCACGTGCAGCATATTAGGGATGGGATCAACAGGATTCTGGCGTACGATGAGGAGACCGGGGATTGCGGGTTCCAGGTGGATATCAGGGACGGCAGCGACGCCATCTACACCGCGCTGAACGACTATCTGGATGATAAAGATTCCATCAAAATCGTCATCAAGCTCAACGATGATCCCTTCATTATTATCCCCAAGGAAAACAAAGCTGGAGTACCGGAGACCGGTGTGGAACAGGATTCGTGAACATGCGGTGTGCAGCTAACTACTACGCGCGTACGTACGAACGAACCTACGTACGTACGTAGCAGTTGTGCATGTGTGTGTTTTTCAGTATTTGTACGTAGAGAGACGTTGAATAAATCGATACATGGTGGGTGTGTAACGTACGAATGTAATGTCGTCATAGGTACACATACCGTGATTGCTTGCGCGTCTGCGTGTTTCAATATTTTCGTGTTGTTGTTGTTGTTGTTGATGATGTGTTTTGTTTGTTATTTCGTGAGGTTGTGTAATTCGTTGCAGTCTTTGTGGTGCGTATAGCCAAGATATCAATAAACGGATTGCTTGTAATTTTTATTAGACTATTGTTGCTCGTGCAAAGCGTAGAAATTATTGACAAATCATTTATTTTTTGGAGGAAGCTTTGGTGATATTCCGATTCAACCCCGCTTTGAAACCAAAACCACAAGAACCAGGACTTGCAATCTCGGGGTGTTCAAATGATTACCATAATAATTAGTAATTATCAAATCAAATAAGGTAAAATTCTATTAAACATGGAATACTATATTATAAACCAAACCGTCCAAACTAATACAACAACTAAATTAACCAAACTAAAATTTAATTGGTATGATTAATCGGATTAACCAATATAACATCACATTATCATTAAGTGGGAAAAATTTTCGGTTAATGTATCAATTCACAATTTATAAACATTGCAGAAATACATGCAACAAATACAATTATATCTTACAATCAATAGAAATAACAAAAATATATGTCAATAGTATGGAGTTAATTAATTGTTGGGATTGTGTGAATTGAATTAGTCTCTTAGCAATTATCATAGATTGAAAAAAAATTTCTTTCAAGTTTTAAATTATCATAGCTACCTCTCTTATCTCACACCACGAGCCAAAGATTGCTGAACCTGGAAAAGTGAAAATATTGAAAAATCAAGGTTAAACGTCAAGAACTTAAAATTGCCACGAAAATTGGACCTATTTGTTAAACTTAAAAAGTTTAGGTACCAAAATGTAAGACCAAAAAATTTAAGGCACTAAAATGTAAATTTATGTCGATATTTTGAGGACTTATACAAAAATTAAGTTTAGGTACTAAATATGCATATCTATTAAGTTTAGGTATCAAATTGTAATTTGCATTTGGACATGGGTACAAACCCAAATCCATTTGTAAAAAATCCAACCCAATCCAAGTAAATGGGCATGGATATAAATCCATCAAACTCTACCCATATCCGTCTATTTGAATTTTATACCAAACTCAATTGGGTTGGATAGTAAAATAATCATGAGTATGGGTAAAATTGTCATCCCTAGGCACAAGCCACAATGGAGTTGATTCGTATTGATAAAGAAGAGATCGATATAAGGATATTCAATTTTCTTCTTTTCTAAATAATGATAAATGTTTTTAAAAAAAATAAAGAATGATAAATGGTTGTTAAATAATTATGTCGAATAGTAAAAAAATTGAATCCATGACCACATCCGCACCATATTTGTCCGCTTATTGTTAACTCATGAAAGTGTTAACGAAGGGTTAACCATTAGCTAATATTTTGTATTTCAAAATATTGATTAATATTTTGAAAATTTAAAAAATTTGACTAATAAATTATGTTAATAAAAACTTTTTAATCTCAATTTTTAGATTTTGTCAAAACTTAAAACCAATAAACCAAATTAAATTGTGAACAAATGCATAATCAAAAGTTATACATATTGTAACCGGCATTAATGTTGTGGGATAGCAAGTATCTTCCATATAAAGGTTAGGTAAATATTATTTTTTAGTCAAACCTTTTCCCCATTCCAAAATAATAGCCAAACCATTCGAAATCTTAATAATTAGCCAATCGTTAACTCTCCGTTAATAATTTCGTTAAATGACGATGAGCTGGTGAATATTGTGCTAATTTGGATCATAGGTGGCTAACTGAAGTGTAGGAAAGATGGTGGTGATGATTATCCGCATCTGCGGCACAAGTTTGGCTATTATTATTTCTTTTATTGTTAGGTAATATGTATTTTTATCAAAATATTTTTGAGATTCTTTTATATTATCCAAAGCTATTAAAATTCTATTAATTAGCCAAACCTTTCATAATTCATCAAAATATTAACCATTTTTACGTTATAGTTAATAATTTTGTAACTCTTTCCTTAGTTATAATACTAAAATTTTGGAATCTTGACCTTCATGTGTCTCTTTCAAGTCAATTTCATGTTGCCAAGTCAACATTTGGTTGATTCTTAGTATTTCGATAGGTTTGGATAATATAAAAGAATCTGAAAATGTTTGGATAAAAAATAGACATTAACCTTTATTGTTTTTTATTTAAATGAAAAATAAAAATATACTGATGTGGATGCTGAGGTGGAGTGTTGGTTAACGGTGTTATTAACGATTACATATGAGTGGTTAAAATTTTAGATAAATATAAAAGGTTTGGCTTTATTTTTGTAGTACCAAAAATTTGACTATTATTTTGAAATGAGAAAAAAAAATGGGGTCGTTTGGATGAGGAATTCTAATGGATCAATCTGACACAATTGTCTTGTTTTGAGTCAATTGTGCTAGATTGATCCGTTTGGCAACAGGAAATTTGGATGAAGCAATTTGGGCTGGAGAATTCTAAATTGACTCATTTTGAGCCAATTACAATTGTCTGGAGTGGGGCAGGTAATATGAATTGACTCATTTTAAATGACTCGTTTTGTAAAATGAAAAAATTGATCAAATTGTCTCGTTTTACAATTGATATATCCAAACGATTGGCTAAAAAATAGTATTTGCCCTGAAAAGTCGGCTAAAGCTAGGTGCGAAGGCAGGGGGTTTATAAATGCATTGCCAGCGCCTATCGGTGGCCGGGAGAAAATTGGCAGAAAAATAAAATAATTACAAAAATGGCGGCGGCTCTGCCGGACGAGCTATGGAGGCAAATCCTGGAAATTGGAGTCCAAAAGTCCAGCCTTACATACAAGGACTTATGTTGCGCCTCAATTTCCTGCAGTCGCCTCCACCGATTGTCCAACGATGAATCAATCTGGTCCTGCGTCCTCGCTTCCGATTTCCCTGTGCTAAAACAGCAGCAATCTCAAAACCCTAACTTGTCGGCACCTTCCTCAGCCAAATCCTTATACAGAATCAGGTGAGACAGAAGTTGGGCGTTTTAACTGTTGAATTTCAATTGGGTTTACCCTGTTTGGAGTCAAAGCTTGTTGCTTGGGCAGCTTTGAGAAGGAGAGGGACAGGAAGATGGCGGCACACAGAAGGGCGGTGCTTCGAAAGGAAAGCCAAGTTTTCGAGCGTAGAAGAAGGTTAAAGGAAATCGAGAATCGATTGTGTCAGGAGAGTGAGAAATTGAGAGCTGCAGCTATGGAGTTGTCCTATTTGCATAAGGTCAGGTAATCCATTTGCTTGATGTAGAATATTTCACACTAATTTTTTGTCGAGTCATGGTCATGTTGGAGTTTGGGATATATTACCTTGTCTCTCTTCGAATGGTAATCTAAAATGGGGAGATGTTATGGAGTCAGAATTCAGTTATCCCTGACAAAAGATGCGAGCTTTGAGCTGGGAAACTTACTGGCTGCTGAATCTGATGAGCCTTGAGTTGATCTTAGTGAATTTCTGGAAGTTACCACTTGTAACTTTGAGGAGAAAGCATCAGCTGTTTAGTAAAGGATGACCGATTTCACGAATAGCTAATGAGATTGTGACTGCAAATGGGTTAGTCCATCACCAAATTAACCTGGATTAACGTAGAAGATGGATTTAGCATAGATGTCATTTAGATCGCATTGATGCTTTTAGGATTACTCAACATGGAAACCTCACCGTAGCCTGTTTGTGATCAGTTGTAAAGCATTGAATTGTGTGATCTCGACCAGTGTCACCCTTTTTACTTTTATTCAGGCAAGCTTCCGTGGCTCTGAATGTGTGGCAGCCACAAGCCGTTAGGGGAAGACAGAAGCAAGTAGTGGAGCAGTGTTCTGTTCCTGTTGAATCTCAGTTCAATTCTCTTGAAATGGAAATCAAGCTTTGCAAGCAGCAGATTGCTGGGTTGAAGAAGACTCATGTAAGTTGAAGTTTTATACATTGTTGGAGGACGAGAATGGGGTTTGCTTATACTTCACTGTCTTTTTACAACCCAGAGAGATGAGCAACTTAGGCTTGAAGCAACAGAAAGGGAGCTGCAATCAATGAAGTACCATCCATTACAAGAATGTAACAATGCTGGTGGTGAAGGAAGTAGATCTATCCCCAAGAGGAAGAAACTGATGAAATCCATCGCGTGTAAGACATCTGATATTAATGTTTTTCGTATACTCGCCTTGCTCAGATGTCTGCTCACTTACATCTTTGCATTGGCATTCTCCTTCCATTGCTTTTAATTGCTATTTACAAATAGGTGTGTTGGCACAATTATATACTAAGTTCTGATCGACCGAAAATGATAATTTTTTGTTTATACATCTGCAGTCCCTCAATTGCAGCGCGAAACATCCCGAGAGGACCATACCTAAATTCGCTGCCTCAGCTGATTTTAGGCAATTGGTCGATGTTCAGTTGGGAATCAAATACCTTATGTTATGCTGAATTTGGCCGCCATAGCTTAGAATGCAGAAGTGGCAACTTCCAGAAATTCACTGATAAACCAACTCAAGGAAGCTCTGCTGGCTCCGGGAACCGAGACATTCAGTTGTACGTCTGACGGAGGACTTTAATGGATGAATCACAAGCTCAATACTTGTACTACACGCAAAGAGGTCCCTGGGTCTAGCAATGATGTACCTAAATATTTCAGGGTATGGTGACGCTTATGTTGTTGATGAAATGAAACTACCGTTCGTATTTGTCAAACTTGTTATTTGGGGCCAATTACCACACAAATACCATTTAATATAGAACTTGTTATTTGGTATGTGATATTTGGTCTCAAACTTGTTATTTGGGAAATACTCCCCCTCTCAAATATTTGGCAAACAAATATTTGGCAAACAACACTTTTTGTGTTATTTGGTTTCAAACCTGTTTTTGGGCAAGTACCACATCAAAATAACACCTCATTTTTGTCAGCCAAACATGTTATTTGAGGTCAAATAGCATTCCAAATATTCAATCCAAATGACTCCTAATATAGTATGAAAAATTTCTCCTCACACCTTCTGATTCTCTTTCCGTAACCGATTCGATCTTCCACGTTTGGAGTCCTCCGGGCAATCGCTACCGTGCGAAATGGCAGTTTGGTGCTAGAGTGCCTACGTGCTAGGAAGATTGGAATCCTCCGGGCGATCGCTACCGTGTGAAATGGCAGTTTGGTGCTAGAGTGCGTACGTGCTAGATGTCCTTATGAGCGTATCTTTGGCTGCTTTGGATGAAGTCCTATGCTTCCAACTATCAAACTTTGCTAGATGTCCTTATGAGCGTATCTTTGGCTGCTTTGGATGAAGTCCTATGCTTCCAACTACCAAACTTCTGCTGGAATTTCTTCTCAATGGATAGAAATGCATCTCTCTTAGACTTGGCTAAGATGGAAGGTAAACCAAGATATGAACTCTACAATGCTACCAACCCCAAGTTGAGTACCCATTGATTGTGCAGCATCCGGAGGGGTAATACGAATGAACATTACTGCGGATTTGGCTAGATTAACTCTTTGTCCACTTAGTCATTCATACACTTGCAGAAGAGATAGCGGAGTTGTACATGAAGTGGATGCGGCTTCAAGGAACAAAAAGGAATCATCTGCAAAGAAAAGATGTGCAGTGAACATCGGGCATGATAGCCGAACTTGCACTCCTTCCAAGAATCCCATAGAGACTGCCTAACTCAACAACCCAGAGAAGCCTTCTGAGCATATAGAGAATAACAAAGAGGAGAGGGGGACCCCTTGCCGGAGTCCTCTAGAGGGTCGGAAGTACTCTGTTGGGTTACCATTTATGACGATAGAATAAGAAACCGTAGTAACACATTCTTGTATCCAGGCTATAAACTTGGAATGAAATCCTAATTCCTTCATCATCTAAAACAAAAATGACCATTTTATGTGATCATATGCCTTCTCCATATCCGATTACATCTTTTGATCCGATGACATGATTTTCAGATGATGCGTAGTAGAAACCATATAAAGAAAATCTCCCAAAATTTATTTCCGCGAGGGAACATCCATAACTTTGAACAGTTAATTACTTTTATTGCCCATTTGCTCTGCGGTATAAGAAACGAGAATAGACAAATCCATTTTTACTTTACTATAATTTAAGTAGAATTAAGGATATTGCTTGGCTTTTAGAGGTAGATACTATTATTACATCCAAAGATTGAAATACCGTATCGGAGGTCGTACTTAAAGTCGTTAGTGGTAGGTATTTTATGCTAAAACTGTGGTTTAATCATATGATTCGACCGTATTATACCGCTAAATACCGCCTACCGATTTTACTTCCGATAAAAGATTTTTCAGGTCGAATCGCCGATACGATATTTTAATCCTTGATTATATCTACAGTCACTATGTCTCGTCTATTTTATACTTGATCGGCATTTAGAGAGAGATATTGGCAATCCTTTGAATCACCGAAAGGGTCATTTGAAGTCACGTGTTTTCCCTCCACTACTCTTACCCGTCTTACCTGGGTTCTCGCTAAGCCAGCTAAGCTATACCATCATTTTAATTGACCTCTTTTAGATGCAAGACTTTCGTGACATTAATTTCCCACCATTTTTACACATTTTTTTTTCCATTTCATTTCCTTTTCATCAAAAGAACAGAATAGGAATGCAACTCATAAGAGTTCACGATAGACAAGTGATCATGAGAAACCATGCAGAATCATGCGTATATCTTTTTTTAACTACATACCTAACCCTAGCCACTAATACGTTATGTAATGTTCCTTGCTGCTTCAACCAGGTTACAGAAAGAAATGAGATGTGTTCTGGCTTCTGATTTTTGTCTCATAAGTATAACCCAAATTAGCTTGCTATAATCATCTACAATGGTGAGAAGATTGATGAGTGCTTCATACCGATCCCTTCTGAGCTTGATTCAGTTCCTATGGCTGCATTTGCCTGCATGTGGTTTGGTTTACTTGTACCTCTTCCTCGAGGAGTCATTCCAGAAGGACAGCCATGCTTGTGATAGCATGTGTCTTCAGTATGACCATGCATCTTGCAGTATGCAAGACGATCTTGAGCCAGGAGATCTGCCTCTTCCCTATCCAAGGTTGTCAATCCGGTTTAACCTGTTGGCCTGGTCGAGCAAGTAAGTTAAGGGTTAATGGGCTGACCAGTTTAGCCCGGTTCAGCTAGGTTATATGAAAAATTCATTATATTGTTCACTTTTATAAATTATATCAAATCTCAATTAACATGTGAGTAATAACATATAACATTACACTAAAATAACATGTCGTACTTGGATCTAATATTTAGTGAAAACACACACACTTATATAACATAAATATTGAAATATTCAACTTAGAATTCCAAAGATAGGTTTAGGCGAAGAAGAAAACCGGAAAATGGACACATTTCACAAACAAATGGAAAACGACACCGTGTGACCTCCTACCCGATAACCTTGTAGAGGATCGACTCGGTGGATGTGTGTACGACCCATTTTTCTCACCAGGTCAGGGTAAAAAGCGAGCCAATCGATGGTCGACCCGCGGGTTGATAACCTTGGCCCTACCTCTTCCTCCAGTGCTAGAAGCATGGTTGTAATTCCATTCAACCATTTGTTGATTTAGAAATTTCATGCCTAAGGACTATAAAGCCATGGCAAGGGACTCGACCACTTTTTGTCTTGTTGATTTCCAGTCATCTATCTCTCATTTTTTTCTATAGCAATTCTTTGTGTATATAATATAAGACCGGATATTCAGGCAATCTGTCTTGATTATTTTGTTTCATTATTTTGTATAGTATAATACAACACTTCACTTTAGTAGATTTTGACTGATTTATCGTATTTTATCATATTTCTCTTTTTTAGCCATCTTATAAAAAAATTGATTCATCATAGGCAATGATTTTGTGAACAGAACTTGAGATCTAGGTATCGAGTAGTTTTCATTTAACCTCTTAAGAAAATGAACAATCAGGTAGGTTTCTAAATGAGGTCTAACAGTTTTACTGGCTTCACAATCACTATGACTTGTAGTAGTACAAAGACAAGATGGAATGGATTGATAATATTTTAGTTCCTCTGAAATAGTGCAGAGATGTGTATGATATCCAGACAGGGTTCTGTTACCTTGTTTCGAGGTACACAATTGCTCTTGGAGTTCAACAATACGAATTAAATCTCCTTGAGCATATCAAAGCTTCAGGGTTTTTCATACCTTAGCTGCAGATTGAATGCTTCTCATGCTCTTGCCAATTACCTCATCGACTCACTAGAGAATCCATCTTTTGACCATCATGTTGCAACTAGTCCAAGGCCAGGTCATCGCATCTCCCACTATTGGCTTTGGGATGCTTCCATTAAAGAAACCCAGCTTGTTCTTTGAAGCAAGCGCATCGATCATGGTTGCACTCTAGTCATTGTAATTGGATGGAGTAAGCTTCCATGATACCAGAATCTGACAAGGTTCCTCAGATCCATTAAGGTAGTATGGATCTACAAGTGGGTAGCCTGTGACAAATTTGGTTCCGCTTCCTAAGGTTTGAGTTCCTTCTGCCATTGTTGACGAGATTGGTAGATTTTAGAGATTGAAAGAAAGAGTAAGAAAAGGAGAGAAGGATGAAAGTGGGAGTGATAACACTCGAATTGGTGTTATTTGGATCCCATATTTAGCTTTTCTTTGAGTCATTTTATGTACTTCGTTGCCAATATGTTATCAAATATACCATTGATTCTTTTGTATGAGAAAATATCGGTATTCTAGGGTGTATTAGATTATATGTACGATTTAGGTACCAGAAGTGTGTACAAGTGTAGAGCTATGGACAAAAATCGAGAGATCATGGCCAAAGGCAAGAAGATATTGTTCACGAAGAGACGACATGAACTAGAGCTACAAGATCACGGCCTCTTCATTGAAGATCACGACCACGAAAAAGGAGGCTTCATGCGCGATTTTTTGGAGCAGCCAACAAGGAAGAAAAAGAAAGTTTTAATAGTGGACTCGCGACTTTCTACATCAGAGCCCGCAATAAAGATCGCGTTTGTGACTCACTAATCGTGGCCGCGACTAACGAATCACGGCCGCGACTCAAGGATCGTGACCCTGAAGTCGAGCCACGAACTCCCCAGTCAGGGAAGTGGAAAACGGCAGGCCCAAAATCGCGACCTCATCCTCCAAGTTCACACTTGTGACTTCGCTCCTCCGGTCGTGAACTTGCCCGAATTCCTGAAATCTATAAATAGAGGGTTCTTCCCCTTCATTTAGGGAGCTGAAATCAATTATGAAATTTCTGGTTTGAGAGAGAGAAAGTAGAGGGAGAAGAAGGAGAAGAAGGGAGCTCTCCCCAATTCAAGTCTTCTTCAATTTTCTCTATATGTATCTTATTCCCTCCTTTATGGTGTAGTCCTCTAAAGCACTTGGGGTTAAAACCCCAAACCCTAGATTTAGGTTTTGAATGTAGATGTAATTGTGTTAGGGTTTGTGAATGAATTTGTTTGTTTCAGTGATTTTATGCTTGATTATGCTGAGGCTTGTGTCTCCCAACTCTTCTCTATTAGCCTACAACTGAGTCTACAAAACCATTGATTATGCTGAGGCTTGTGTTAGGTTGAAACCATTGAGAGGAAGTAGTGTTTATTCCTTAGTACGTGAGATTTGAATGAGGCGACAATGAGTGTCTAAGAGCGTACTAGAAGTAGCCTAGGGTATCAAAACCCATGGAATACGACCTTGGTTACCACTATATTAGCAACGCCATTTCGAGTTATACTTTACTCGAAATGGGGTAGTTAATTAGGTCGTGCAAACAATTGACATGACCCGCACGGGGTTCGACCAGGAGGTGAGCGAAGGAAGAGGTAGAGAGCTCATAACCATACTCAGATACCAAAGCAACATTTTGTGAATTTAGGGTTTGAGGATTCAACATACCTCAACCCTTCTTCTCATTTACTCATTTATAGTCCCGATCGATTTACAATCTAACTGTGCGCGAAATTACAGTTTGTTTAGCCCACTCTCGAATTTTCTTGTTGACGTCAGCGTCTTGGTTTCTACGCTTCTCGATAAACTCTGGGCTATTCAAAATCTTGTCAAAATCTTCTCGCGTTCCTGTAGAACCCTCTCGCTTTGCGAAAGTATCACCTGCTGAAGACTCTTTGTTCATCTGGGCATAGCGGTCGAAAAACTGAAAAGTCTTTTCAAAACCCCATGTAGATACAAGGGATTGTACATCACTGTCTGATATGTTTTTCTTGGTGAAAATAGCGTGCAATATCATGTATGCGAGGTGATTGGTAAAAGGTTTGCAGTGAAAGGGAAAACATTAAAAAAGGTCGCTCCTGACCGTTAGAAATGAATCGTCAATCGCAGCGAGACGGGTGTCCTCCTGGATTGGGATTGGCCATAGTGGAAATGGCATCGTTTGCTGTAGTTGGAACTCCTCTTACTTCTGGTTCACGTTTGAGGCTCGACGAAGAAGAAAACTCACCATTTTCTTATGTTACTATGTGAGGTTAACTCATTCCATGCGAAGTGACTATCCTGTTTCCTCCTTCCACAATTCAAAGCCAAAATTCAAGTAGCATTCCACTAAAAATTTTATTATGGTCTTAAATTTGATAAGGACCAAACTAGTATTTAGTAGGGTACCCTCCCTACCCGACCCATAATATTATTCCTTAATTTCAGCAGCTAAAGGTAGGTGTGTGGGTGCTCCTCCTAATTAATACTCATTTGACTCTACAAGACACTTATTTATTTTTGTGCTTCTCATTTTGATTTGGATTTTTTGTTGTAAAATTTTCAACCTTAGAAAAAAAAATTAAGTAGGCCTACAAACATATATATAAGCATAGACTTGATGTGCAGCCTAACGTCACCCAAAAATCACAGTAGTTTTGATTTGTCTTATTGACGAATTTGGATGGAGTTCTTTGTCACAAATTTATTGGTGGATTTGATATCTATATCAAAATCTCTAAGTTATTTGGGTTTGATTTTCGTAAATTGGTATGCACAAAAATTTGCAAATACTCATATGAATGACCCAAAAATATTACATAGGTAGGTAATATTTTGTTCGAAATTAACACAAAATTGATTCTCTTTCGCCTTTCTCTTTTACATATTTCAATAAAGAAAAATAAAATTGCATTTTTTTTATTCACCTTTGTACGACTAGAGATTACAAAACAAAACAAAAACAAATGAAGTGGGTAAAACTAAGATTTATTTCATCATTCACAATTCCATTGACAGATAATAAAAACAAAGAGGTTAATCACAATCTTTCTGAAAAATAACATACAAAGAGATATCCCATCTAAAGTTCTAAACTCATGAACAGAACCTCCCATGAAATCCAAATCAATTAAGAAAAGGGAGCCATTGCAACCTGAAGAGCTCAAATGATGAATTATGAGACACAACTTCCCTTTTTTATCTTCTTGTTATTTTAACTTCTTAAACCCTTTACACTTTCGTCGGTTGCCTTGGCTTTTTACCCTCAAACCACACACCAGGCCAGCAGAATTAACCTAGTACAGGAAAATGTGAAAAGAAAAAGGCCTAGCTTCCATGGTGGTCAAGAGAACAATGCATATCAGAAAATGGAGGACATCTCCATATCTCCTCCTCCTTCCACTAGCCACTTCTCAAGGAAAGATAATGGAGGATTGGCCTGCTGCTGCTGCTGCTTCATTTTCTCATGGTCCACTTTTCTGCTGTACTTATCTTTCATCTCACCATCATCATCATTATTATTACTACTGCTGATGTGGTTGCTTTGATCACCATTCAAATCCTCAAACCCCAACATGGACTCCAACTCTTCATCATTGCCAATCAGATCCATATCATCATGATCATGATCACCATGATCACTGTCTTGCTGCTGATCCACCTCAACCTTTGGTGGTTTAGCAGTGGTGAGAACATCACCACCAGTTGTGAATCCGTTTCCAAAATCAGCCATGCTGTTGTTGTTGTTGTTGATGTTGAGCTTTGAGAGGTAATTGTGAGGACTCTCTACAGCAGCAGCCAGCCTCGAGCCTCCTCCGTTGGAGGCTTTCATCCACCCTTCCAGCAGCCTCGATATGTTCTCGGTGCTGGAAGCGTAGCTGGTCGTGGTGGTGGTGGTGGTGGTGGAGGAAGATGAGGTGGCTACTGCTGATGGCAGTGGAGCTGTGGTGGTTGCTGTTGGTGTAATTGTGTTGAAACTCATGAATGATGATGAATCCACATGCTGTACCTCGCTGGATGGAGCTGAAGATGGCGATGGCGAGGGTGACTGCAGTTTGTTCTTGAGCTTCTTCTTCAAGTGGGTGTTCCAGTAGTTCTTGATGTCATTGTCTGTTCTCTGTGGAAGATATGAAGCTATGGCTGCCCATCTGTGTTTTCAATTGTAAGTTTTGAGTAAAAAAGGAAATAGGAAATGGAAGCATGATTGACTGAAGTTGGAAGGGATGAGGAGAAGAAGAAGAAAAAAAGTGAATTACTTGTTACCCAATAAAGCCTGCAAGTGAACAATCATCCCTTCTTCATGAGATGTGAAGTTGCCCCTCCTGATCCCTGGCCTCAAGTAGTTTGTCCATCTCAGCCTGCAACTTTTGCTGCATCGCAGCAACCCTGTTTTGGGAAAGGAAAGAAGAATCACAATCATATAAGAATGATGGAAAATAAAAAAGGGTGAGAGTGATCAGGAAGTAGAGGCTTCTTACCAGTGTTGGTGGGAACTGATCTCCAGTTGCCAGGGCCATGTTCTTGGATGTAGGAGACGAGGATGATGTCTTCTTCAGGTGTCCATGGACCTTTCTTGATCCCAACTTTGTCACAGCAAGGTGGTCTTCCCATTTCTTCTCCTCCTCCTCCTCCTGCCCACTACTTCTGATGAATGATGATGATCTCTTTCAGTTTCACACTTCACATTATATACAACTCCACTCTATATGCAGTAGTACTAGTAGTACCTTTATCTTTTCTTTACTCCCTCTGCTGTTCAAGTCTTAGGCCTTGGACTTTGTTGTGTGATGAGCAAGTCCTGCAATACCAACTCTTATATATATATATATATATATATATATATATATATATATATATATATATATATATACCCACACACACAAAAATAATTTCTTGGAGTTCTCTTTTTCTTAGAAGGAATTGTCTGCAGAAAATGTTGATCTGGCATCCATGGTGATTGGTGAGTCAGTCTGCTAGCCTTACCTCTTTATTAATTTTGCTATAAATATGGAGAGAGATAGAGATATAGAGAGAGAGAGGCTTTAGTTTTAGCAAGAGGGGAAGAGAACAAAAGTCAGAGGGTGATTTCTTTTTTGTGAACATTTCCATGGATTGCTTGCTTGCTTTTTTTGTTCTCCCATGTCTCTCTTCCTTTCTTTCTTCTTCCTTTTGTTGGTCCCCGACTGGGCTCACGAGCCACACAGCATCTATCTCATGTCTCATGCCTTCACATTCCTCTTTTGGTTGTGGCCTCGTCTTTTACCTTCTCCCTTTCCTTCAAATATTGTCACCACCAATATTTGCTATTTGTTTTTGGACACAAATATTTGCCCTTCGATGGTGTTGCGGGGGTACAATGACAAGCGAGACCTAAGATATCGAACGAATATATCCTGTAGAAACGAGGGTCGTTAAGCTTCCTTGTATATTTTGCCCCGACGATAGATTATTTTTCCCGTTACACTTTTCGAATCTTCGGCACAGTTCCACGAGGAACTGATGTTTAATCCTATTTACTTGCTTCGAAAGCAAGCACTGCCGAGTGAAATACTCATCAAGTACTAGTGGTGAGCTTAAACAACTTTTTGATTGCGGTGGTGTGATTGATGAACCACAAAGAATTTTATAACATCCTGAACATTTTTTCCAAAAGAAAGATATTGTCCGCTTTGGGTCTAGACTCTGACGATTTTTGACTCGAGGCGAGTGCATATCAGGGTGACTTCCTATAAAGGTCACCCATCTTTGAAGTGCTCCACACTGAGCACGTTTAACTTCAAAGTTTCTTACAAGAACTCTTCTATTTCGCACCGGAACGCGTCTTATCAGTTAAGGGTGGTTTCTCTCGTATTTATTTTGTTAAAAATGTAAGATTGGAGAAACTATAAACATAAACAAAACAGGAAGAAAGAAAGAAGAAAAAAAAAACGACAGCAAGAGATGAGCTGCAACCCAACGGGTCACAGTCTCGAGTATTTATGGGACGACCAAACATGGAGGAAATGTGAGACACTGTCCCAAACCTTCTTTTTTTTATATCCTAACATACATCTCTTCCTCTACCCTCCACTCTGCTGCGGCAACAAACCTACCCCAAACCAGCAATACGTATTTACAGTGCACATATACATCCACACGTAAATTTTCATCAATGCATATCACAGAGTCGGTTATAATTACAGGGTAAAATAACCACTTCCAATAACGCTCATTTGTATCATCATTTTACAATGTTCATAAGCATCGGTGCTTCCATGTAACAATGTTCATAAGCATCAGTGCTTCCATGTAAGTTCAGTTTGTATCGTACGTTGTATAAGTACGAGGGATTTTACAATGTTATATAGCATTGGTGCTATAGGTTTTTGTCTTTATGGTACAACTTGAAATTGTACTTTTAATGTTATGGTACAACTTCATGTTGTACCTATACTATTTTGTACAAATTCTTTATGGTACAACTTGAACTTGTACCTTCATGTGACGGTGCAACTTTACGTTGTAAAGTTGTACCCTAACATAAGGGTACAAATTCTTTTATGGTACAACCTGAACTTATACATTTAATGTTATGGTACAGATTCAAGTTGTACATTAAAGCACCAATACTTTATAGCATAGTAGAAGTGCTCGTATAAGTAGAAATTGAATTTGTATCATAAAGGTTAAGTACATATTCAGCCTGTCTCGTAAAAAAATTATACGAAAATGTATAATTACAAATAGAATTTGTACCAGGTACAAATTTAGTTTCTACCATAAACATATTTTTTATTATACACTAAAGCAACGGTTCTTAAGAGCATAGTTGCATAAAACCCATTTTTCTTTCTTATTTCAAAGCTTAAAAAACAGTCCATTTAGGTCGGTGTGAGCAGTGTAGTCAAAATCGGGCATTAAAACGTAAAAACTTACGTTTTTACGTATTCAGGCCACCAAAACGTTTCGGTTTCTACCTAAAGTCGCTTAGTCACAAAAATTGGTAAAAACATGGGTAAAATCGCTTAAAATCGGTAAAATCGCGATTCTGAAGCGTTTTTATATGATTTTGATAATCTCATAAAATTGTGCTAATTGACCCAAAATGATGTAATTTTGGAGACATACCAGCAAAAAATAGAAAAAGTAAAACATTATTCATTACTCGTTCTGCAACTAGTGTCGAAATAGGGGCTTCACATTAAGTTGAAAAGACACCTAATGGTATTCTCAACAGCCACTGACCTTCTATCAGTCTTCTCCCTTAATCTTCACTTGTGGCTCTTACCTGGGTTACGATGAAAGTTTATGGGTAATTGATCGTATGTAATTATGTAAACTCAAACCAGCTTATGAGAATTTGGATTCTCAAGCTCGTTTATGGGTTACGATCTACGTTTATGAGCTTATTATTAAGATGCTATGAGTTTTCTCTACTTTTGAGTCAACGTAAATTAGTTTATGTGTTAGATATTACATTTTAATTATGAATTTAATGTAGTTATCCACTTATCTTATAATCTACACACTCACATTTTACATACTATATGTTGTACTTAACATATTTTAGCTATTTTAGAGGGTGCGTCAAAAACTTATGATTTTACGCTTTGATTCTACGTTTTACGATTTTACCCATTTTCCGCTTCTAGATAGAATCGCGCTTTTAACTGCATTGGGTATGAGTAGTAGATTTTTGGATGAACAATACAAAATGCCACTTTTCATTCATTTCTGGCAATAAGGGAGGGGATCCCACACCTTTAAATAGAGAAAGACAATTTCCTCAAGACAGGAGAGTGTCCCCCAGTGTGACATGTTGAAAGAGAAAGCAGTATATTGGGAGGCCTCAGTGTCTTACTGGCTGAGTGCAAGAGTATCCACAAATGAGTAAACTACAATTAGTGACCCTTCTTAACGACCTCCAAATTAGGGCAACCAATTTGAAGAAGGCCACCAACCAGTTTAATTGTGGTAAACACTCCCCCAACCTTCGTACCCAATATTAGAAGATTTACCCATCCACACCAGAATTCATCTATAAATAAATAGAAAAGAGTACAAAATCTTGAAAGACAAAGGTGAAATACAGCTACTGTAAAATACTAAACAAGCAACAACCATCGCCGTGGAACAACTTAATTTGTCTTAACTAGCGTTGGGTGGCATTCATACTGGGAAATAAATTTTATCAACAAATGGAGGAAAGCAACAGGAGAAGGGAGAAAAAGAGCAAAGTTGGATGTGAGATCTATGAAAGAGAAAATAAATCAGTTTTTTTCAGGATGGTGGGAGAAAGGTAAGAGGACTCAGGAGCACAGATAGAAGCAGACATTCTGTACTACACTACATATCAGGTAACGCAGGATACAGTTCCAGGCGATTTGAACACATCAAGAACATAAATATTCCGACGTCAACTACCTCTGCAAGCAAAAAAGATTGCGTATAAATAAGTTTACCAAAATTCTGCTATTGCCTATTAGCCATCTGTGCTGCCCAAGGAGAAGAAACTTGGAGCTGGTATTTCAATCACCTGCAGAAAGATAAGACTGTCACCAGGGTGTTTTAGCAGCAAGGGGAAGAGTTGCCCTCCTGAATGTTGACTATGATAGGAACTTGCTTAAAGAAATATTTACTTTTCTTTTGGGAAGTAGGATTCATGCCAGCAGAGCCTTGAGAAAGGTGACGAGCGGGAGTTTTCAAGCAGGGCGTCAAGCTATGTTGGCTGCATGTTCTCGACTTCTTCTAGCGTGGAGCGAAAAAGAGACGTAGAAATGTATCTCTCGCCAAAGCTTGGAAATATTACCTGTCACAATGGAGAATGATAAGAGTGCAATCAGATTGCCAACGGTGACAATTTCATGTAGGAGTAATAATGATGCAGCAGATGAGAACTAGTCTTCTGGCAGAGGTAGCAAATGGGTTTGTGCATTAGCTGTGGCCTGTGGGTTGCTGGAATTCTCTCGAAATCTATAAGTTTGGGCACTGAAATGTATGAGCAGTTGGGTAAAACCTATACGTATGGGCACTTATATGTAAAATGACAGGTGGATTAGTTTGTTAATAACTAAAAGAAAGGTACTATAGTCTTAAGTTCCCATTACCTGAAAGGATTGTCCGAATAAAAGCTAGATTTGAGTTTTGGATCAGTTTGTAAAATTCTAAATGTTGTTAAGACTCAAAATATGGAGTTACAACTTGTAGTTTGTAACCAAATTTTATGTAAATATACGAAATTTATGATGCTGAGAATGTAACACAAAATTATCAGATACTAAATAGTTTTTTTTTTTTTTTTTTCTGAAACCCATCAACTCAAATTCTAGTTACCCAGCAACCCAAAAGATACAGGACAGGTCAAATGGGTTTTAAGCGGATGGGTTGGTGGAGGTCAGGTTGCTATTTGGATCTCTACAGAGTACATGCAAAAAGGAAGGCTAACGTGGTACTTACTGTGATAAGTTTCCCAATATTCTCAGGCCTTCTTCCTAAAGCAATAGCCGCCGCTGCAGCAGCTCCTGATGAAATCCCGACCTAGAGAAAACGTAGAGTATAAGTTTCGATTGAAAGATTGCAAGAGCACTGCTGTATGCATGATTTTGTAACTGCATATTGAGCAGCAGAAGCCACAAATGTGGACATAATGAAGCAAATATCAGACGCTGAGATGATTACTTTCACATACCAGCAAGCCTTCTTCCAAGGCCAATCTCCTTGCCATATGAATTGCTTCATCATTTGTGATCTACAAAATTTTATAACAAAAACTCTTTTCACGAACTCTCGTCTACCTATATATGATATAATAACTACAGCATTGCAGACATATCAACGAATTCCACCAGCTGAGAGTGACAAGCAAAGATTGAAGCAGGATGTACAGAGTTAAGTAAGACATGGTTCCACAAGTTTTCGGCAATTATTATGTTGTAATGACAGATTAAGATAAGCATTAACCAGATGGTTCAAAGGAGAAGCAACCCGTCAGGAAACCAACAGATGCAAGTATGAATGGTACACTAGTAATACCTTGATAACCTCGTCTAGCAATTTAACATCCAGGATACTGGGTATATAACCTGCATCAAACACGAAACCAAAGTCAGGTGTCCTGTGATGTGCTCCAGTATAGACAGCATCAGAATACTGATGAGAAGGCAGTAACTCTCACCTGTGTTTTCTCCTGAGACTACACTCCTCTCAGCAGGCTCTACACCAACTACCTAAGAAAAAAGTGTTCATTATACAACAATATATAACAGGTTGAATAACAAAGTGCTCACAAGTACAAAACTCCGTACTGCAAGAAATTAAATGAATTTCGTGCTCACAAGTACAAAACTCGATGATGGATATGTCACACTAACAACAAATTACGAACTTATCATCAGGTAATCGTTACATAATAGATCTCACATCTTCTACAGAATGTATTTTGGTGGCAATTCCAAACTTCAAAATCTGGTTAGCCGGCAATCGTAGAATTGAAAAGAAAATTTATGTTGGGTACCTCGAAAGAATGCATGATTAAGTGGCCTAGTTTCTATACCCAAGATGTGGGAAGCATTATATGCACATATACTGGACTTATGATCTGCTCCGCAAAAGTGAAACAGGGATGAATCTTGTTCCCCGTTTGTAAGCTTTTTCCTCACTCACAATTGTGCCCAAGAGACTGGAAGTGGCTCGCTAGGGCAGTTTGGTGGCTGTAACATCTTTTTGTTTTGTTTATCCTTTTCATTGTTCCAGATGTTTAGATAGATAAGAGTTTATGGGAAACAACACTTAGCAATACTCCAGTAGAAGGATAAGTTTTCAAATTCGAGCGTTGCAAGCAATAGATAAGTTGTTCACCATTGTAATTTCTCCAAACGGCCATTCCTTAGATAACTATCACATGCTTATATGATATGAAGTGAAGCTGCAAACCTTAATTTCTTTGTTCATTGTTTTCAAGAATCGGCCAGCCCCTGTTATTGTGCCCCCTGTGCCAATTCCAGCAACAAGCATATCAACATTGCCAAGAGTATCCTCCCATATCTCTGGTCCTGTAGTTTCATAGTGAATCTGTAATTTATCACCAGAAACATTTCAATAAATGCCCAGTATGAGCACCTGGTAATATATAAATATACAGCATGTGACAAAGCAATATTGACCTTTACGTTAGCTGAATTATCGAACTGACGAAACAAGTATGCATTAGGCGTTCTTTTAGCAATTTCTTCAGCTTTATCAACAGCACCTTTCAGACCTTTCTCTGGATCGGTCAAAATTATTTCTGCTCCAAAAGCTCGCAAAAGCACCCTTCTCTCAAGACCAATTGAAGCAGGCATAGTAACAATAACTTTATATCCCTTAGCTGCAGCAACAAATGCAATACCAAGTCCAGTATTACCAGTTGTCGGTTCAACAAGAATACTCTGCAGAAAGACGAGGTTACTACCTTCAGATTCAACTTTGAGAAACAATTTCTCATGTTCTGAGACAATATTTAAACCATCCAAATTGTATAGACACATGAATTCTCCAGTTTCAGTTTGAAACTTCAACCGAGTAGTCCATGGAAGCAGTCACCCTAAAGATCCCTAGATGTGCCCAGGATATAGTGCTGACTGAGAAACATTATCTGGGAGCCAAATGTGAAAATTTTATAGAAAGCGTATAAGGATGGATGCAGTGCCCTGATTCAAAACAGATCTCAAGAGTATTGGTATTCTACAGTATTGTTCATCCATGCCATTTTTTCCATATTTACATTAACGTAGCGAAAGAAATGCCAATACAAGCTATATTACAGAAGCAGTGTCATCATTTTGTAGTCTACCATCACAGCAAGAGGTATACAACTCACCTTTCCTGGGGAAATCTTCCCTTTATCCTCTGCTTCACAAATCATACTGTGACCAATTCTGAAACAACCATATACAAGATGGTAGTTCGAGATTAGTTGGCAAGACCAATGCCCATTAGTATGCAAAAGATAAGGAAATTGCATCACATGAGCAAGGAAGAGACCACAAACATTCAGGCAATAGTGCCGCCCTAAGTTAAAGCATAAGCTACAGAAGTAAAGGAAGATTCTTTCGCATCAACGTGTGTCAATGAAAGGAAGAAAGAAATTACCTATCCTTGACACTCCTGCAAGGCTCCATGGATTCAAGTTTTGCGGCCACATTGGCCACACAGCCCTCAGTTACTTTGTTTAGATATATCATCGGCGTACCTCCAATCAACTGTATCAATATTGCACAACTGATCAAATGAGTAAAGGTTTTGCAACATAAACCTCGAACTGAAACTAAGTGAACATTGTGGAATTAGAAGATGGAGACATCCAGAAGAACTAATCCATGACCAGCTGAAACCAAAGTTCATCAAACTTTCTAACCTACACTCAAACTCAACAAGAACTACTCGTTCCTCTTAATTCAACTTCTCCTACTCTGAAAGATGGCAAGAATTTCTTTCCGCTAAACTTGAATTGTAATTCGTACGCATTTCTAGTGAGCAGGAAGTCGCGCGCTAAGCACATAGCTTTTTACCTGTGTGACGTCCTCTGCTATGTTTACTGAAGCCAATTCTTCTTCAGGCATCCCCCTCCCTCCTCCTCCACCATCTTCTTCTTCGTCTTCATCTTCAGCTGCCACTGCAGCATGCAACACCGGGGACTTCGTTTTGGCATGAACGGCCGCCGTAGAAGCTTTTTGACGTCTTGAAGCGAAAGAGAGTTCCAGGGAAGGGAAACCGGAGAACTTACTCGGCGTAATAAAGAGGGCAGTGGGGATGGAAAGGCGACACTTACTCCCAGAAACAATGGAGATTGAAGGAGGAAGAGGCAGAGAAGTAGAAGTAGAGGATAGCGCCATTGTTGCAAAAGAAAGGAGAAAGAACGAGGGTTTTGTAATGTATTTGTTGCGCAAAACAAACGGACAACAAGAGCAGATAATAAAGGAAAAAAAATATTTATGATAGATAGGTCCTCAACCTTGTACGATTAGCAGACAAGGTCCCTAATTCTTCTATCTCTACGGTTTAAGCCCCCTGACTTGCTGGAGTAGGTTAATTAGAGTCGATATTCCCACCAAATGCAAAACAAGTAAAATCACCAGAATGCTGTAATTTATTTATGTAAATGTGAATTGGAAATGCTGGAAAATATACAATGAGTTGTATACATATATCTATACGTGGAGAAGAAAGAAAAACAAAGGTTACAAGGTATGGCTGTGAGATTTTGCTACATATTCTTCCATATGTAATTTGTTTATCCTGTAAGCAAATTGTAAGCAGGTAAATCTTTAACAGAGAGGACATCTTCCAGGACGAGCTCGCGTTCCAACTGAGTCCTTGTGGACTTCATAACATCCTGTGCACCATTCACAACATGAACCAACGATACAAAACTACGTCAGAAAGAAAGAAGGAAAGGGAGAGAGAGCTCGAAGATCGGGGGGAAAATATGTAAGAGCTTACGTTAAACTCCATATATGAAGCACGCTTTGCCAGCCATTGGGCGTCCATCATCTTAAATGCTACACAGTAAAGGTTGTCGAAGGCCAACTCGTCATGCGCCAGCAGCTCCAGAAACCGGATTCCTGCTGCGGTTGAGGGCTTCCCTGCAAATTGGCGACTCCGTCACTCAGTATTTCCTTTCATGATTTGACAACAATAACGTCATGAAGCTAGCGAAGCATTGAAAAAAAAAACTAGCCTTTTTGAAGATCCAACATTTGTGCGAGCATAAAGGAAATGTTTATGCCAGCCACAGCAAATGGATACTCCCACTCAGCTCTCTTCCCGTCTATTTTGTGTAGCAGTCTCTGGAACGATATCTGTTTGACCAAACGTCAAGGCCAAGCAGTTAAGTGCAAACAGCTCGAAACCCAAACCGGAAGCTTTTATCTCACTGAAGAACAAAGTGGTTCATTGGGCTAGAAAGACAAAAGCACAAACCGGATATTTTGTTGCAAAGAAAATGAGGTTCTCCAGCGATATATATCCTCCACCCCTTCAAACAGCAAAGAAAATGTCCCCATCAGTCACAATTTCAATGACTACAGACTGCAGTAAGTAAATATAGAAGAGTCGCTTCAGGTAGAAGAATTATCTGCATACCGGAAATCGGTCGAGGGGTCGCAACCTTGCCAGCCCATTTCTTTCCAAAGCTCTGATTTAAGTGATGGGAGCAGCCTATCAGGATAAGCCAGCCTCCACAACTGTTTAAGTGCATCCTGCACACCCAATTAAGATGATCCTCATTGGAAGTTCTCGCCCAATTTTCAGAAAACACACTCCTCAAACCCCTTTTGACAACGTGATAATGAGGGGGAAAAGGGCTATAGTTGACAGCATGAACTAAAAGAAAATACAACAAAAAAGGCCTACTTGATGCTCCAGTAGAGAGCCATCAAACGGTACTCCAAGTCGTAGCTTCAAATTGCTGAGTCTCTCCTCCTTCATAGACAAATATTTGAAAGAAACAAATTTAAATTCTCAACAACCAGAATCATTAGATCTCAAAATCTATATAACAATGCATAGACAAGATTCTAGCAAAAGAAATCCCAGAAGATGATGCACATATAGAGCTAGCCAGAACAAATCATGAGAATGTGCTTGCACAGTATAACAGTTGAACCATACCGCAACACACACATCAGTTGTCCTGCAGATAACTTCTCTTTGAGCAAAAAAACATAAGTAATAAGAGGGGCAGAGCTGATTCTACATTCAGTAGCCTCAAACTTAAGTCTTAATCAACAAGGATGTACCATTCCATCTGACATACTTCAACCAACATTTTCCAAATAAGCCAGTGAAATTTATAGAAAAAGGGATGCATAATTTCCCAGTTAAAAGAAAGTGACAAAACATAAATTGTGCAAACAAAATTATTATTCATGAAGCACGCAGCTCAAGGTACTTTTTCCCAACAGGTGTACCTGTAGAGGGCTGAGACAAGGCAGACGAAGATTTGTGTTTGATCCAATGGGGTTGGAGGAAGCACCAGGTAAAAACCGTTCAATAAAAGATCTGGATCCGACGACAATGTTTGCTACAGCAGACAAGTGAACCTGTTACTCATGTGTGATAATAACAAATGTGACTTTGAGGATGACAAGCTGTTCAAAAATCAGAGAATAGAAACTGAGCACCAATTAGGCAAACAAAACTTCAATTTGAGCAAGAATAGTGGTAAACTATACATGGCAACACAACAACAAACCTAGGATAAGTTTTCACAGCGTTAAGACTGCGGATCAGAAAGACAGCTACTAAAATCAATGCATACACAGGACTTGAACCCTTATTATTAGAACGAGCAATCCACAATATGGGTATTCTGAAACCTGTAAGTTCACAAAGCTCTCAGGAAAAGAATTCATAACGACTTCATTGTAATTCCCATTCAGAGAGAGAGAGAGAGACTTCATTATAAAGTTCAAATTCAAATAGCATACCTAACCATTGTGCCCATTGTGCAATCACATGTGTAAACAGAAATGTCCAGTGGATTTGTTCCTTTGTCCTATCAGCATTTAGTAGATCTCCCAGAAACACCTAAAACAATTTAGAACTTCAGTGCTTAGCACCCCACAAAGAAAGAAGATAAATTCAGGGGGGGGGGGGGGGGGGGGGGGGGGGGGGGGGGGGTGAAGAATCTCACCCCTTTCGGTTCGATTTGTCGCTCGTGAGACTGGAGTAATGGTTCGTCTAGCCCAGATATTTCATAATGCTCATTCCGCCTTCCATCAATATCTCCATGATGCAGCCTTCTTCTCAAGTTTGTTGACATACTGATATTAGGATGACCCTGGAAAACGTAAAAATATTAAATTATGAGGATTGGGGAAAAATGAATCCAAGTGAGCACAGAGAAAAATAACTTCGAAAACCTAAATCCTGTCGAACTTTTAGGCACAGGTTTATACGGTGAACTGAATCTTATGATCACAAGAATTCTATCTCTTCGTTAATCCCATAAACATACAAAGAACTCTAGTTCTCCAACCTCCCATCCACATAAACAGGAAATGAAGTTGAAGCACTACTTTGGCTACTTTATTGGCAAGTTAACTGCTTTGCAACAAATGGAAAGCTGCATATCCATAGAAACTAACTGTATGCACAAATCCACTTGTTTTTCAGCATTCAGCATAACTCCGACAAGACCCTTCGTCCAACACAAACTACAAAATGCACAAGAAACCCTAAATCTACACAACTAGAAACACTACAGACCACAGAAACTTAGCAACGAAGCTAAAACCCCAATTCAAGAACTCCTACATTTCAAGAATTCAACAACAAACACAGGCTTCCTTCCACTGAACTAAAACCCTACACAACCCTGGCACAAACAGTACAATTCCCGCATCCTGCCCCACCCAAAAAAATCCCCCAATTCACAAATTTGACAACTACCAATTTAAAGATAAACGCAGAGAGATCAGCAGCACAGCAGAAGAGTAAAGGGGAGGAAAGCAAAAGAATAACGAACACGCACCGAATGCCGGATAACAATGAAGCTAGGACGCAGTCACGCAGATACTTTGGTGAAGTTTGCTGACGAAGAATGCGAAAACACCTCTTCCAAGTCAAGGGAAGGCACAAAATGGAACTCGGGTTTTATAGAACTTTATTTATATATCGAGGAACCAATTTAGCGAAACAATTATAAATCATTTTAGGGATTGATTACAATATGATTAGAAAGGAATCAAAGTTGAGATCAGAAGGATCTGATTGGGTCTCTGACGTTTCCCTCCCCACCTGTACGGGTGGCCGGTTCCTTCCCGGAAACAGATGAAGAGAGGAGCTTGGATTGAAAGCCCTGAGAGAGACGGGATAGAAATGTGAGAGCCCCGAGATTGTTATAGTAGCTTTACCAGCAAAATGCGAAAATTCTTTCTCTGTCTTGTTTTTTTTTTTTCTTTCCTAAATTAATTTCCCGTTTCTTATCGAATTTTCCAAAGGAAATAAAATTATTTTTTTTTTGTCAATGTTTTAGTTAGTAGGGAAGGGCAATGCGTAGACCAAAGGGAAAAAATAATCTACCTAGACCAAGAATAGAGGTCTAAATCTTTAAAATCTAAACAATTCAAAAAAAAAATATTGTTAAAAAATATTAAAATTATGGCCATTATACGGTAACTAAATATAAATTTTAATTTTTATCAAATGACATGTTTATCATTAACCAAGATAATCATACGGGCTCGAAAAACATTGAAAATTTATATGTAAGATCATTTATTAGGATAAAAAGAATAAAGAGAGATAAAGTAAGAGAAAACCCTCAAAAATCAAGATGTAAAATATATCTGATTATAAAAGATTTTTTTTATAATCTGCCTGGCTTATGCTGATCACGGGATGGTCATAGCCCCGCAATTGTTTAGTAACAAGGGAGCTAAGAAGACAGGAGGCCTAGTGGTCCATGTTTCCTCAGACTCCCAAATTACAAACAGTATGGGCCAAATAATGGATTGGTTTATTGCAATCCCGACCCGCAAAAAGGAAAGTGACTTCTCCAATCCGCCTGGCTTCATCCCTGATCTCTTCGCACAACCCTTCAATCTCAAGATCGGAGCGCATTTCACGCGTCAATTTTTTAAGGAGCAAAAAGGAAATCCATCTCCACCTTTACCATCGAAGCTCTAGTCTTCCAGCAATCTCCATTCCAAAGAGGACCGCCATGGCTTCTGCTATTTACGACACCCACTAGATCCGGCATTGTTGAACCGTCGTTGCGCGAAAACCTCTCCCTGGTGGTCCCTAATGACAACGCCCAAGCATGTTCTGCTCCTAGTGAAGATTTCCGCATCAACATTAACTTTCAGGCATTCCGGCATCGGAGGTGACCAGGTCAATACTCATCCCGTTCGATTAGAGTTTCCAGTGGCATGCACCGATTTATACTCTTCCATCCAATCCATAGCTCGAGGAATAATTTCTCCTTCTTCTTTCTTTTTATGGTTCCACAAGTGGCAATTGCGCTCATTCCAGATGAACCAGAGAGTTGCTACGAAGGCCTCAACCGCTTCTTCCCCTTTGTGTTATTGGAGAACACAAAACCATTCCTCGCAGATATCTTCCTCTCCCCTTATGAATAGGTTTTGTAGGGTTGTAGGCTACCAAACTCTTCTCACCCACCCACAGTCTTTGAAAATGTGGATTTGAGTTTCCTTAAGCCCGCAGAAAGGGCATTCATTTCCTCCTCTTCTTGTTCTATCATAGATGTTTTCACCCGTAGGTGCCAGACTTGCTTCCAGTTAACTAGAACATATAGTTCCCCAAGGCTTTCTGTCTCCGCTTCCTTCCACTTAGCATAGGATGACTTAACTGTGTAAACACCCTTGTTATCAGGACCCCAAACCCTTCTGTCTGTAGTTGGTTTTCGAGGGATTGGTATTTGGGAGATTTGCTCTCTCTCTCTCTCTCTCTCTCTCTCTCTCTCTCTCTCTCTCTCTCTCTCTCTCATGCTGGCAGAAGTAGTTGTGTAGTAGTGGAATTTTCCATTGTCACGTTTCATGATCAATTAGATGAGCAACATAGGTTGGTTGATCAATAGAGGTTGGACTAGAATCAATTATGTAGTCTTTTGCTTCAGGTATCCATAGATATTGCTTCAGGAAGTGATGTATTATGACAATTTGAGTGTAATTTTCTTGGCCAAGGATCAAGTCCATCGTGAGAGGACTAAGCATACCGATGTGAAGTATCATTTATTGAGAACAAATAAGAGGATTAAGGTGAAGAAGATTGGCATAGTGAACAATCATGCTGACGTGTTCACGAAGCCGGTTCCACATGGCAAGTTCTAACACTGCTTGGACTTGCTGAATGTTCTGAGTGGGGGAATCCGCCCTAAGGGGCATTATTAATAGTAGAGAAAAAAGGATCACAATACATCAAAGATTTCAGAAGGGAGGATTCAAGTTAAGGTGTAGATTTGTTGATATAACTTGAACTGGACCCCCAAAAGCTTCTTGGCCACCCCAGATAACAGCCCATCTTCTAGAGGTTTGAAAACCCGATTTCTATCTTTGGTTTAAGGTTTAGCACATATGGTCCAAGTCCACATTTGCATTTTATTTTTGCCTTAGCTTGAAAATCGTGCAAAACTCCCCTAAAAGGTATCAAAATGATAAAACTATTCATATAGGCTATAAAAAGATAGGACGAAATAAAAATGAAACTAACCATAGCACAATTTCTAAAGATGCATCGATATAGCAGAAACATTGCTAAGAAAAGAGCATGAAAAACACTATTTTCAAGTGGGAACAATGGTCATTGAACCTATAAATACGTCTCCTAGAAATCTTAGAGGAAGAGCTGAATAATAATGAGTACTACTAGGCAAAAACATCCTTCATAATTTGAAACCCGTAGGTGAGGATTAGGACCGGTCGTGAGATTTTGGAGGCCCTGTTCTGTAAACAAAATGTGGCCCAAATTATTTTTCATAAATATATAATAAAATAGAAACGAAGTATCAATCAATAAATAAAAATCATTCCATTATTTAATAATAATATCTATCTAATATGATTTGTAATAAATAGTGACAATGATTTAAATAGTAAGATGTGATTAAAAAATTAATTATAATTTTAGAATAGTATAAAATTAATAGAATAAACTAGATTACATAGGAGAAACTGGTAATTTTTTATTTTAAAATTAATTATGGTACAAACTATTTATAATTGATTTAGTTATTTTTTCTTTTCCAATATTGATGGCTTGTACCTGATTATTCCGGTTAATATTTAATAAATCAATTTGAATTATTTAATTAATTTAGCATTACCGCCTTGCTAGTACAAACAGATTTAATTAACAAAATTGAATTGTTTTTCTCTTTGGAAAGTTGAAAATGAAGAAACTTAAAGCAACAGATTTAATAATGCTAATAATGAGGCATCATCAATCTTACATCTTTTCTTATGTTTAGGAAACACACGGAAACAAATGAGTTATGTTATATGGTTTGAAAAAATTTAATAATTAAGAAAACAAGTTTTCCCCTCGTGTGATCCGTTCGTTTTTTTAGCCTTTGATCTTAAATTTTGTAATATTATTATTTTAGATCTATAATAAAAACACAATCCATAAATTTTCAATCATTTTAATTCATAATCGAAATCCAATAATCCTTAAATATAATTAGTTATATACGCAATGGAAGTCTGGAGGCCCTATGCCAAAAAGCGTGTCTGCACACCCTCCGGCTCTGGGGTAGCCCTAGTTAGAACAAGACAACTCCAAGTAGAGGAGGAAAGATCGAGAACATCAAGAAATCATGTTATGGAGTTGGAGACCTCAAGGTGAAGGTTGCCCAATTCGACTACAAGTTCTCTTCATTTTGGTCATCTCTAACCTTGTAATTATGGGGTTCTTCTACTCTGTGTGTGGCTAGAACATCATTGTCGTTTAGGTAGGTTGCACCTAGGGTGGTGACAGGATTTGATTATATATTAGATAAGTTGATTGATGCTTTGATTCGTGCCTTTCGTGGTTCATCTTATTCTTGCTTCATTATATTATGATATAGGGTTAGTATATTTGTATGATCGGAATTTTGACCATAATAAATATCTTGGTTAATTTTTTCGAACTATAACATCCTGGCCCAAACTATAAACTATACATCAAAGTAACGATATTGGTCAAGCCCGATATTTGATCGTTATCTTGAACGATCAAACGCGTTGACTATCGGTCAACATGCCACATCACCGTGTGGTCATTAGGGCTGTCAACCGGTCGGTTTCGGTTTAACCGAAAACCAAAAACCCGGTTATCAGTTAAACCGAGCCACCCCCTATAGCTGCCGACCACCGACCGAAGAGAGTTCACGGTTAGCCGACCAACCGACCGGTCGGTTCCAGTTTTAGGCTCGGTTAGCCGGCCAACCGAAAAAAATAGAATTTCAAAAAAAAAAAAAAAAACAGAAAAAATCCTCACCACTCCTTCCTTATCTCCTCCTCCTCTCTCTTTCCTTCCTCCACACCAGACCTCTTCTCTCTCCTTCCTTCTTCTGCTCACCTTCTTTCTTCTTCTCACCTTCTTTCTCCACGGATTCAGTTCCCAAAATCAATTATGAAGCAATTAATCCGCCGCCTCTCCCGCGTCGCCGACTCCTCCACCTACAGCCTCCTCCGCTCCGACTCCCACCACAAGCGCCGCTGGCAGAGCCGAATCATTTCGGTCCCTAGAGAAGGCGGCGAGGAGATCCAGCCCACGGGTATGTCCCCGTCTACGTCGGCGCCGAGATGGAGCGGTTCGTGGTGAGCGCCGAGCTCCTCAACCACCCGGTCTTCGTCGGCCTCCTCAACAAGTCGGCGCAGGAGTACGGATACGAGCAGCAAGGCGGGCTCCGGATCCCCTGCCACGTCCTCGTCTTCGAGCGGGTCATGGAGGCTATTCGCCTCGGCCTCGAGTCTCACGACCTCCTCAGCTCGACAGCTCCTCCTCCACCGCCGTCTCCATCGGCTACTTATGAGAATTGTCGTCTCTCCGATTTAGGTTTTTTTTTTAAGATTTGGGGGAGAATTAATTTCACAGGAAAAGAGAGAGGTGGAGGCGGGGAGGTGGAGGGGGAAAGGGAAGGTCGACTGCGAGGGTGGAGGGAGGAAGGGGAAGGGGTTGGGGAGCTAGGGTTAGTGGGAAATGGGACTGGGGGCGGCGTCGTTTGGGGGGGGGGGGGGGGTTCGGTTAGCCGGTTAACCGCCGGTTTTCAACCCCGGTTAGTCGGCTAGCCGAACCTCTACCCTTCCTCACCGCCAACCGACCGTTGTAATTGAAGTAGGTTTTTCGGCTAGCCGAAAACCGGTCGGTTCGGTTGAAACCGACCGGTTAGCCGCTAACCGGAAAACCGTCCACCAGCCCTAGTGGTCATCATAAAAACCATTAAAATATTCACAATTTACACATATTTTTTAATTTTGAATTATAATAATTAAATTAACAAAAAATTAAAAAAAAAATTGAAACCCCACCGGCGACTCCCCTCCGTCTACTCCCCCGCCGTACGCCTGTACCTTCCTCCATCAGTCCCCCTCAAACCCGATCCTCCAATTTTCACTTCCCCACAATGCCACAATCCAACCATCTAATTGAAATCTCTCTCCACTCTCTGCTTCATCTTCTTCTTCCCCAAAAATCCCCATAATTCTCTTAACCCTCGTCGCCCTCTCTCCCCAAACCTGCCTCCGCCTAATCCCAACTCGAACTCACAGCTCCCAACCGCCGTCTTCACCACCCAACTCGAACTTGACGCAAAGGATTCCAGACAAAACGGAGGCTGTAGCGGTTGGGGAAATCGCAATTACTATTTCTGGAGGGATGGCGACGCGGGTTGGGATTTCGGATCGGGGCCCCGTCGGGTGAGGTTGTTCAAGTACTTGGATGAAACTTCGATCCCTGATTTTCTCCTTCGGTTGCTAACTGGGTTTTCAACCTTTGGGTCGAAGCATTTGAATTGAGCGTGATTCTCGGCCCAGTCGCACAAGACTTGGTCGATTCGTTCCGAGAACAAGTCTGATTGCCGGCGGGAGGTGGCTCCGGGGAGGGAGCTCTTGTACAGAGCATTCTCGCAACGGAGAATCTCCCCCGGATGTAACATGCGTTGGTGTAGAGAAGAGTATTGGAAGAAGACGACGAAGTGGAAGTCGAAGAAGAGGAAGAAGGAGAAGAGGGTTTGTTGCCTCCACGGAATCCGAGCTTCCCGTCGGCGCACCTGAACGAGCCGCCGATTCCTCCGGGGCGGTGATTCTCCTTCTGAAACTGAATCGCTCTATTGAGCGATGATGGAAAAGGACGGGTTTATTTTTTTTTTTTGGAAACACGGAACGCTTAAAGGGAGTCCCAACCTTTATATTGGAATAGACCGGGGTGTTTGGACCCCAAAACAGTCATGATACAGCCAGTACGCTAACGTACCGTCAGGAGCTGTAACTCTATGCAAACCAATCGGCAACACATGCCCCGAATTAGCTAGGTGGTCAGCAACCACATTAGCCTCTCTAAAAACATGGTGAATTAGAACCTGCCAATCTCGACTAAGCCAACGTCTGATCTCAGCCACAGACGTGTAATGTGAATGATGAGGTGTAGCTGTCTCAATGAGCTTCAAAGCCGTGGTTGAATCTGTCTGCAGAACGACCTTCCTAATTCCTGCTTCCCAAGTCAGCTGTAACCCGTGCACAATTCCTGCTAGCTCGGCGCTCGTGATGGAACCCCCCCCCCCCCCCCAAGGTTCATGGAGAACGCATCAATAAAGCGACCATCATCCCTTCTGACGACGCCCCCGGCCGCCGTGCTTGCTGGTGCGTGGATCACGGATCCATCAGTGTTGAGACAAGCCCACCCTCGAGGCGGTGGCTGCCATTGGATTAGCGCAGGCACTCGGAGTCCCCCGGCTCCGATTGCCTCGCTCTCGATCTCCGCGGCTTTTAAGATTTGGTGCCGAATTCGCACCGAGCTAGCTTGAATATGTGCCCAGGAGTCCAACTTACCTTGGAAGCAGAAAGTATTCCGATTTTTCCACAGCAGCCAGCACATGCATGTGAAAAGAGTGATGTCAATTGAGTGACCACGCCCTGAGGTATAGTGAAACATCCATAGGTCGAGATTAGGCTCGAAGAAATCTTGGTCCGGCTCCTCGTGAAGCATCCCTTCCCAGGTTGCCCTTGCGAACGGGCAGTCTCGAAGTATGTGAACCGTTGTTTCAGGTCCGCCGCCGCAGATCTTGCACTCGTCGTTCTCCGTGAGGTGTCTTCTCTTCCGCTCCGCATTTGTAAGAAGTCGGCTGTGGTTTGCCAGCCACATGAACGCCCTCATCCTTTGCATCGCCGGGATTCGCCACGTCATGCGCCACTTGGGATGTCGTTGTAGATGGCCCTGGTCCGCCTCCCCCGTCATCTCGTAGGCTGTCTTGAAGGTGAAGCTGCCATCCGGGGAAAACCGCCAGCATCGCACGTCCTCCTCTGCTTCCGTCGGTACTGGGTGGAGGTACACCTGCGAAGCCACAACATCAGGTAACAAATGGTTAATATAATCACGATTCCAGTCTCCGTTGAGCACAAAATCTGCCACCGGGATATCCCTTGCCGATTCCGGAATAGCTTGAGTGTAATTAGCTAGTGGTTCCCCGTCATTTAGCCACCGATCCGTCCAGAACCTGGCTGTGCGTCCATTACGGACATTCCACACTGACGCCTCCTCTATTCTGTGCCACACTCGCAGTACCCCCCCCCCCCCCCCCCGCCACAGATTCGATAATCTCCCTGTCCTCCGCGGTATAAGCCCTTCTTCGGTCGAGCGCATGTACTTATGCAGGATTACCCGAGCCCAGAGCTCCTCTGGTTTGGTGACAAGTCTCCAGGCTATCTTCAGCATGTATGCCTCATTTGTTCTTGTCGCCGAGCGCATACCCAGGCCCCCCTCGTCTTTGGGCCTATAGACTGTGTCCCAGTCCACCAGGTGAGTTTTCCTTCCCCCCTCCGTGCTTCCCCAGATGAACGCTCTCACTTTTTTGTCAATATACTCTCGGACACTAGCCGGGAGAAATGAGGTATGCATGGTGTACGAGGGTAGCGACGAGAGGACCGATTGCGCCAGCGTAATGCGCGCAGCCAGGCTCATGGTCTCCGCTTTCCACCCCGCAAGCCTCCTATCAATTCTGTCGATCAACTCAATGTACGTCGCCTTGGAAACTCGATCGTGGATGACCGGTACTCCCAGATAGCGCCCGAGGTTTGCCGTTTGTGGAATCCCAAGCTCGCCACTCAAGGCAGCCCTTCTATCTGGTGTCACGTTACTTGAGAAGAAGACCCGGGACTTTGGTTTGCTAACTCGTTGACCCGAGGCTGCCCCAAAAGTTTCAAAGCACTGGAGGATGGCCTGGGATTGCTGTGAGGACGCTTCTCCGAATAAAATTAAGTCATCTGCAAAAAACAAATGTGACAGGGCAGGTCCGTCACTGGTCAGCTTGATCGGCTGCCAAAACCCATCCCTAACAGATTCATTAATAAGATGACTCAAACGTTCCATGCAAAGCGTAAAGAGATAAGGGGAGAGAGGGCATCCCTGTCTTAGGCCTCGTGAGGGTGAAAACGGGTCGGTTAATCCCCCATTCCACTGTATTTGCATAGTGATGGACATAATGCATGCCATAGTCACCTCCACGAGCTTCGTAGGGGCCCCTGTCGCCTCCAGAGTGTCTCGAACAAACTCCCATCGGATCCTGTCGTACGCCTTAGCCAGGTCCACCTTGAGCACCATCCAACCCTTCCTACCCTTCTTTGCCCTCATAGAGTGCACGACTTCCTGAAGGATACAAATGTTATCCGTTATGTGCCTGCCCGGAACAAAGCTCGTATGAGTGTCGTGGACTAACTGAGGCATCAGCGGTTTCAGCTTCTCCGCAATTGTCTTTGTCGGCACTTTATAGGCCACATTGCATAAGCTAATGGGCCGAAACTGCTCGATTGTCGTCGGAGTCGGTACCTTCGGGATCAGTACCAGTACAGTAGCATTGATGTCCCGGATGAGACCCGGCTGATCCCAACATCTCTTGATGAGGTCTGTCATCGATGCCCCGATCGTGTCCCAACAACGCTGGAAAAAGAGCGGGTTTAACCCGTCCTTCCCAGGCGCTTTCAGAGCTCCCATCGAGCGAATGGCATGGAGGAACTCTTCGGTATTCGACTGCATATCGAGGTCCTGCCACTCCCTCGCGTCCAGTTTAGGGAATTCACGCGGTAACAGGGTGGCGACTTCATTTTCATCCGTATACAACCACTCGAAGAACGTCATGGCCAGCTGCTGTAGTTCCATCTCGTCATCCACCCACTCCCCTTCCGAATTTTGCAGTGTTACAATGCGGTTCCTCTTTCTTCGAGCAATTGTCCTAGCATGGAAGTAGGACGTGTTTTTATCCCCCGACGAGATCCACTCCAGTCGAGACTTCTGACACCACAGAAGCTCCTCTTGAAACAGGACCATCTCAAGTTCCTCTCTTGCCGTCTCTAGCTGCGCGGACACCTGGGGGCTGCCATCTCTATACTCCAGCCTCTCTATCCTGCGAATGAGAGCGTCCTTTCTTCGTATAATGTGGCCAAAAACATGAGAGTTCCACCGAATAGCGTCGCTAGCAAAGGCCGCAGCTGACTGGAGAAACGAATTCCCCTTAGCCCATGCAGCTTGGAGCATATTCTTAAAATCCTCGTGTGTTAGCCAGGCCGCGAGAAAGCGGAAGGGTCTAGGTCCTCCAGGCCGGGGAGAAGGCCTCGTGGAAATCAACAGAGGTCTGTGATCGGACTTAACTCTGGGGAGGTGGCGCACTGAGACTTCCGGGCAGGTCGTCGTCCAAACATTATTTGCTAGCGCTCGGTCCAACCTCTCACGGACTCCGTTCCTGAACCAAGTATAGGATGGCCCGTGAAACCCCAAATCCACTAAACCCACATCATTGACGCAATCTTGGAAGTCCCGAATCCGACTCGCATCAAAGGGAGCCCCCCCCCCCCCCCAATTTTTCCGATGGGTGAAGGATGGAGTTGAAATCACCCATTAGAATCCACGGCAGCTCCTGGCTCTCAGAGATTCTCCTCAGCGCCGCCCAGAGCTGTCGACGTTGAATTGGTGCCGGGTTAGCATACACTGCCGTGAGGTTCCACTTGTCCTCCGGTCTTCCTGTTCTTGCCGCCAGCACGTGGATGAATTGGGCCTGGCTGTCTACCCGGCTAATATTAAACTCCGCCTCATTCCACAGAAGCCAAATGCCACCGGAAAAGCCCAGAGCATCGACTACTAGCTGCTTGTCGTACCCCATCTCTTTGATGACGTTTTGCGCGGTGGCCCCACTAACGCGAGGTTCCACTATGATCACTATGTTAGGATTATGTTTCCTCTTGTACTCCTTGAATACTCGGATGAATTTCCTACTCCCGGCCCCCCTGCAGTTCCAAACAAATATGCATGGATCCATTAAGAGTGGAGGGTAGACGAGGTTCCCTTTTGTGGATTCATTATCGGGCCGTCCCCTTCCAATGGAATCCCCACGTTAGTATTCACTGTGTCTGATCGGATTTCACTGTCTCCTTCCATCATCTCTCCCACCAAATTCGGAGGACGACCCCATGCAGCCGAGGTCAGCGTTTGGCTGTTCTTGTCCAATGGAGTGACTTGCTCCGTCCGCATGTCTATGGTCGGTGCAGTTTCCGTTGGCCGTACCTCTGGTATACTTGACACTGCCCCCGTAATTCCTTCCCTTTTATCCGTCTGCGGGCATGACATCCCCGACGTAGCTTGCATGGCTTCGACAGGTACAGTTGTGCCATGCACCGGTCCATTAACCACTGCCTCCCTCGCTTTCTGCTTACCCTTTCCCGAATTCTTGTTGTGCTGGTTCGCATGTCCCTTCTCCCGACTTGATTTGTCCTCCCCATTGCTTCGATCGGGAGTCTTGTCCATGGGCACTTGGACTTTTTCAGTCGCCAGTACACTGAAGCTCGATCCTGCCTTGACCTGCTCTCCCTGGTTGGCGTGCATGGTAACTTTTGAAGCTTGGCCCTGTGTTTCCTTGCGAATGGTCCTAGGTTTACGCTTAGCGATCATCCACTCTCCATACGTCTTCTCTGGTTCCTTCACTGGTGATATTTCCTGCGGGATAGGGGTCTCGGTGTCCATCGAGTCAGGAGGAGTCGTACAATAACACCTCGAGTGCTCAAAGTATTTTCCACAGTTAAGGCAGATTTTTTCAAGTCCCTCATACTGAACGAAGTAGGTCACTCCATGGATTTTGAATTGGGATAGAAGCGGTTTGGTTAAGTCCACTTGAACACACACCCTGGCATAGTCAAGTCGAGCCCCAGTAGCAGTGGCTTGGTCCACTCGTAATGGTTTCCCTATTCGGCTGCCGATCTTCATTACCGCCTCCTTGTGGAAGAAGTGAATGGGTATGTCCAGTAGACGTGCCCAGACAAGAGTGGACGATATCTCATGGTTATAAGGACGGAAGTGCTTATCCCACATGTGAACCGTAAGATAGTTGTCTCACATCATCCACGGACCACCCGTTAGAGCACGCTCATAGTCAATCCCGCTTGTGAATCGCACCAAGAAATATCCATTCTTGACTGACGAGACTTGAATCCCTCCAACCCGAGCCCAAAGATCATTCAGCCGCTTCGAGATTCCCGTATACGATACAGAGCGACCTAGGGCTTTAACTACGAGCGCGGAGCGCCATTCCCTGCAAAAATGCCTTTCTTCAGCTGATGAGAAGTGGATGTTCGGGCACAGAGGATCATCATCCGGTTCGGACCCTTCGTCCCTGCCATCCTCCCGCATTCCTGTCGCTATATCCTCGGAGTCCGAGTCAGATATGTACCAAGGCTCCAGTCGCTGCATATCTCCGAACAAACGCCGGGCAGCACCCACCCCTGATCCCCAAGCTTTTTGCGGGGGAGGCTGGTCACGATGGTAGCTACCTTTCTCTGCCCCGTTATCGACATCTTCAAACTGTACGTCGGAGTCAATGGAGCTCTGTTGCTCCGGGACCGTCTGCTTCACTCTCTTCTTGCTTTGTTGGGCCTCCCTATCCCCCTTAGGGTTAGGAGACGACGTTGCTGATGGCGGTCGGCGCTGTCCCGCCATGGTTTCCGTTTGGTTTGAGCCCCCCTGCCCACTGCCCCCCATCAGGCGGCGGCGAGGCCCCCGCCGTCATGCCGGACGAGCAAACCCTAGCTAGCTGCGTTTTTTAGAAAAATCGCCTCTCCGAGAATTGCGGAGCTCTCTCCAATTGTCCCCTAAGGACGGGTTTATTTTTATTTTATTTTTGTTTTCCCCAATTTTAGTCATAATACAAATATTGCTAATATGTGGATTTTGTGAATATTTTAAGTGGGTATATGCTGACTAGATAATGATGTGGCAAATTGATCGCTAGTCAACGCTGTTGACCGTCAAACATAACGGTCAAACATCGAGTTTGGTCAATGTTGTTACTTTGATATATAGTTTGGGCCAGGATGTTATAGATCGAAAAGATTGGCCATAATATTTATTATGGTCAAAGTTCAGGACACACAAATATATTAACCCTATGATCTTAGATGATAAGAATTAAAGGTTTAAAGATAAAGAAGTATCGTTAATTTCTTCATGCTCGTTCCAAGTTCGAAGTAGCATTTGTACAAATAAGAATCTCCTTCGTTGCATGATTTCTTCTTCATATAGATCAATATAGATCTATCAATTTTAGGAAGAAATTTGAGAATAATAAAGTTAGATTCAAAAATCAGATGCAAATTTTCAACTTTGTTTATTTTATCACCAAAGAAAAGACAATATTTGTATAATACACAGTAAAAAACAAATAAAATTAGATGCAAATGTGCGCTAGTTTTGGGTAGAGAAAAGAAGAGAATTAAGGGAAAACGGCAATATATTAGGGATGAAGATTCGTAGAAGAAAAGAATGAAAGGATAGCCCGACTAAAAAAAATAAAAATGTGTCAATTTTTTCTTTTGGCCAGCAAAACTGAATCAAATCTTATCCAATATGGTAGCATGTGCAACAATTTGTTCAAGATCAGAACATACCGCACCGGACCAAACCAATATCAATAATATTGAACCAAATAGATCGATTATAATGCATCCATCCATTGTCCCATGACTATTTTAAATGTTGAGGGAAATGAATCTTATTGATATTTGGACTAGACCGTGATTCTCAATGTTGATCCGTTCCTTGTTCCTAATTTTTTTTACTTTTGAACCGTGATTCTCAAGTTTTGGTCTAGTTCGAACCGAACCATTGCACACCCCTACAAATTGTTGCACATATATACTTGAGGGCTTTTACTTTGTCTAGCTTATATACTTGAGGGCTTTTACTTTGTTTTTTTTTTGTGCAAAAAGCTTTTTGAACAAAAGCTACAATATTTGGAACACGTCATCTGTTATGGAATAGTTGGTCAAATCTACTTGGTAGGTAACTAGGATCGTATTCCCTTAAGGTCTTTCAAATAACACTATGACTCGATCTAACTACAACATCCTGATCGCCGACCAAGTATTAACCGACGACCAGGTGCATCATAGGGCAAGCAAGCAATAAGATTTATTGTACCACGGGGATCTAGGCTTACCCTACTTCAGGTTTAGGGTTCGTTATCTAGCCAACCTAGAGTAGTGATTAGGAAAACTAAGCTAACTAACCTAGACTAACCCCTAACCTAGCTATTTACAATGTTTGGAGCTCCCTTGGGTTAAAGCCCCCTATTTCCGACCTTTGGATCGATGTTGGGTATCTTCCTAGTTCGATCGAGCCACTAACCTACCATTAGGAAATGAACTCCCTCGGGACGGTCCCGGAACGGTGAAGTGATGGATGGGTAGGAGCCCTGTTCAACCTAGCGCACCCCTATATCATAGGAGATCGATCCAATCGACTCCCTCGGGGATTGCCCGAACGATATGGGGTGAGGAGTTGTTTCCCTCCTAGGTCAAAAGCTCGATTGACTCAATTACTCTACCGTTAGGAGATAGACTCCCTAGGGAATGACCCGGAACGGTGAATCAATGAATGTGGTAGCCTCTATTCAACCTAGGGCAACCATATATCGTAGGAGATTGATGGAATCGACTCCCTCGGGGATTACCCGGACGATATAGGGTGAGGAGTGACCCGAAGTCGCCAATAATGGGCTCTAAGTGGATTTTCTCCCTCCTAGGTCAAAAGCTCAATACATTAAAATGGAAACTCAACTCATGTCATTCATGAAAACATTCATCAATTAAGTAAAATCATCAATCAAACATGGAATGTGTCACATACATCAACATTAAACCCAAATCTAAACCTAGGGTTCTTAAACCAAGATAAGAGGGTGAGTTTCTAGAGAGAGAAGGGAGAAACTAAAAATTGGACCCCAAGATCTTTTTCTTCTTCTTCTATGCTTGAATCCTTGTCTTCAAGATCAACCCAAGCCTCCAATTAAGCTTCAAGATCACTCAAGCACTCTCCCTCTCTCCAGAACTCCCCTTTGGTGTTTTGTGTTGAAATCCTAGAGAGAGAAACTATTTCATCTCCTAAAAACCAGCTCTCCCTTTCTTCCTTCTACTGTTGCCTTTTATACCCAAATCGAAGGTTGTTCACGACCGTGAACTCAAAGCCTGGACCGTGAACTCGAACCAAATCGCGTCGTTTCACTACAGCACTTCACGGTCTAGAGCTAAAGTTCATGGTCTTACGACCGTGAACTGACTTGGCGTCAGCAACCTCTGGAATGGCTCTGGAAACGGGCCAGTTCACATTCACGAGGCAATTGTCACGGTCGCTTTGGGCATTTTTTCACTTTTTCACGCTTTTCAACCTCCAATCGAACCGAAACTCTTCCTCGACCCTCCCACACGTACTAGGACCTGAAAAATATCAAAACAAACACAACCTAGCGTAAAATAGGTCAAGGAATGGTGATCTACTAAGCAAAACGGATAAGAAATGAGGGGTAAAATGTGTGCATTTGGACCCAAATCACACTACTTAGATAGCGATGACTTTGCTCTTTAACTGAAATCAAGTTTTTGGGGTTGTGGTGTCACTCAAATTACTTTTTATAAAGAAAAGTGCATAAAATGAAATAAAACTGAAATTGGACAAGGAAAACAATAAAGAAAGAAAGGTGTTGCATAGGCAAGCCTCCTCTAGAATTTTCTTAGACGGGTATCATAACAATTGGCGACATACAAATAGGTGACAGACGAAATTCACACATATTCCTTCACTGACTATTCTTCTTGTCCTAACATCTATCGATGGATCCCTCCTTTTGAGATGGACTAGTAAGACAAGTGGGTCTGTTAGCTAGTCATATGTCTTTCAAATATTCCTTCACTGGGAGTCACTCGGATCCAAGGGGTTTGGGGCGTCAGCCATGACTTTGAGGGGGTAGGCGCCCCACCTCAGTAGAAGTGAGAAAAGAGAAGAAGTATATAGAGAGAGAAATTAGAGAGAAGTAATAGTAAGAGTAGATAGATTGCCATTTATGAGGAGAAAACTCCTATTTATACACATTTGAGGGTTAGGTAGTGGTCTGGGCGCCTGCCAAGCCATAAATGCTGTGGTCGGGCGCCTCAGACCTTCTGACACTGTACATGGTACTTTTTGACAGAGGGTGTCCCCCTGCCCCTTGTCCTTGTTGATGTCAGGTGCCTGGCCTTGTCTTTTGTCTCCTTGCCTTGTCCTTTTGCTCTTTTGTCTTCTTTCCTTCTTTATACCATTAGCTAGAGTTTTGCCTCCTTAGTTACTAGGATACTCTATCAATTGCCCCTTTGACGTCGGTATGAGTATCATGGCGGCGTCAACATAAAGTGAGTTTCACTAACCTTGCTTTCTCGTCTTCACAATCAAGTGCCAGCTCTCTTTCTTTAGTTAATCGGTACCAGGCTCTTCCTTTCAAGTGGGTGCTTCATTTCCTTATTGATCTTCTGATCTGTTGAGCGCTTGTGCACCCATGTGGGTGTGCTTGCTTCCAAATAAGGTGTAGTAAAATGAGGAAGAATAAACACATGTCTCAAGTAACGGAGACTATCAAAAGAAGCAATCATGCCCCTTTTATCAAGCGCCTGACGCTTGCATTCTTCCGTTCTTCATCAATTATTTCCTAAGTGACTACTCTTTCATCTTAGAGGATGTGCCTACGCTCGTGTTAGAGTATTCAATCTATCTTGACAATCAAATGAAGTTGAAACAATCTTGTCAGTTTTCCTTTGATTGTGCCTTGCCCATTTGAAACGAGCGCCTAGCGCTCTTTTCCAATTTTTTTCTTTTTCTTTTTGCCAAAAGATACCACTGATATTCAAATGCTTTCCATTCATTGTCTAAGATGCTCCATTTTTCTTTCGATTGCTTGTGCTCTTTTAGAAGAGTGCTTGCTTCGATTCTTTGGCTAAGCACTGGTCACCCAGCTTGTCGTTAGTTTCCCTAAGACCCAAACTCAACGAGGTGTTTGGCGACTCACTCCTTTGCCGATGTGTCTGACCTTCAGTTGGGCGCCTGACATTTTACTCCTTAGCGAGGTGCCTAACCTTCAGTGGGGTGCCTGGCGCCTCACTCCTTCGCTTATGTCTTTGGTAAGCATTTGTCACACAGCTTGTCGTTTGTTGCCTTAAGACCCAAAGTCAACGAGGTGCCTGGTGACTTGCTCATTTGCCGAGGTGCCTGACCTGGCACCTCACTCCTTCAGCGAGGCGCCTGGCACAACACTCCTTCAGCGAGGTGCCTAACCTTTCAGCGGTGTACATGGCGACTCGCTACTTTGTCGCGGTGTTTAACATTTGATAGGGTGCCTGACACCTCACTCCTTCGGTGAGGTGCCTGGCGACTCGCTCATTTACATAGGTGTCTGACATTCAGTTGAGCGCCTGTCACCTCACTCCTTCAGCGAGGCGCCTGACACCACACTCCTTCAGCGAGGTGCCTTACCTTCAGTGGGCGCCTGGCACCTCACTGACATTCAGTTGAGCGCCTGTCACCACACTCCTTCAGCGAGGTGCCTAACCTTGAGTGGGCGTCTGACACCTCACTCCTTCAGCTAGGCGCCTAACCTTGAGTGGGGCACATGGTGACTTTCTCATTTGCCGAGGTGCCTGACCTTCAGTTGGGCGCCTGGCACCTCACTCCTTCAGCGAGGCGCCTGGCACCACACTCCTTCAGCGAGGTGCCTAACTTTCAGCGTGTACATGGCGACTCCTTCAGCCAGGCGCCTTCCGCCAGGCGCCTAACCTTGAGTGGGGCGCCTGGAACCTCACTCCTTCAGCCAGGCGCCTAACCTTGAGTGGTCACATGGTGACTTGCTCATTTGCCGAGGTGCCTGACCTTCAGTTGGGCACCTGGCACCTCACTCCTTCAGCGAGGCGCCTAGCACCACACTCCTTCAGAGAGGTGCCTAACCTTCAGTGGGGCGCCTGACCCCTCTCTCCTTCAGCAAGGCGCCTAACCTTGAGTGGGGCACATGGAGACGCTCCTTTGCCGAGGTGTCTGATCTTCGGTTGAGCGCCTAACACCTCACTCTTTTAGCGAGGTGTCTGACCTTCAGTGGGGCGCCTGGCTTCTCATTCCTTCGTCTATGTATGATACTAACAACTTAGAACCTTACTCTTGTAAGTCTAACATTACTTGCTTTGGTTTATTTGAGCGTACAGGCGCTTCAATGAGGTGTCTGGCGACTCGCTCCTTTGTCGGGGTGCCTGACCTTTGGTAAGGCGCCTGACACCTCACTCCTTCAGCGAAGTGCTTGACCTTCAGTGGTAGGATGTCTGGCACCCCAACTTCTTTGCTTGTTTTTCTTTGTCAAACTTGTTTTAAAACGAGGATAGGCTAATGGGTGAACGGCCAATCACCCCTGGTGAGACTTTTTCAATGTCAAGCTCTTCCTCAAGCTCTTCCTCAAGCTCTTCCACGCATCGAGGTGAGTTTCGCCACTTTTTTCGGTCGGAGGCGCCACCTCCACTCTTTTAGGCGCTTTGGTTTCTGAAACGGATGAAGACAGATCTGATTTGGCTGCTCCGTTCCAATTGGGGGCGCCTCCTTCCTTACTTTTCGCTAGGCGCCTTTGCTTCTTGTTAAACGGTAGATACCTTTCGCCTTCTTTCTCCTAGGCGCTCCCCCCTTGAAGGCTCTCATCGGCGCCTTTCGCTTTGACCATTTCTGTCGGGAGCCTCACTCCGTAGATTAGGTACGTTTTAACTCGGCTATTCGAAGGGGAACATTCGCTCTTTCTTTTGTTTGAAACAGAGGCACCTCCGAACGTCGGGCTCAATCATACTGCTATGTAGTTTTCCGCTGAAGATGCCGCCTGCTCTCCCCTGCTGGCAGGCGCCTCCCCTTCTTCCTTCTCTCGGCGCTTTTGTTTCTAACTGTTTCTGCCTCCTTCCTTTGCAAAAGTTACCTCTCCATAATTGTTATTTGTTGGGAGTTTCCCCTTCCAGCTCGTTAGGTGCTTTTGAGACGCATCAACAAGTAAGCGCCGCCCTTCGTTATTGCTAGGCGTTTTTTCAATTGAAGGCGCCGCCTTCTAGTTTTCTCATCTTACTGCTTTTGCAGGTGTTACCGAGAGCTCCCCTCCGATCATTTAGGCGCTCTTGCCTACCAACATAGGTAGGCTTTGCCCCTCGTATTTTCGAACGCCATTCCTTGGATTTTGCTAAGCTCCTTACCTTGTTTATCGCTCTATGATACTTGCACCTGTTTATAATGCAGGTTCAGCCTCAAGGCGTCTTAAGGCACCCGTTTTTCTTACGCGTAGCCTCTTTGAAAAGAGGTGATGCGTTTTGGTTTCTCCTCAACGGAGGAAGCGGGTCTGGGTGACCCCTTCTGACAAGGCAGGAAATTTCGCGAGGGATATGGCCAAGGCACCACCTCTCATGGGGACTCGTAAAACGAGCTCCCTACGCTCGGATGAAGATCCGGGCGTAAGCACTAAGGTTCTTCCGCTGGTTGCGGGTAAAAGGTTTTGCTAAGATGACTATCTTAAGCAAAACTTGATTTTTCTTACGTGTACCCCTGAGAAGGAGGTGACACGCTTAGGCTTCTCCTCGACGGAGGAAGCGGGTCTGGGTAACCCCTTCTGGCAAGGCAGGAATTTTGCGAGGGATATGGCCAAGGCGCCACCTCTCATGGGGACTCGTAAAACGAGCGCCCGACGCTCGGATGAAGATCTGAGCGTAAGCACTAAGGCTCTTCCGCTGGTTGCGGGTAAAAGGTTTTGTTAAGATGACTATCTTAATCAAAACTTGATTTTTCTTACGTGTACCCCTGAGAAGGTGGTAACACGCTTAGGCTTCTCCTCGATGGAGGAAGCGGGTCTGGGTGACCCCTTCTGACAAGGCAGGAATTTTGCGAGGGATATGGCCAAGGCGCCACCTCTCATGGGGACTCGTAAAACGAGCGCCCGACGCTCGGATGAAGATCTAAGCGTAAGCACTAAGGCTCTTCCGCTGGTTGCGGGTAAAAGGTTTTGTTAAGATGACTATCTTAAGCAAAACTTGATTTTTCTTACGTGTACCCCTGAGAAGGTGGTAACACGCTTAGGCTTCTCCTCGACGGAGGAAGCGGGTCTGGGTGACCCCTTCTGACAAGGCAGGGATTTTGCGAGGGATATGGCCAAGGCGCCACCTCTCATGGGGACTCGTAAAACGAGCGCCCGACGCTCGGATGAAGATCTGAGCGTAAGCACTAAGGCTCTTCCGCTGGTTGCGGGTAAGGTTTTGTTAAGATGACTATCTTAAGCAAAACTTGATTTTTCTTACGTGTACCCCTGAGAAGGTGGTAACACGCTTAGGCTTCTCCTCGACGGAGGAAGCGAGTCTGGGGTGACTCCATCTGTTAAAACAGGGATAGCTTTGCATTGTCGAGTAGTGAATATCCGTTCCTTGAGCAAAATAGGGAATTACATGGGGTATCGCCAGGGCGCGTCCCTTTCCCCGAAAATTCCTAACATTACCAACCTTCACTATGTTTGGCAACAAGGGGGGTGCAAGTTCGAGGGGGGTACAAGTTGAGGGGTAAATTGTTGGGGGGTGCAACTTGGTGGAGGGTGTAAGTGGAGGGGTAAATTGTTGTTTGGATGAAAAAGTAGGGGGGTGCAAATAGAGTAAAAAGTAAGTAATTATATTATTATAAAATAAATTTATCAATTTATAAAATATTATCACAAAATAATAACATGAAAATTCAATATATAATAATAAAAATAATTTTAATAAAAATAATTATTATATAATAATGCTCAAATATAATTATTTATAACAACAATAATAATCATTGGTCGAGCAACCTCGAAACTCGAAATCCAACTCGTAACTAGTCATCCTAACGGGGTTCTCGTGCCTAACTTTAAATTGAATATGGTCAAACTTAGTCAAACACGTTCGAATCTGTAAGTTTTAACTACTTATTAAAGTAAATCGAGTTAACTAAACTGTTCCTCTCTATCTTTTCAACAAACGCTTCTTATCTCTAATTTTCAATGCAAATTCGGGTCAACTAAGAGATATCGATTTGACGAGGCGAACATTGACAAACTTGCTCTCTGAGTCAAACGGTCAACCCCAAACAACTTCTACACTAATATAGATATAAGAAAAAATTAATAATATTAATTATTATGTAATTATAATCTAATTAAAAATTCATAATTCCCCTCCTCCCCCTTCCCCCTCCCTTCCTTCCTTCCCTTGCACCCCAATTTGGGGGGTAAGCCGAAACAGTGAATTTACGCTCACGTTTTGCACCCCCCTACTGTTACAAAATAACCAAACGGGGGTAAACACCTTGGAACTTGTGTTTACCCCTCCAAACTTGCACCCCCTTCCATTTACACCCTTTCCCAAACATAGTGAAACTGAATAAAAGGACTCCTCCTAGCACGCTTTTGCCTCTCTTAGGGTGTCTTTGGGTTACGCCTACTTAAAGGGCGGCCCTCCCCCTACAAAAATTCCAGGGCGCTTCTTTCTTCCGAGGCGCCGTAGTTGAGTCGGGCGTACTTCTCCAGGTAGACATCGTCGTCAGCTTCGATTGCGTCCTCGTTGGGTGAGGCGCCCACACCCTCCCGTAGGGAGTTCATGGGTAGCACCTCAACCTCTTGCATCTTTCCTCGGAGGCGCCTCCTCTCCTCTGTGGCTTCTTGGGGATTGGGAGGCGCGTGATTGTTTGCCTTTGTTAGTGCTGACAACGCGGTCATGACTTGATCCAGTTGGCCTTGCGTGCTGGCCATTTGAAGTGCTTGCTTTTCCCGAAGCTTCGCTAGTTGGCCCTCCAGGCGCTCCATGTCTTCTCCCTCTCCTGATGGATCGTCGTCGTCGGATGCTTCCAAACTTTGGATGGTGAGTGGTTGAGGGTTGATCGCTTCTCGACCAACGACTTGCTTGATAGGGGTCTTCGTTGGTGCCGGACTCCTTTCTTCCCCCTTCTTTGAGTTGGAAGCGTCTTTCAAAGTCATGCTTGTCCCCACGGTGGGCGCCAATTGTTTGAGCCCGGGCGACTGGGAGTCACTCGGATCCAAGGGGTTTGGGGCGTCAGCCATGACTTTGAGGGGGTAGGCGCCCCACCTCAGTAGAAGTGAGAAAAGAGAAGAAGTATATAGAGAGAGAAAGTAGAGAGAAGTAATAGTAAGAGTAGATAGATTGCCATTTATGAGGAGAGAACTCCTATTTATACACATTTGAGGGTTAGGTAGTGGTCTGGGCGCCTGCCAAGCCATAAATGCTGTGGTCGGGCGCCTCAGACCTTCTGACACTGTACATGGTACTTTTTGACAGAGGGTGTCCCCCTGCCCCTTGTCCTTGCTAATGTCAGGTGCCTGGCCTTGTCTTTTGTCTCCTTGCCTTGTCCTTTTGCTCTTTTGTCTTCTTTCCTTCTTTATACCATTAGCTAGAGTTTTGCCTCCTTAGTTACTAGGATACTCTATCACTTAGACGGGTATCATAACAATTGGCGACATACAAATAGGTGACAGACGAAATTCACACATATTCCTTCACTGACTATTCTTCTTGTCCTAACATCTATCGATGGATCCCTCCTTTTGAGATGGACTAGTAAGACAAGTGGGTCTGTTAGCTAGTCATATGTCTTTCAAATATCTTCAACTAAATGTCCAAGAAGGAATATCTTACCAGATTAAGTCGAAATGAACCTTCCATAAAATGGCGCACGAGGGGCCATTTTGGCTTATGGTCAATAATTTGGCCGTCAATTTGGGCTCAAAATCCAGCTCTATTTTTGGCGTCCAGATAACTAGTCCTGGTTTCTCCAGCTCTTACAAGGTGGTCCACTAGGTGTTGTAGCCTGAAAATGCATAAAATACTAACCAAAATGTATTAAAAAGATAAAAACAACCCTATAGGCAATTAAACACACCTTTAAGTAATTACCAAATGAATCTCAATCAATATGGCTAAATATAACGTGAGGCATAGCTGAGGTGGAGATCAAAATGGAGGAGGAGATGCAAGTGCAGGATGAGTTGGAAACATACTAGGAGATGAAGGGACTTACTATTATTCTCAACTCGATTAGAGACATGTTATGTCTTTCATCTTGAATATATATTATTTTAAAAATCTCATGTGTAATTTTGAATTTTGTTATTTTATCTTTATTATTTGCGTGTATTATGTTTTTTTTTTACAGACATGGAAAACAAGTAGATCAGTGTAATAAACATAATGTAAACTCATCTTGAATTAATAGCTATTTATTGCAAAAATAAAGACAAACTATAAAAAAAATATTAAAGTGAACAAAATATTTTATAATAAAGTGAAAAAACTAAATTTGCCAGGTTGTAAATTTGAAATAAAAAAGTAAATTGAGGAGCTAAAAATGAGTATTCGAAGAGATGTAAAGCTAAATTGAGGAGAAAGGGTTGGAGACTTGGAGTTAGCCTAACAAGTAACATCTCACCACCACAAATTTCAATTAGGGTTATGGAAAGCCGGCGGATAATCCAAAGTACCGAGTTTTTTAATTATCTACTGATTCGACAAACTCGTTTTGTCGTTCTCCCGATTCTCTCATCTTTTTTCAGTGCCAGGACGAAACCACGACATTATGATCCGTAGATCCCAACGAAAGGCGTTGCTTACAAAATTAAATAATAAACTAGAAAAAAAATAAAAATAACAAAACCCCACGGGAAAAACCCCGAGATAGCCAAAAGCGTCACTTATTATAGTATAATTATGATGATAATTACAATACTCGCTCTTCTTAGTTCTTAGCACCCATTTTTCCCCTTTCTCTTTATCTCCTCACTTCCCTCGATCTCGCTTCGAGCTCCTGCTTCAATGGCGACATCCTGTGCTCCCGTTTCAATCTCAGGTACTACTTCGCCGTCGCGGCGCTTCTTCTCTTTCCTATTCTATTTAGTTGTGAACTCTGCTGCTCTACCGTCCTTGCTATTTCGTTTGAACTCGCGCGAGCGAGACTTTGGTTTTTCCTTCGCTTTAGGGGTTGTTATTCTGTGGAAACGTGATTCCAAAGTGTTTGTTGGCTCTGATTCGTGTATCTACGCTGGATAAATGCGATTCCAGTTGCTTCCACGGTGACTAGTTTCTGTACTGAAATCGTCTGAGTTTCGCCGTGGCCCTAAACCTTCTGTTTGTGTCGATGGAAATTTGGGAAGAACTAAGAGATAGGTGGGACTGGAAAAGGAAAGAACATCCTGGAGTTCATATCTTTTTGTTCTTTGTTTTTTACTCCCTCAGTTTCTGGACCAGAACAAGGGAAAATGTGTGTTGTTGAATTTAGGGATTAATGAGTAGGGAAATCCTTTCTGTAAACATGGGATAAGTATGATATTTCTTGTAGTTTTGCTCCATTTCTGATTGGATAAGAGAGAGACTGATCCCGTGGCCATTGCTTTTTTATGTGGTTCAAGGTGTATCTCATCGAAGGACAAGTGAGCTAGGTTCGAGAAAGGTTGACGTGTTCGGGAAGTCGTCAAAGCTGATTGTGCAGAGGAAATTTAACCAACTCCCAGCAAATCAGAAACTCTCAGTTCGTGCAGAATACGGGCAAGTTGTTTCGTATAGCATGCTAAGTTTGTAGGCTGTTCAAGTTTATCTTTTCCTCACCTCATAGATTGAAGTCATTGGCGTACGATCTGCTTAGCAGTTTGTCTCTAGAAATTAGAACAATTGGTAAAAGGGATGCTTGTATTCTGATCGCTATGTGCACTATTCAGATATCGGTAATTTCAAGTGGGATTCAAAACTGTTGAAATAATCAAGTTTGTCACATGGAAATTTGCTGAAATTTTGTTTGATAGTCGTACTTCCATTTTAGTTTTAACCAATCTAGATTGGTTATCATTTTCTGTTTTTAGGTAGTGAATGAAATTCATTTTAGTAGCCTAGTATTGGGTGACACTGAAGATACAGCGGCGTTGCAAACATCTGTGCCTCATCTTAAGCTCTTATAGTTATAGAACATCTAACGTTGTCAAAGATTAGCACATCTCATGTTGTCTTTCATGCAAAGCACCTTATGCTTTACCCAGGCCTGCAGCAACATAATATGGTGCTTGATAATGTAAATGATTCGGTTGTCTTAGGCTCTTACCATATGTTGAATTCTCGTATTTGGAGTTGCCTGCCTATCTTATGTTCTCATTCTGTGTTTAGTCCTCTTTTCTGAATCGTTTCTACGTTTGCTGAGTGCAGTAATAACAGGGGTGGTGGCGGCGGCGGCGATTTTGCTGCTGGTTTTCTCTTAGGAGGGGCCATATTCGGAACTTTAGCTTATGTGTTTGCTCCTCAGGTGATTGAGTACCTCCCTTCATTCTTTAGAAGTTTGTTGCCAGTGTCCTGATAGAGTTTAAGTGCAAGGTGCCATCCAAGATAGAGGATCCATTTTCTGAATAGAGTGCTAGGGCCTTCTGTTCCTTATTTTCACTGTTTCATCGTGTTTCAGCGCCATGCATATAGAGGGAAAGAAAAAAATTTGAATATCAGGATTGTTGAAGTCAGTAATGCCATGACCTTTTTGCTCCAGAGGCAGTATGGTTCATGCTAGTCCATTTGACCTGGTATTCTTTTTCTGGGCTTCCATTATTTTAGATAAGAAGATCTCTACTAAACGAGGATGAATATGGGTTTCGCAAAGCCAAGAGACCAATTTACTACGACGAAGGCTTAGAAGTAAGCCAAGTTCGTTCTGGTTTCAATACATCTCGTTTTTGCAGTGTGACAATTCAATTTACATTTACCAAATGACCATTTCCAAGATCATAACTTCATTTATTTTCTGTGGAGCAGAAGACGAGGCAGACGTTGAATGCAAAAATCAGCCAGCTGAACAATGCCATCGACAACGTGTCCTCTCGTCTGAGAGGTGGCAGTGGCAATAACAGTGCGACTTCGGTGCCCCTTGAAACAGATCCAGAGGTCGAAGCCACCATGTGATCTCTCGATTGCAGTTTCCTGTTTTTCTGCTTCTTTATATGTTTGTTTCCCAGTCATATACTTCGGTTGAGGTTGCTAGGCCAGTTGCCTGTTGATTTTTTGTCTACAAAATTCCGGGAGATGTGGTTTTTGTAGTTTGTACTTGTTTTAAACTTTCCGGACGATTACATTGTCATTTTCATCGAATGAGGGGCATGCATAATTCAGAATACTATGAAAGAGCTACAGGTCTTTCTTTTTCAATCTTAATATTCTCCCATCTGGTGTGTTTGGCATTTCTATTTTCATCGAGTTTCCTTGGTTTTGTGAATGGGCCTGAAAAACAGAGTTAGGTTATCCAGTGTGAGCAGCAATTAGGCAAATAAGAAAGAATGAACATCAAGTGAGGGGAAGATTAACATAAGCTGAAGGAACCAGATATCTAGGCCTTGTGTCTGACCGATAATGACAATGTGATATGCAAAAAAAATTCTGGTATATATGTCCAGAAAGCCCCTCAACGAGTACTTTTTTCTGTAAAAAAGGCAAGCAAGTTATAGGTGGTTAGGTCTAAGAGATAAATATGCAAATGAATGAATGGTTATGATAAGATCCGAGCTCGTGGAAATTTAGATTCTTTTGTCATAGTCGCGGAGTAACAACTCAAGGTTGGATAGCTCGAATCGACCTTCAAACAAACATAAAAATAAAGGGATATGTGGAGATATATACTCGCCACAATCAAGTGTGATCGCTTGATTGATAAGAGTCTTGCCAAGGTTTTCTGGAATCTGCAACAGAAAAACTCAAAACAAGGATCTTGCACTAGCTATGGAATCCATCAATAGCTAAAACAATAAACCATAAGCATGCCAACTCCATGAGGGAAAAAACACACCTCGGTGTAAAATTCTTATTCAACAAAATCTAATCCTTAAATTTGTGTTTACAATCCTTTAAATAGGTATTGAAAAATAAAACCAATGAAAACACCGAAAAGAAGAAGAAAAAAAATCTAAATGAAAAAGGTAACAAAACTCGGCAGGGCCAAATTCCCGGTCGGGACATTTACATGCACCCATCGGGGGTCATTTTGTTGGAATTCCCCGGTCTCTCCCTCAACTTCCCCTATCGGGGATTCTACAAGTCTGGTCGGGTTTCTCTTCTCGGCGGAATCACATAATGTTACAATATAGATGGTTATGAATCTTCTTAGACAAGTAATTCAGATTTGTTTAGTTCTAAGAGATCAAGTGGAGAACCATGTTTTAGGAACTGTAGCCTACTGCCAGGTCAGGCCGAAAATATTGGGTTCCGAACCCCAAATGAAAAACAGTTTTAATAATATGAAATGATTTAACCATAGTTAAACCATAATTTTAGCATAAACTATTCAACCTCCTACATTTTCTAGTACAATTTTTGGTAGAGAATGTGAATAGCCAATTGCCCAATTATGCTTTCATATCTTAGAATGAGATATTTACTATAGAGCGCGCCAAAGCAATCACCTCACAACTGGTGGCCCACTCTTTGTTATATCCTTAGTATGGTATTTTAGCAACAACCACAAAAAAAAAAAAGATTCTCCCACGACCATTCGCGAAACTGGAGGTTCCATGACGAATCTTATGTTGCGATGTCAATCATCTTTTCATCGAGGTTGAGATCATCTAACTTCACTATTGGATTAACACAAGCACAGAGCCTTCTTGCCCTTCTTACAAGCGTATCAACGATTTGCCACAACCTTTTTTCTAAGCTTGCCATGCATGCTCATATCACAAGAATGTATTCGGTTGTGATTGCTTTCATTTCTTTTGAGGTATCCAAAAACCTTGGCCAATGGTTTCTTTTTAGTATCTTTGTAAGAAGATTTGAACATGTATTTCCCACCTTCGAAGCGAGATGACTAAAGAGTGTTCTGATGATTTCGTTCCAAACGTACGGACACCTTTATCAATAGAATGGAAATTTAGAGAATGTAGTTCAGTTTCTCAAGAGCCGGTACAAATAATATTCAGCGGGAAAGAGTTAACACCACAATGAGACTGATCAGTTCATTATTATACATTGATCCAATAATTAGCAGAACTTCACTATCACTGCTGGCTGCGTCACTTAGTTCTGTCTCGTATAAACCAATTAGCAGAAGTCGACACGAGATGCTGCATTTTAAACATTACATGGGACCTTCAGAAAAACGAGTCATTAGCTTTTCTTCTTGGAGAACATATCTTTGATGTTTCGGGATTGCGTCTCCAACTTAGGCTTCTTCGCCTGCTTTCCACCTCTCTTCGCTTTGTTGCCAATCCCCTCCTGATTATAAACATAAAACCACAGTATTGCATTACATCGGAACAGAAAGCCTGACTACGAAGGGACTGTGTTTCGAACTGCAGTGAATGACGTACCTGGAAGGAGTCACATCTCTGCTGCAGTAGCTTGCTTTCTTTACTGGCTAGAGAACTCTCAAAATCCGGCCCTGTTTTCGTTGACTCCATCAAATCTATCCTGTAACGGAAATTGGATGAGCCAGATCGAAACATAGAATTTTAATGTAACAAACACACGTTCAGGCATGCAGCTCATTCACAGAGGAAGAGAAAGGCAAAGGAAATACTTCAATCGTTTGCACAAGAGCTTCAACCAAGGCTCATCCTTCACGTACTCCCCCACTATCTTAACTGATTCAGATACTGCACCAGCAAAGTAAACAGCTCCATTTTAACAAGCCAAGTAGGCTTCTCAAGAAAGTACATGTCGAAAGGAAAAAGAGGATTAGGTTTGACATTTGCACTAGTGTTGAGCACATCAGACACAAACTCAAGACCAGCAAAATATGCTGTCGAAGGGAAAACATCGTTATATGATCTTCTATATAACTACTGTTTAGGCAAAGTGAAATAGACCCACCCCTCCTCTCTTGTGAAGATATATCCAAAAGAAAGGCCTGAAGAAATTACCAACATAATGATATATTTTATCTATGTCTAATAAGTGCCACAAAAAGAGACTGATATGGATGACCTGAAAAATGCTACATCTGAAAAGCGAACTGAGAGAGACATCAATCAATAGGATCAACAATGGGATAAGTTGTATCTGATAGTTACATGTAGTCTGCTCGTCCATTGAGGCATACTTTTCATCCAGCGATGGAAAAGTCTGTTTTAGTTGGGAGACCTGCATTTTAAGTTTAAACTCAGAGACCTTAGAAATGTACAAGAGCAGTGTTGTACTAATAAATTTCATTGCCCTTTGGATCAAGTTAAGTGTAACAAAAGTCAGTAAACAGTGACCTAGGCATTTTATACAAGTGGAATGATAAATACGTGTAACAAAGAGACATATCAGTTTCGAAAATCAGACCTTGCAGTGCAGCCAGGCTAAGACTTTTGAATCATCTAGTCGAAAGAACTTTGAAGATCCAATTTCTGCAAACAGAAAATAAGTAGTGATCAGTGGAACAATACTTGACATAATAGCAGTGTTGCTTAATAGTCAAAGTAGCAGCATAAGTATTCTGCTTGTACGCATCAAAAGAAAATGTCACTTGCTCACTAAGATAAATTGAAACGCACATTTATGGATAACAACTTCAACTGATAAAAGTAACAGACATATAACCTTTGATTTCACAAACTACTCCCATAAAGTTTTCTGCAATTGACATTAACTGATGATATCCAGGATAGCCATCAATGAATATGATCTCATCTAATGGCCTGAACTTTCCGAGATCATCCCCTTTCTGCAAATGAGAGAAAATCAGTGAAGCAAGAATATCTTAAGCATAACTAAATGCAGCCTCCTAGAAAAATTATAATAACCAACAATGATTCCAATAAATTATTACATCACTGCAAAGGAATCAAGGTTAACGAGAATAATGGATGAGATTCTAACCTTCATCCTAGCCTCCTCAAAAATGGGCAACAAAATGAAGACTGGATCAACTGAGGTGGCAAAATATATGCCCCCGTCTGTGCAAGGAAAACATAAAATTCAGGTGAAGAACATAAAACCCAAAAATAGGAAGAAATTCTAGTAAGCACAATATGGCTTAAAGATCTATGTATGAATGCCATTTTACTTCTGAAGGTATAAAGGTGAAAAAGCTTGTTACTTTTTCCCCCAAACATTCTGAGTACTGGATACAGGGTTGATTTGATAGAACTCCAACGCAACATGGTGTGTACTAGTCTACATGTCATAGTGGCCATTGACATAATAACATATGATACGAGTAGCAATCACGTTACTGTAACCAACATAACTACTAAAACTTTAATACTCTTCATCAGACCTAAACAAAGCTATCCTATCGCAGCTTATTGCCCATGCTATCAAGAAAACAACAAAACAGCTATAGAACTACTTACAGGGGGGGAAACAAAGATTAGGACATCCTTAAACCAAGTACATCTACCTTCACAAACATAATCTCCTAGAAACCAAGATCTATACGACTGCTTAAACAAGTGAAGTTCTTGGAGTCCTCCACTAGCAAGACGATAGCAAGCCTTGCTCCCTGCCAAAAGGTGAAAGATTCCCAGAAATCAGAAATCTCATTGTTGTACCATAGGTATGAAATAGCTACAATTTCCAATTGCACAAATCTTCCTACTATGGGTACAACAGCAAAACTAAAAAGCCAATCGTATGTAAGTACAACAATTGTAACAACAATGCACATGAGCACGGGATAATTCACCATATTGCAGATGATATTTCGCATGAATGAAGTATGCAATGACCTGATTTTGGATGCCGAAGTGATAACAAACACCCCGAGCCGGTTTCATTTCCAGCAGGATCTGTACACAGTCAAAGCAATACAAGGCATAAGAAACCAAACTAAATGAGCCCACCAACAAACGGAGGCTTAAACTGGAGGAAAAAGTGTTTTCGCACTAGGAATACAGACGGACAGATGAAGCCTTCATCGAGACCTTTCCGCTTCAGCGAAAGACAGAGATGCGAATCAATCTAACCTGGTGCAACGAGGAGACGAGTTTCATCAATGCCTTTCCACCACGCCATACCTAGCCTCTCATAAATAAAAACAAGCATGAACAGTATGCAACTTTGTTTCCTTCTCCCCGAGCTTCGAAGGCAGGAGGGAAGAGTTTTGCGAAGAAACTGACGAACGAACGCGAGAAATGGGAGAATCCGCACCTTCGGCCAGTTAGAAGTTAATCGAGAAGGTGGGGCAGCAGTTTTGAAGTGGAATAATGGCTTCTAAAAAGAGGAATCGTGCCTCGACGGCCGTTGAGTCCACGAAGTGGCGACGCGAAGACGAACGGCGGTGATGGTAAGCGCCGTCGTTGTGGCTGTCGGCCGGCTGCGAATGGACTTAACGTCTTGACCTAAAGTAAAGTAAAGGGCGGGAGAATAATGTGAATTTCGAGGGAAGAGTTTTTGGCCAAGCTTGTCAGACCGGTATGGAGCCGGTTTATCAAGTGTATGATATCGGTTTATGTTGGTTTAATATAATATATATATGCATAAATGTGAAAATCCATTAAGATTAAATGACTTTAAGTTATATAAAAAAATATTCCAAACAATATACTTATGATTTACATTCATATTTAAATAAATACAACATTCCAAATAACATAACAAATGCTCAAATTTAAATACAATATTTAACATCAACACCGAAAAAAAATTATACTTGAATCCAACAAATAACATCAACATTTAACTTTCAAATTCATAACAAATCACAAATTATTTTTTTTAATTAAATTCTCTAAAACTGCGTCATTTTGGTTAGAGGTCGGAAATCATATCACGTTGATCATATCGGTGGTATTCCATTCGTTTCATGATCGACATCAGTTATACCAGGTTTAACCGGCTTACATTCCACCGGCGTGACAATCATGTTTTTGACGCAATCTTTAGTTACTGCAATTTAACTTGATAAAAAGCAAGCCCAATCTATAGACTACTTAGTACCTTTATAGCTTGACGCCTTCACTTCGTAGGTAGACACCTTGTGTCGTTGAGGTATCTTGTTTGGCGTCGTCTTGGCGTTTGATGCCTTAGTGAAACTCATGTTGGCCACCCTTGCACAACAACATGCTCGACACTAGCGTGCTGGGGAGTTGATGGATGCACATTGACCCTTTGGGGGTGGACATCATGCTTGTAGGATCTTGACAAGGTGGTCTTTCATGTGATGATATACATGACTGACACTTAGAAACTTTATGACCTTACTAGGTACCATGCATGGCTACCCATGAATGAGGGTGTGTTGTGCCTATCTCCTTGGTATGATGTCATGCTTGGCACCCAGATGCTTGGTAGGTAGACAAAGAGCATACTTAGCCAATTTCCATGTTTTCATATATGACTATTTTCCATGTTTCCATGTTTTCATATCTACATCAACCCTCTTTGGATGTAGTAATGACAAACGGGTGGGGGCGAGACGTGTATATCAATACTCATACTCACTCCGCACCAAACGCGAGACAAGACGAGTGTGGGACGGGGCGTAACGACCCACTCTTACATGTTAATAGAAAAAACATACACCAAAATTTTACTTTTACGATAAAATAAAGGGACAATTTACGAATGAAAATAGTGATAATATAATAGGTAATTATGTCAAACTAGTTGAAGAAAAATCAAATTAGGAGAAATTTGAATAGATCTTGTAAGAAGTTGAGATAGAATGGTCAAGAACGGGGCGGGTCATGACAAATCGAAAGTGGACACCCATGTCGCGCCCCATGTTACAACGGGTCGGATAATACTCGCCCCATCGCGGGTCAAGTCGAGTAATACCCGACAAGGCGAATTCAAATTGTCATCTCTATTTGGATGAGGTAACCGCTAGCGCTAGGTATGTAGTGTGCTTGATAAGTGGGACAATGCCTACGCCTCTTATTGATGTCATGCTTAGGAGAAGGCATTTGATTTGGTAAACCCGAACCAAACCTAACAAACACCGATTTAAACCGAACCAAAATCGAACTATTATTATTTGGTTTGAAATTCTGAATAGAAATCTGTTGAAACCCAGGGTTTCTCTTGATTGAACGAACCAACCGAAACATGGGCTCAATGCTACCTGAGGCCAGTACACTCCCCGCTATAAACAATCCCATCTCCCATAGCCTAATTCATGGAGGCGTTTGAAATTCTGTGTGGGGGGTGGGGGGGATTCTCTATCTCCCCCATTATATGTCTATGTATGTCCCTCTCCATATTTTCGGGTTTGTGTGCAATCGAATTTAACTAGAATATAATTCTAATTCGGTTCGACCAAATGGAATAGAATTATATTTCAGTTCAAATTTAATTTGTAGTGTTTGAAGTAAACCAGGACGCGATATGCTCCATTTTGATTCGGTTTTGACCGAAGGGATACCCCTCATGATGATGTCATGCTAGCCAATCATGCCTGGTAGGTGGCCACTTGGGTGGTTCATGTCGAGGAAGTGACTGTTGAAATACCTTGCATGGTAAGATGAATAGTCCAAAACTTTACCACTTTAGGTCCAGCTTAAATCAATTTAATTGATATGATTAAATTAATCTTATAAGCCACAAGTCCACAACCACCAATGTAATAATAAGTTAATTTTTAAGATAAACATTAAACACTACATTATCAAGGAGAACCATTTTCCATTTAAACTTGCCTTATCATGGAGAAACATTTCAATTCAAACTCCCCTCCCCTCCCCTCCCCTCCTTTTCCTTCTAAAGAAACAAACGGTGAGTTTTTTTTTTTTTATGAACTATTTTTTTCCTCATAAACACTGCAGCTTTTTATTTATATGTACTTCCTTTTTCTACAAGGTAAAGGATAGAGCAAAGGCAGGAGACCAAAGTTCACATTACAGCGCAAACAAAAACACTTCCCAAGACTCCGTAGCATTAGTTTAGACAAAAACTCAGTTGAGGATCAACAAGTACCTGTTCCTGGCTTCCTGCAGCAACTTATATCTAAACACTTTCACCCAAAAAAACAACAGAAAACAAGAAGCTCTAATATCTTGCGAATCAGACAGTGAAAAGCATGGCCTTAGCTATCTCCATCGCTTTGTCGCATCCAAAAATCTTCTCCACTATCGCCAGGCCAAACTCCATTGAAGTTCCCGGGCCTCGGCTCGTGATCAGGTTGCCGTCTACCACTACCCTGTTCTCAACTTCACTCTGATCCGATAGCTTCTCGCACATGGCCGGAAAAGCTGTAGCCTTCTTCCCCTACAATCATGGACAAATATGAAAACAAACCCACCTTTCAAATTTCAACCAACCAAAATATGATATTGCGCAAACCATAACAAACAGAGATTGCCAAAGATGATACCTTGAGAAGCCCATGAGGCTCCAAGACCAGAGCTGGAGAAGCGCATATAGCTCCATATGGACGATTTGATTCATGTTGCTTCTTTAGTAGATCCACCAATTTCTCCGACTTCGAAAATGCTTGAGCTCCCCCGAGTCCACCCTGTAAGATGTAAAAGAAGGCTAAGTAACAACCCGAATTGAACAATGCAGAAAAATACAGAACCATTACAAGGAAAAGCGCATAAGAAGTTCAGTACAGGAGAAAGGAAGTTGACAGTACTTACTGGCAAGACAATAAGGTGGTATGACAATTTAGCAGCATCATCAAGCAGCATATCTGCTTCCAGCTTAACCTTTCGAGAAGCTAGTATTTCCAGTTTTTCCTCAACAGAAGCCACTACAACATTCACTTTAGCTCTTCGCAAAATGTCAATGATCATAACGGCCTCCATTTCCTCGGAGCCATTTGCAATGGGAACAAGAACCTAAGAGGTGCAAAACCATATATTAACTCTCAAACAGACTTGGTCGTCTACTTTTCCCAAGGAACTTTATCACTCATAGTAAATGATACAAGTGCTCCTCACTCACCTGCGGTGGGTTATCTTCAGTTTCCCAAGGGATTGAATTTAGCTCTTTGATAGTGTACTCGTCCCCATGGTTGGGACGCATCACCTGCATTATAAAAATATTTCTCAGTCACTAGAGCAGTTGAGAAATCCCCACTACAATGCAATGATAACCAGAATTTTCACAAACAAAAGCCAGTAAGCAAATGATGAATCTTATGGAATAATCACCAACTCCATGTAGGACAATTACGAGATTTTTCTAATTTAGTTAGTGGTGTAAAAGATATACAAATATAGAAGAGGGACATATACCAATGGCCCTGAAACTTCGTTAGCCTTTTCTTTTCCATACAATTGCTCAACCAATGCTACAGAAAATTCCATTGTTGTGCCAGGACCACGGCTAGTAACTGTGATGCCATCCTTCTGCACTCTTGATTCAACAGCAATAGCAGAGGACTGCTGCAGTTCCTGCATGAAGGACGGATAACATGTTGCCTGGTCCAAAACCAGTGAAATCCATAAGCACTTTCGGTAATTTCGTATATTGCGAAGTAAAGAAGCTATTGCTTTTAATTTCAGAGGGTTACTTTTAGCCCCTTCAGCAAACCCCATGAACCAAGTGCCACTGCCGGGGAGGCACAGACTGCAGCATATGGCCGTTCTTCTGAAGCTTGTTTCTTGACCATGGTTTCCAGCTCTTTGCAATCTCTCAAATTCGCAGCGCCTGGAATGCCTCCCTGTTTATATAGCAACAATAAAATTCATATTACAAGCTGAAATTACTAGGTCAGTCTACATGTTGAAACAATAGAACCCGTTGATCACTCGATCATAAACAAAACGGACGGAAACTTGGCCTAACACACAGTGCAATAGTAGCATAATCAGTAATGCTATTATCAAAAGGGGGAAGTTGTAGCATGATCAGTGTGTGAAAAAAAACATAAATAGTCTATGCTCTATAAGCCAAAGGATCAAGGTGGACACTGGGATGAAAATCGAAGTTGTTTAAACTATAACAGAATATACAAGAGATCAGGCAGCCAGCAAACGGAGTGAGAGCCACCACTACCAAGCGATCATTTCAGATTTTTCGAATTAAATGAGTCCAGGAAAGCTCCAAGTTATCGAATCAACATCTCCTCAGGTAAACGAAGGAGCAAATAACTAACAGAACTACTCGGAATAACTTCAACTTCAGTCTCCAAGCAGAGTAGTTTAATTCCAGCCAACTAACAGAACTCTTAATGACAAATTACCAGTCCATTCGAAGGTTGAGAAGCAACAAAAGGAAGGCGAAGAAAGGTACCGGAAGTGCGATGAGATCGAAAACGTTGTCCACGCAATTAGAAACGAGAGCATCGGCGATAATCTTGACTCCATGAGCGGCTTCCACTCGAAGCTCCTTCCCGACGGAAGCTACGGTCACATCCGCTCCAGCTCTTCTGAGCACATCGATGGTGATCACAGCCTCCATCGGCTCCGTTCCATTGGCAATCGGCACCAAAACCTAAAATCCGCAGAAAATTTAACAAATTAAAAAAAACAAATGATCCAATTCGAACTCGAATAAAGCTGGAACACCAATTGCCGTCGTTCTTGTTATGGGGAGGAAAAAGGAGTACCTTCTTGACAGGGGAAGCCATTTCGGCGGCGATGGAGAAGGAGCGGCGGCGAAACGGGACAGTGGAGAGAGGAGAGAATCTGGGAGTGAATGTGAGAGAAGGGGAGGGGGAGAAGAGGAGAGCGGTGCCGTTGCTGAGGAAGGATGGAGAAGCTACGTGGCCTAATATCCGCATTTCCTCTCTGCTTCCTTTATTTCCTTTTTGGTCCTTTAATTTGTCCCTTTTCCAGTGAAGCTGAGCTTCGGTCAGTAATGGCGCAAACTGAGTTAGCCAGTTAGGGAACTTGCCGTCTTGGTACGAAAAATGCGAAGGCATCTCGAGTTCTCCACTCGTATTGGCTGGGCCCCGATGGGCCGAGTTTAGGCTACAAAGATCAGGCTTAAGCCCATTTGAAGATTAAACACGTTATTATTGAAGAGAAAGCCCATGAAGGGGTGAATGGACAATACCAGCCCAATCCATTTGAAAATGGCCCAACAAGCAAACAGTGGGGGAAAAAAATGTGCCAAGAAGAGTATTTTTCATAGATGAAACTTGAGAGACATGGATGAATGAGAGAAGGCACAACTGCTCGATGGATTACATTAATAATAACAAAGAAGGAAGGAACAATGAAATCATCCAAGTAAAGAAACATGAAGGGGAGAGAATGGGGTTAATTGCAAAGAAAGCCTCTCCACTCTTGAGAGCAAGTTTCTGTTGGTAAACTAATAAAGGAGGCTGTAAAAAAGCCGACCAAAACAGGGAGGAAAAAGAAAAGGGCAAACAGAAAAAGGGAAAACAAATCCGGCAGCAACAACATCTTCTCCCCAATTCAGCGCAATGGTTACTACTGAGAGGAGGAGTTGATGAGGGAGAGAGCATCGGCTTCTGCAGGGAGAGCAGGGATGGCTCCTTTCTTGGTGGTTGTGATTGCCCCACAAGCATTTGCAAACTTCAGCACTTCCCTCAACCTTGCTTCATCCTGCCAACCATTGCATTTACCACAAACCAATTTACGTTAGCCATATTATATCCCTCCATTTTAACCACAGTAAAATCTACTATACGCGTGTTTTATTTACCTCAAGCACGGACTGGTCATCAACGATCTTGGTGAGAAGAGCCCCAACAAAGGAATCCCCTGCACCTGTTGTATCCACTGCCTTCACATGGAAAGCTTCCACTGATCCATGGAAACCCTGCCCCACACCAGAAATATATCATTAGTTTCACCCAATTAGGTGAATTTGGTACACCTTTGGGTAGGTAACACTAATTTTGTCAACACTCCATCTAAAAGGGTAATTAACAGCCTTGCAGCTGCTCCATCGGCCATCATTATATGGCCCATCGAGATTAATTTTCTATATAATTAGATCTAAAGACTCTAATCTACCCTCCCTTGCAAGGCAAGTTGGCTAGTCCGACTCAGATCCACCACACCCCCAATAACAATCATATCCATGCCATGCCAACCACGCAGCCACCAGCATTATTATTATATTGCCCTCCTGCCAAATTCAAATCTAATTTGGGGCCAACCGAGCACATTAATCAAATGGAGGGTAACCCAGATGAATCAGCCAATGGTTTTCTACTACACGCACATCATCTGGCAGCACAAAACAGAGGACCAAAGAATCGGTTCCACACACACTGATTCGCACAAAACCATGCGCACCTGAAATAATAATATAAGAAACTTGCAAACAAATGAATAAAATAAACTGAAGACCGTGAGAGGCCGCGCTTGACACTGTGGATCATTCGGATTCTTACTCTATGGTTGCCCCAACAGACGTGCGTAAGGTCAAGCAAGCATTGGAAAATTATGAGGGGGGGGGGGGGGGGGGGGGGGGGGGGGGGGGTGTGGGGCGGTACCTTGGTGTAATATCTGCAACCCTTTTCGCCGAGGGTGACGAGGAGCAGCTTCAAGTTGTCGTGCCAGAGCGACAATGCAGAGGCATCGTCGATCTTGTCGCTTCCAGTGAGGAACTCGAGCTCCACGTCGCTGACCTTGATGATCTCAGCCTTGTCCCAGATGCTTAGTATCTGCTCGCGGGCCTCCTCAGCGGAAGGCCACAACGGCAGCCTCAGATTGGGGTCGTACGAGAGCAGGGCGCCAGCGTCCTTGGCTTCCTGCATTGCCTTGAGGTGGGCCGACCTGCATGGCTCCACTATCAAGCTAATGGATCCGTAGTGGAAAACCTTGGCCTAGCAAAAAAAAATCAAAAGCAGCAAGCAAGTGATTATTAGATTAGCTTCAACTTCAGGAGCTCTAATTAAGACTAATGAATTCTTCTCCTGATCAGATATTTCTCCATGGATACAATTTTGGTTGTAGTTACGTGGAGATGATAATATAGCAAAGGAATTGACACTTCGACAGAAACCCTTCAAATCTATATGCAGAAGATTATTTGAGTTGATATGAATCCAAAATGTCATCATCCACATAAGCTGGAACGAATCTTTTTTTCCTTTCCCTTTCATGTGATCAAAGCTCTGAACTTTTAGCAAACTCACAAAAAAAATTGGCGTAGAGTTAGAAGAATACAAACGACACCCGCAACATATAAAGAGAAACTGCCTAACATCCAAGCCAATTCTGCGCTGATCGAACTCCAATTTACAACACCGTGCCAAAAACAGCCACTCGAAATTCAAGCCAAATTTCTGGACCATTTGTCCAGTAACCAATTAAGCATTACCCCGGAACCCCGCCATTAGTCACAACCAAAAACAACAGACAGCACAGACAAAATGCCAAAAGAAACGTAACTGCCAATTTAAGACGCCCCCAATTCAATTCCATACGTCAAAACCACCTATCCCAATTTAAGAAAAACCACCATTTACTTTCCCGCAGCAGAAAAACAAACCAGTAGGAAAAAACGAGCATAGTAATGCGTTTTCTTGCCTATGGAGAAGAAACTCAGTCGATCACGTGACCGCACGTGATCAGTCCTCTCCCTTCCGCGACAACAACACCAAACAAACCGGGGCCCATGCCCTAACTGCGGTAGAAATTCTTGAATCTGGCCTTTTAAGTAAATTGCGAAATTAGTGGGAACAAACCCAACTCGGTTATGTTTTTAATCCTACAATTAAGATATGCTAATCAGCTACAAAAGCAATAGGCAATAACCGTACCCCACTAATCCCCCAAGTAATCAGTACCTCTTTCCAAAAGTAAAATTACTAAATTGGTGTTAATCACACTCCTCCTTCACCTAACCCTCCCGCGCGTGACTATCACGTCACCGAACTCCGCGCGGAAAATACGATTATTTTTTTAAATAATTTTTAATACCAATAATAATTACAACGAAAAACTCAGTGTAAAAGAATTAAATAATCAATTAATACTAGAGCAAAAGGGGAGAGAAATTAGTCAATGGCAAAACGGAAGGTTAAGGCAAGTGCCGGTAGAGGCGAACTTACAGATCTAATGAGCTCGAGATTGAGCTCCTCCGGCTGCAGGAGCATGTCGGCGCTGGGATTCCGGTAGAACATGAACTCGCGATCGCCGTCGGCCTTCAGAGTGACGAACGCCAGAGCAGTCCTGGCTCCCTTGTCGAAGTTGATTCCATCCCCGATCACGCCGTTCTCCTTCAAGATCCCGGCCAGCATGTGCCCGAACTCGTCGTCGCCGAGCTTCCCGACGAAAGCGGCCTTGCCGCCGAGCCTGGCGACCGCGATCGCGACGTTGGCGGGGGCGCCGCCGGGAGCCTTGAGGAAGCCGGGAGCCTCGGCGAGGGAGACTCCGGAAACGGTGGGGACGAAGTCGATCAGCATCTCACCGAAGCTGACAATGAGAGAGGAGGAGTCGGAACCGCCATTGGGAACTGCTGATGACGCCATCTTTGGGAAGAGGATTGATTGAAAAGACAGAGAAAGAGATATGGAGAGGAAGAGCAGGAGATTGAGAAAGTAATTCAGAGGAGAGGGTTTAATTGATGGAGGAGGGAATCAGAAGAGAAGAGGGGGAATTTATAGAAAAGGGGGGGACTGTGGTTGGGTTGGATTAAAAAAAATTTAAAATCTTTTTGTTTTAATTATCGAAGTTGAGGTGGATTATGAATTCAATTTCCATTAAATTAATTACTTAATCGCGACCATTCGCCCTTTTTTATTTATATATATTTATTTAAAACTGGTAGCCGGCAGCCAATATTGCAAACCTTTATTATCTAAACTAAGATTTTTTTGGTAGGAATCTGATTGAACTTAATCCATTTTATCTAATTACTTGGATATAAGGATAATTATATTCATATATCCATTTTATCTAATTTCTTGGGAATAAACATAAGTTTTGCACCGCAAGAAAAGAGGAGATAAGGTTAATTAATATACTCTATTCATGTATATCCATATGTATATCCAAATGTAAATCTACTAAGTACTAACGAGTAATTTGTAGCGAATGCAAACACTTAACTTTTTACCGTTCTTACCTAAATCCTTTTCACTGAATTACTTTAATTACTCTCTTTACCCTCACCATTTTTTTTTATCTGTCACCGGTTTTAAAAATTCATAGCACGTCAGATATTATGAGTTTTGGCAGAATTGGAGTTTCAATGTATTGATTTTGAATAATGTGATTTTTGTTTTTTGAAATTTGAAAGGCAAAAATACATAGTTATAACTATTGAGTTGGTGATAATAATAATAATAATAATAGTCAATTTCTTAAAAGTATACAAAATGTCCAATTTCGTTCGAAGTTTTGATAGAGTCATTTTACATGATGACTGGACTAACGTTTTTGTTGACTTGACGACACTTAATTAAAAACTTTGCGAGGTGGAATTAACTAAATCCACTTGCATAGCCCTAAGTCCATAACTACTAATTTATGATAATAATAGCCAGTTTCGAAGAAATACACAAAATGTTTAGATTTTGGAATGTTTGACAAATTTAGTCACTTCCATTAAGAACTTTAATGTCAATAGAGATTCCGTCAATTACATTATCAAGACGCTGATAAGGATGTCACATTGATGCTGGTGTGGTGGATATCATCGAGGGCAGTTTTGCCTTCTCCTTGGTGGTTCTTCGGTCAGGGGTTGAAGAAGACCCGGATGGAGCCACCAATTAAAAACTAGCTTATAACCCGGCTTGTTGGCCGGAATGTTTGTATTTGATTATTTATATTTTATGTTATGTTTAACTTTATTAATCCGTTTAATTTTATTAACCATTCTTCGATCGAGATGATACATAAACAATGAATGTATAGGTTGAATATTTGAAAAAATACCATAAGCATTTAAGTATTAAAATATAAAAACGTATCCTTAGTCCAATATCATAATTAAAATTAAGCTCCCGTTAAAATGCTATTGGTTAATTAATTGTCAGGACATATAGAGTATAAAAGCCCGCTGGAATTCCCACACGGCCCATAGTTAGTTGAAAACTAAAACTAAAATCTCATAATCCTACATAAAGAGTTCAATACGCTCCTTTTAGGAACCACATGCCACTAATTAAAAAGAAACGAAGAGTTATTGATTCAAGTCAACCATATACTACTAACTCAACTAAAATGGAACCATCAAAAGTTAAGCGCAAATGACAAAATTAAGGTTACCTCCAATATACTAATGACTCAATCAAACTAATAAGACACAAAATTAGACACTACTTATCTCTCGTTAGTTTGAATAGAGAATCTACCTTAATTTTCATAAATCAATAAATGATTCATCATTTTAAGATAGACATAGGTTGTGGTAACTGCACAACCATAAACCTAAAGACCAGTAGCCACCACTATTCGTTGTACAACCAACTTTTTATCCCCTCTATCTCCAATCTCAAGAGGCATTTGTTTCAACCCAAAATATACTTTCTAATCCTTCTCCTGCAATTCTATTTCTGCTACTTTGATTGCCCTTCTCTATGTGGCCCTCGATTTCTCTTACAATTGGGATTATTGTCAACTCGCTCTTCAACTCCTCAACATTTTCTTGTATTTGGCCAAATCATCTTCCTTAGGGGCATTTGTAATAAGCTCGGTAAAGCCGCTCCTCATCTCTAATTCCATCAGTATGCTCATATCCTCCTTGACTGCCTTCACCTACTCTGGATCACTTCCATCCATTTTCATAAATATCCTCGCCATCTCTCACTTCTCTCTCTTAAACTACTCCAGTTTTACTTTCATGTCTTTCAATACCCTCCTCAATTTGATCACTACCCTCGCCAACTCCCTCTTCTATGTCTTCACCTAATGTAGTTGAACTTTACTTGCTACCAAATCCGAACATAATTTCTTCCCCCACTACTTCCTTTCCCAAACCTAATCCCAACTCTTCTATTCCAAGTTCAACACCACCACCTCCCTGAGTATTGTTGCATGGAGGCTAAATTTTACCAATCATTGTGGTTTGCAATTACATTGATTGACACTAAACACATCGACAAAATCAACGGTGTCTAACTAATCCTAAAACAATATCAAAATTTGATCTGTGATCTGGACCATAAGAATGAAGATAAATGAAGAAAAATATGGTTATGGAGAACATTAGTTGTGAAAAAATAAATCCTGAGCAAAAATATTATACTGGAAAAATAAAATGGTGATATTATTTTATTATTTCAATAGCTAAACAAAGAAAAAAAAATACAACAAACAAACAACAAAAAGTAGATAGGGAGATAGAAAGGTACAACTGCTTGTGTTCTACTCAAATATCTATTTGATTTCAAACAAATAAAGCACTCAAACCACCATTCAAATTCCTTTTCTATATTTTATAAATCAATCACAAACAAATTAGATAAATTGGGAAGGGATTAATAGCCTATTAGTTCAACTCAATGAACCTTCTATGAAGATAAAAGTCTCACTGAAGTTGAAACCTAAGAACAAAAAGAGGAGCAACGACGCAAGATATCCACCGGGCTTCAAACATCGTTTACACAATAGGATAAAAATAAATAGATCTTCTGCATGTTCTTCTCATGATACAACCTAAAAATAAATCTCATTTTTTTTATTAATAAGTAAGATAAAACCATGGGACAAAGAGAAAAAATGAATGACTTACATATGTGAAGCGATTAACCTTGGACGAAGACCGAAAACCCATTCAAGTTCAAAGTCTGGTATAGGAAGAGAAGGAAAGGAGGACTATATAACTGATCAAACATCGTCTTCGGCAATTGAAGCATCAAAATAGTTATTGTAGTAATTTATCAATACAGGAGAGATAGAATCATTGGGCGAAATACTACAACACCTTTCATTTTAATTAACTATATACCGAGACCAAGAATAAAATAATAAAGTTTAATAACTCAATCGAATAATTTTTGACTGATTTTATGCATAAAGTTACCTAAATTCGCTTTGTGTTGTAAATTTTATTTATAAAAGGAAAAAGTATTAATATCCCCGTAATTGCAATCGCCGAGTTTTCTCCAATTTGCACCCTAGTACCCACCCCCATGGTATTACTGTTTCTCATAATATTCCAATTTTTTCTAGTTATCGATCGTCAACCTTTCATTCCTTTCCTTCAAAAAACATATCTTCTCCAAAAATTTAAGATTCTAATATATAAAACGGTAATGTCTATTTTTTATTCAAATCTTTTTCAGATTTTTTATATTATCAAAACCTATTAACATTACATTAATTATCCAAATCTTTCATAATGTATCAATATATTAGCCATTTTTATGTCATCGTTAATAATTTTGTAATTCTTTCCTTAGTTAAAATATTAAAATTTTGGAAATGTTGGCCTTCATGAGTCTATTCCAAGTCAGTATCAAGTTGTCAAGTCAATATTACTAACAAAATTACTAACTGAAAGTTAACATTTGACTAATTGGTAGTATTTCGATAGGTTTAGATAATATAAAAGAATCTGAAAAAGGTTTGGATAAAAAATAGACATTACCCTATAAAAAATTCTTGTATCAGTTCAAACAATATGTAGATTAGTGGTCACCTGAATAATCTGATCGAATTTTTATCTTCCAATCTAGTCATGACTTCTTAAACCAGCTAAGATCACAATTCCTACAAAGAGCCCACATGCAAATGAGCAACTTCACATTTATTAGTCACACAAAATCTCAATCCAAATGCATGTTCTTCTAAACTTCTTTTGCTTCTTCTTTGTATGAGATGATATCAGTTGACGCTATGATACTGTTGCTGGAACGCAAATGGAATTGACTATCGATGGATTGGGATGGTTTATGAGATGGTTGAGCCTTGTATTGCCGCCTGTCGAACCTAAAGGAAGAAGAGACGGTGAGATAGTCGAACATGAGATTTTTTTATGTTTGTTGTTGTAGGGTTTGTGATTAGGAAAAGGATGCCACGAAAATGGAGCTACGAATACGATTTTTTGAAAACGATGTCGTTTTGAAGTGACCCCGGTGCTCGGATTAGTTGGTTGAATCAGACGAATTTCTTGATTTGATTGGGTTTTTCAGGCTTTGGTCGGCCCAAGTAGATAACCGATTGGGCCTTCCGCGCTCAGTGCGATACTCGGGTTTGTGAATAATTGGTTCGATCGGCCGAGTCAAACTCGGGTTGACAATCATGGTTATGAGTCTTGTCTTTGTTTGAAGATACATTGATTCAAATCCCAATTTTTTCTATTTTTCCATAAATAATACAGATAAATAATTTTGAAGACAAAAATATCATTCATACTTTCAGTCTCGATATAGAAAATTTGAAATGGGGAAACAATTTCTCATTCCAGTATTATATATTGTGTAGAGTGTATATGTAGACGTGTCTTTGCCCAACATATTCATTAACACATAAAAAGGGTGAAATGAACAAACATATTAAACTTAACCTCGTCTAATGATTGTTGGATCCAATCATGCTAGATTAGAAAGGGGTTTAAAACTTATCAGTTACCAGGCTAAAATATTCAAAGGACCAGTGTCATTGAGATCGCACAAAGATATGAATATGACCGCTTCATAGTAGTTCTAAAAATTAATAAGAATTATGCATATTCATTATTCAATACTGGATTTTGATATGCAATATTCGAACCATTGATATTTGAGTTGCGATTTTAAAGTTATCCTTATTTGGCCATGTTGTTCTTTGTTGGTTTGTTTCTGTTTGTGTCTTCGTTTGAGATAGGGGTTGTTTATCTTGTTGTCTCTGGTGCGTGAGTGTGCCTTCGTTGTGTAACTTGTTTAACTCTTAACTCCTTATATAAAAATTGAAGTATCGAACACTTATCGGAGTTTTACTTGGCTAGCTAACCATTGAAAAGTTCTGTGATTTTTCGATTTTATCTTCATGTGTATTTTTAATTCAAAGGGATACAACAAATTAATGTAGTGTGATTGGTTACAATCCTTGTCTCTGTTTAAAACAACCAAGGTTCAAATCTTCCAAATAGTAAATTTTTTTTTTTTTTACTTATTAGAAAGTAAGATGACCCTAGCTATAATTAAAGAGGACGTTGATAATTCAAAATGGAGAAAATCTCATAAAATACCTCCATATTATAATGGAGGATACGATGGGCAGTGGTGAAAATGGGTTGAGGCGTGCGATTAAAGGTAGGAGAAGGTGCTGGGGCAACTTGGAGGTGGATGGTTCTTCCTTTTTATTTTATTTACCTTTTTCTAGTTAATTCTACTTTGCAATATTTTTTAAAGTGTTGTCAAGTTATAAAAAAATGCTAATTCAGTCAGCATCTAAATTGATTTCGTTAAAGTTTCGGACGAAATTGTATATTTTCTATATTTATGAGAAATTGACTATTATTGTCACAAAGTCGATAGTTATGGCTATACAGATGTATGTTGATATTTAAGTATGATATGACGCCCATGTGGCGTAGCATATCAAGTTGTCACTAACATGTGGATCAATGTGACATACTCGTCAACTTCTTATTATTCAACCAATGGAACCCTTCAGCATCAAAGTTTTCAACTGAAGTGGCTAAATTTGGCAAACATATTTCCAAAATCTGGACATTTTGTATTTTTCTCATAAATTAATTATTATTATCACAAAGTTGATAGTTAAAACGGGAAATTTTACTTTTTGTTTAAATTATCAAAATTGAGGTGGATTATGAATTCAATTTCAATTAACATACCGTTTGGTATAAATGAATTCCATAAGTTTTGAGGAATTCATTTTGAAATGAAACATTTTTGTGTTTGGTATTTAAAAGAATTCATTTTCAATTCTAAATTTTGAATTCTATGAAATTGGAACTAGTTATAGCAATTCTGAGGAATTGAGATGGAATTTTCAAATCAATTCCATAAGTATTTACTAATTATAATATAATTATTCTCTTTTATTAATTAAATTACTTATACATATGACATACAAAAAACATGAATTCATTTGGCAATGAATTCAATACGACAATTAATTTCATTTCTAAAGATTTGAATATAAAATACCAAACACAAAATTTTTACCCAAAAAATCTTAGTTTAGATAATACTTTTCACCCATTTTATTTATTTAAAACGGTAAATATGTAGTCGGCAGCCAATATTGCAAAAATTATTATCTAAACTAAGATTTTTTTTTGGGTAGTAATCTAATCTGTAGCGGATTGAAGAATTATATCCATTTGATCTAATTTCTTGGAGGAAAAAACAGTTAATTTTGCACCGCAGGAAAAGAGGAGATAAGAGGACTATATACTCTACGCTGATATATCCATATGTATTATCCAATCTAAATATACGAAGTACTAACCAGTAATTTTTAGCGAATACAAACGGCTGTGGATAGGGTCATTATCCCTAGTTTTTTTAAACGACTCTTATTGTAAAATAACGAAACTTTTCACGAACAAGATATTGTCCGTTAGGGGTCTCAACCCGCACGAATTTTACCTTAGGATTATGGCTGGAAGTTTGGTATTGGTATTTGGGATATACTGAATACCGTACCAAATTTGTCTATATTTGATATTAACGACACGTATTATTTTTTGGGATTGGGATTAAGATTCAATTTCAATTGTTATTCGGTATTAGGGATTACGGGATTGAGATCGGTATATACCGAAATATCGAACAATACCAAAATATAAGCTAGTGTGTAGTTTATCCTCTCAAATAGACTCCCTCATTCACTACTACACTACCCTCAACCACCAATCTATTGTTATTTTCATAACACGAAAAAGCAAACACTAGTATTAGTCTTCTCTCAGCCTCCAATTCGTCAAATTAAAGATTACCAATGACAAAAACTTGAGATGTCACCTCTACTCGATTCACCTTATCTATATCCTAGCTCTAGTCAAACTCAAAACTTTTTGTTTAGTCTATTTGTCCTATATTAAACAATCAAATCTAATTTATATATTAATTATTAATTGTAAATGTAATTAATTTCGTATTCGATAATACCATTTGGGATACCGAAGTACCATTAGGATACCGAAATATTTAGGGATTGAGATTGATTCTAGGGTGTAATTCGGTGTTCGGGATTTCGGTGTTTGGTATTGGAATACCGATACCATACCGATTTCCACCCCTACTTGGGATGCATATCCAGGTGAATTCTCATAATGTCACCCATCCTTGTAGTGCTCCACAACGAGCACGTTTAACTTCGGAGTTCTCACAAGCTCTCTTCCATTTCACCCAAAAACGTGTCTTGTCAGTTAAGGTCGATTTCTTAGTTATGAACCATGGATCTCTCCCATGCTTTGCTGATGTGGGATTTCGCTTGAGGTATTACACTTATCTTCTTCGTTCTAACTTGAATTTCAATTTTTTTTTTGCACAGGTGGAATGAGCTTATTGTGATCTACAAAAAGATCCATTTTCAATATATTTCGAGATTTTTTTATGCCAATCATACCACTCGTTACCACCTCCATACCATATGGTACCTTCTCGTTTTAAGTCGATTTTGAAATTTGTTGCATAGAAGGAACGAGTTCATCATGATCTATTGGATCTACAAATTTCTGAGGGGAAAATACAAGACCAAAAAATATCACCCCATACCAATCTGGTATAGTGGTGGTATCTTGTGGTACATAATGTTGAAAGTTGTAAATGATAGTTAATATATTTCTACTATCATGTATTCAACCATTATGTAGTCTGATATGTTCATACAACCATGATACACTTTCATACCACGTGATATGTTTTTATGTAATACCAAACAATAACACAATGGTATAGACTGGTACTAAATGACTCAAAAAAATTTATTCAAAAAAATATCAAAGTGGATATCATTCGGAAGAGCACAAATTAATCAGATTTATCTGTGTAAAAAAAATAAATAAATTATGACTTAAAACGAAAGAGATATTACCCGAAAATTCAGTAATGGTTTCGGTTTGGCTATATGGAACCCGAAAATCCAAAAAAATTATGTAGTTACTAATTATTCTTGCGGGGAAGGGCGTCCCCATCTAAACATGTACCCGAAATCCAAAACCGAACCCAAAACCCGAACCTGTTACAAGCGCAATTCGAGTTGCACCCAAAAATCCAAACTCAAAAGGACATTTTCAGCGGTTCAATTTCGATTTTAACCCAAAAACCCTTAAACCGAATAGGCACTCCTAAATCTATAATTTTATACATTTGAAAATATCTTAACCTAAATCATACTCTCAAAATAAATAAAAGACATAATTTTCTCAGTGTTTCTAAAACCATGATGTGCAGGCGGTTCTGCTGTAAATATACCCTACCGGTATGTGGTTTTTAACAGTATGAAATGCTTGAACCACAATTTCAATATAAAATATCCTATCACTAGCTTTTTCTACAACCTCTAGTACAATTTTACAATATTTGAATTTATATAAAATCTATAGATTCTATGAATCCATACTCCAAATCTCATTTTCCAAACAAAACATATGTATTCACATATTGTAGACATGTCAAGCACTTATCCTCTACATAGTAGCGAGAACGATTCCCGTGAATATCCATGCATAACTCGATACCCATTATTTATGTAAGGCTACTTACTTCCTCAAATAAATTATAATGGACTTTATCTCTTTCTTTTTAAGGCAAAATTAAATAAATTGCTAAAAAAAATCATATTAATTGTGTTATTCAAAATGACATACACTTTGATATATTTTGAAACAAAAAAATTAAGACTTTTGTTACCAGTTCATACTATGTGGTACTACTTAGTATGTATTTAAGATTATACCACGTGTTATGAAAGTGTACCATGGTGGTATGAACACACTAGAGTGTAGAATGATTGCATACACGATAGTAGAAATATATTAGTCTGTCATTTCCCACATTTCATCAACATATACCACCATTTATCAATCTGTACCAAGGTGATACATTTTGTCGAGAAATCCCCCCCCCCCTCCTCCATTGTTGATCTAGTAGATTACGACGAACTCGTTCCTTCTGTGCATAATTTTTCAAAACTCGAGTAAAATGAAGGTGGTATCAAGTGATATAATGTGGTACCAGTGTCGTAACTAATGGTATGAAAAACATTTTCCTCGAAGTATATTGAAAATGGATATCATTTTGTAGATCACAATGAACTCGTACAATATATGTAAAAAAATATTGAAATCCAAATTAGAACGACGAGTGGAGAGTGACTATCTATCTAGATCATGATGCCATAAATTTGGCCGGTTGCCATAGTGTGGTTGTCGACAGAAGCTGATAAACTCAGCGCGGTTGGCCAGGGCGAGGAAGAGGAGGCTTCAGATTCCTCTTACCTTTGAAGCTTTGCCTCTGATATATGTATCCAACATGTAACGAGCTGGTCTTTCTTGTTCAATGTCTAAGATCATAAGAAACAAAGGATAAAAGGAAATGCTGATAAAAACAATATTCCCAGAGTCGGTAGAGACTAGAGAGGTGGCTAAACACGACTAAACACACATCGAGTTTCACCATAACACTTGCACATGATGAAAAAAAATATTTTACATCATCAGTCAAGGGTGCGCAACAATCCGGTACAGATTAAGACCAAATCATGAGAACTACAATTCAATAGTATAAAAAATCATAGAACTAAAAGATCATACAATCATAGTATTTAATCCGCGACCTGATCCTATTCAAATATCAATTCAATCCATTTTTTCAAATCATATTATATTCGATCCAGTATAATATGATCAAAAAGCCAACCAAACAATTGTACACCCCTGACTATTGTACTTCCATCACGAGGGAGTGGAGCACCTAGATGCTAAAGACTATCCCGAGAAAGGCATGACAGGAGCAGATGAAGATGAGTATATGGAAGAAACAAACTGTAAAGGAAGGCTATATTAAGGAGTAGGGCTGGAAAACGATGTGGTCTAGTTCAGACCAACCATATATACAGTTTATGGTGCAGATGGAGAGGCTGAAGTATGGACCATAGGCCAGATCACGAATTATACGGTCCGGTCCAGACCACGCCTGTACGGTCTGGTATGGTCCAGATAGACCACACTCAACGAACAATGAATAATTTGTTTAGTCAACCACACAAAAAATTGAACCAATGACCAAGAAAAATAATTGTTATTTTCCTTAAAACATTAATCCTAACATGCATGATTAATTTTGATACCCTAAATCTTAGTACATAACAATAATACAAAGTAAAAGCATCGCAACTTGCACCATAATGTCATAATCTCTACTTTCTGGTTAAATGTGATTGTGAATTCCTAACTTGCACCATAATGTCATAAACATTAACATAATGTTATAATCTCTACTTTCTGGTTAAATGTGGTTGTGAATGAAGCAGAGACGAGATTCACAAAAACTAATGTTGAGACTTCGGTGTCGTTGTGGGAGTTGGGAGAGTGGTCGAGTGGCCTAGAAATCACTCGATGTTTCATCACTTTCAACAACCCAAGCAGCAGGGTTCTTCGATCGAGCAGCTAGCTCCTTCACCTTCACTTTTCCAGGCCTCCCCCCTTTCGTCATAAGGCGCGGTTCTGTCATTGCCGTTCCAGGCCCCCGATTAGGACAAGTCGATTGGGTCCACAATTTGGACCGGTAAACCGCAATCTAGACGAGACCAGACCAAGAGATCAAAGCATAAAATAATACAGACCATGAACCAAACAAAACTATACTTAACGGTTTACAGTCCGAACCAAACTGTGCAGTACAGTTTGGACCACGATTTTTCTAACGGTCTGGGCTATTTTTCCAAGTAGAAAGGCGAAAGTCAACCTTGGTGAAATGTTTTTAAGGGGGAAGGCAACAAACCAAACAACAACGACCAACGCAAGAAACAATACCAATGAAGCGTTAAAAACCACACCAAAGAGAAAATGAACAAAGATCTACATCGACCAACATACAATAATCTTGCCCGCTTCCTCGCTTCAATTTTGGAATCCATGGTGGTATTTTGGCCATGAACACAAGAGTACTTGTACTGACATGCTTCTTCCACTCCTGTCAGCCCTAATGACAACGGACAAACATGACTTACCCAGACACTGGATATTGTATATAATTATCCGAGTTTCGGAATCACAAACTTTCTTGGGTACACTATACACAATCGATCGTCTGCATATACAAGTAACTATTTAGCTCCGCATTACTCATTGAGAGAAAATGGGAAGGCCTTACATTTGATACAAAAACAACAACAATAAGATCTGGTCATGCATGCAGCACAGTTTCTGTAAATAAACAGATACCAAGATGAACATCAACAATATTCCCACATCACTGTACATCATCCCAGTTCTGGCTTTCAAAGGATAGAACACGAGCACACAATTTTCTTGGGAGTTTTGTCAATCTTCTTTTCTGGCAAAAAGCGAAAAAACCCAAGAGAAGGAAGAAAGAAAAGAATGATGTTTTCAAGCTCTGTATTTGTTTCAATTCTTCATAATATTCGAAAACTTGCAGAGGTGAGTAAGAGAATTGTTTCCTTTTTTTTTTTTTACCTGTTTTGGTCTTTGCTAATGACTGCTGTACAACCACATGCATTATGATGGCGCCTCCAGCCGCATCACCAAATGGCATTTTACACTGAGCAACAGTCCTGCTATTATCTAACACTTTACCAGAGCTTATCAGCTTAACTTCATTGATTGCCTTTGGAGTTATTTCCTTGCCTAGTAATAAAGCAGCAAATGCAAAAGGTCATTCAGGAATTTTACGAATTTTTTTTGAAGCAAAAGGATGTCTTTAACCATCTATCTTACTTGTGAATCAAAACATTGCAAGGTAAGAATTGACAACAATTGGAGAGAACGGATCACAATGACGAGGAACTGAACATTATCATACTGAATTCCAGAACAACACCCTTAACCTCCACAGTTGTTCTAGAGGCCAACAACCAAGTTCAAATTGGGATACTAAATCCATGAGGCATCAACAAACAAACATGTCCAAGGTAGAATAATACAATTCCCCCAACACCAGCCAAACCCAACATTCCGTTTTGTATCTCATACCAGCAATACACAAAAGGGTCTATGGAACCATTCATACAAGCAGCACTGAAGGCTCAACTGAAACAACACACAGTACATGTCAATTGATCAAATCCCCAAATATAACCGAGGAAAACTACACAATGCCCTATTCCGCAGTCAACCAAAACCCACTAAGAAGAAATAAATGATTCAACTAAAGAAGCAATCCAGCACCCAAAAGGATGATCATAAGCCAACCCAAGAGTCTCATCTTCATGGAGTCATGACATACGGTTCAAAACAATATCACAATAGGAAGCTTTTCTCCGTCTATCTAATATTAGCCTTCACAATAACACCATTCATCTCTCCTTGTCGAGACTAGCAACAATCATACTGACTAAAAATAGCAATCTGGTTTTGAAGGACTCCTACCAAACACACCATTTTTAGCTTTTTTTCAGCTCAGCAAAAGAACCCCCACTAGACCTCCCAACCGAGCAAGCTTCATTCTATAAATTCAAAATATTCGTAACTGGAGGAGAAGAAAAATGGGTTGAGATAAACAGACCTTTGGGCCAATCCGACACAATTCGCTGCTTGAGCATGTCGACCGTCGAAGCCGCCGAGTAGCGGAAGGGGCCGAGGTCGGACCCATCGTAGAGCCTGAATTTCACGTCGACCAAATCCTCCTCCGGCATCTGAGCAATTGATTTCTCCTCGCTCTCTAGCAACCGACGAAAACCATAATCCGCCGGCTCTCGTCAGCAAGTTTGCAACAGATCCGAACCCAAGAATTACCGATTCGCCGATCTCGATCGCCCAACAGGGGAAAGAATCTAACCTCTTAAAGATGATGTTGCTTGGGATCAAAGTGAAACGAGGATGAGAGAGATCTTCTTAGGCGGCCGTTCTCGCTCGAGGAACAAGTAGATGAAACTTGAAAGGTACGCGTCGTCGTGGGTAGGAAAAGGCAATCGTTTGGTCAGAAAAGAGGGAGCAGCTGCTGCATTCTGTTGCTGGGCTGGCTACTGGTCGAAAAGCAGAAGAGAAGAAGACTTGTTTGGGCTTTTAAAATTGTTCTTTGGGCTTCGGTATAGCTTTTAAAGAGAGTAGGTAGGCCCAGCCCAAGAGAAGCTTCTTGAATTCATTTCGTTTCACAGTGGCGACGGCGGAAGTGGACGATGTTGAAGAAGCGGAAGAGGGACGAAGAAGGAGGAGCTAAGGAGAAGGATAATATGGAGATCGTGTGGCAAACGCCGGCGAATCTGCCGGAAAAGCACGATTACATCTTTCGAAACGGTGAGACCTAATTTTCCTTCCCGCCCGATCAACTTGAGCCCCTCGCTGGCTCGAAGACGGCTGCTGCCTGCAATGTGACAGTTTCAGGTCTTTTTGTTTTTTTTGTTTTTGTTTTTAGGGAGACGCCATGTAAAGCCTTACTACTTCGAGTTCATCTGTCATGTGGGTTGGCTTTTTTCTGCTATCCCCGGCTATTTCGCTTTCCATAATCTCCAAGCTTTGAACGTCAAAACTGAGTTTCGTTATGTATGCAAAAACCCTCTTTAGGGTTTATTAAACCCCGAAGTTGGAATCGCTAAACTTGGTTGTTTACAGGTCAAGAGTCGTTGGGCGGGGAAGACAATCGTTGATTTGTTCGCTGATGATTTCAGAGGCCGACCTTATGATTACTATGTAATGCTGTGTGGACTTGCTAGTTATGTGTTCCATTTCCATCTCTTTAGCATGTGGGTTTCATTTGTTGGTTCTGGGATGTATTTAATATTGCTGAAGTGTCAAACTTATGCTCGACGATGCGTGTGATTTGCTGTAGGTTGGTGCTGTCAAATGTGGACGGATAAAGGTGGAGGGAGAAATGGTTCCAGTTTCTTACATAGTGAAGAATTCCCAGAAGATTAGCCACTTTGTACACAGGTCTGGACAAATGTACTTAACTACTGTTCATGCTTCTCTGTTTCTGGTGGTGCAACATCTTTGGTGTTTCCCTGATTCTCGGTTTTGCTTGAAGCCATAGTCAATCCTGCTCTGTGCCGTTTAGCAACCTCTTGATTCTTGTTGTAAATTTTGCAGGCATGAACCGCCAGTCATGGCATGCAATGTTACCGTCCTGCAAGAAGAGCCCGATGTTGTCACCGTCTGTAAACCAGCAACTGTGCCTGTAAGTACGGTCTCATTTACTGTTTTATTCCTAAGGTGTCCTTGCAACTTATTTTTCCAATTTTCACTGCCCATCAACGAGTTTGGTCACTATTATGTACCATTGACAACCATCTGGTTGTCTTTTTTTGTTGATGGGCTAGCTTAATTAAATAGTATATCTGCTGCTGATGCAGGTCCACCCTTGTGGTCAGTACCGTAAGAACACTGTCGTTGGCATTCTTGAGGCTGAACATGGTTTAGGACCTTTATTTCGTATCCAAAGCTGACATTCTTAAGAGTACCTGTCAAATCTATGTGATAACTTGTTCAGTGGGTTGTCAAATATCCGATTTTAAGTTAATGTTGGTTATTCTTACTTTGGCAATGTCCAATAGTCCTCATTTCGTCGAATCATCTCTGTTTAAATAAGCAACTTTTGGTTAGTTTTCCTTGACATAATCACCTCAGCTGTTCATCGACTGGATCGGCTGGTCTCAGGACTACTGATCTTGGCCAGAAATGCTTCAAAGGCTGACCTTTTCAGACAAGAAGTAAGGTTCTTCTCTTACGCCCACTTTAAAATTGAGTTTTTTGTTTTTGAAAAGAAGAAAAAGAAGAGAAGAAAAGAAATTATGGGAATCGTGCGGGTTGACTTTTTTGATTTGTTCTCATGTATGCCTTCTGTTGGATGCTACTCTAATACCAAGTAATCCATTTGTGAGTTGTGCTTGAATTTTTTAAAGATTTACAGTTTGGCTTTTTAATTTTCTGTGCTGCGGTGTCAAGCCAAACAACCTTCCTTATTATGTATGCTAAGAATCTAGAGATAAACTGCCTTTTGTATGTCAAAGTGAAGGAACATGTTTATGCATTTGTTGAGTTTAGGAAGCACATAATGCATGTTATAGGTGAGCTTTGTAGACTTAGACTTACTATACCCTCCATGCTAATGGTACTGAAATATTTCTCTGGGGGCTACTATTATCCAAACCGCTTTTCTGTGCATGAGGTCAAAGTTTCCTTTACATAATGTGATCACTGTGGTTCCGAATCACGAGTTATATGAAAATATGACCAGATCCTTTTACCGCGCATGTGTGGTCCTTGTTGCAGATTGAAGCTGGATTGGTGCAAAAACAGTATGTAGCAAAGGTTGTTGGTGTTTTCCCTGAAGACGAGGTAAGCTGTTGTTTGAAACAAGTCTCAGTGTTCTTGTTGGGATTCTTAATTATGTAGTCTAAGAATGTATGATCTTCTTGATTGTTTAAAAAAGTGGAGTGCTTGAAATGAGAGTAGAAAAGCTTTCTTCAAATTTTCTTTTTGTGACGAATTCCACATGCTCTGCATATAAAATGGAAGTCAAACAGTTCGACATTTGCTGTTAAAATAAATCCGACATGTTAGTTCGAACATTCTCACTTTTCTTCTGTATAGCTTGTCAGCCGATATTATTCCAGGTCTTATGCGAGAAGTTATGATTTTGTCCCTTACCTTATTTTTTTAAAGGAATTAATATCTTACCTGTTTGTGCATCTTTCTTCATAAATGTTTCAGCAAGTTGTTGATGTCAATGTAAATTTTAATGCTCGAGAAGGAAGGAGCACAGTAGAGGTGAGTGTTTATTCATCTTTGACATAGTAGATGAATTGCATAAGCAAATTTCAAATGCTGCTAAGTTGTTCAAATGTAGGTTGGTGAATTGTGTGGAAAATCTTCCGTCAAAGGAAAGGCTGCTTGTACTAAGTTCACTCTCATTAGTACCAATGGGACTCATAGCATTGTATTATGCAAACCTGTCACAGGCCGAACTCATCAGGCAAGCAAAAGTTACTGCTGAAGTAACATTCATTTATTCCATTTTAAGTTATAAGTGGCTCACAACTGTAGTGAAGATAAACCTAATTAGATAAGTCTGAACGTGTTCCGACTTTTGAAGATGGTAGTTTTTGCCACTAATAAAAAGAGAAAAACAGTGGACAACTCATTTGTCAGTTCTTGCTGATATTCTCCCTACTTCAGTGAATATCTTCCTTTTGTGGACAATCAGACCTTTTCTACTTTGCTGGAGATAGAGTACTTGAATTGATATTGCTTTAATGCTTGATCCCAACAAGCTGCACCTCAAACCATTAAATATGTTCGGCTTAATGTTTTCCAGCTTCATGTAGGGGAGGCAATGAGTTACTGGTTGATTTAAATCGGTCTGTGTATTTATGGCCCGGCTTAATCAGTTGGTGGGTTGCTGGCATTTTCTTGACAGTTTGAGGTTTGGAGGGTATTCTGCTCATATATTAGGTCTAGAACTGTTGAGTAAAGTTTTAGTAGTTTGGGTGTTAGGTTGCGAAAGAAGGTGTCATGGTATGATTTTCCAGTACCTGGACTGAATTGGCAGAGTAACCTTAGATTTAAATTCTGGACCTGAAAAGTGAGAAATTAAATGTTTAGTTCCTAAAAGCGTGGTTTTTTTTTCCAAATACCCTCAACCACCAATCGATGAATTTGCATTGCATGAATTTTGGTTTGATGGAGTTTTAATTGGATGGGTTGATGGGCTTGGGTTGGTATGTGAAGTAAAAGAGGAAAAGGTCGCCACTTCTAGTAGGTTATGCTAGCATCTAACCTTCATTGAACATGAAAAGTTTCATGAACACTTCTTTGAACCTGGGTTTAATTGACTTTCATTCTCATTGTAGATACGAGTTCATTTGAAACATACTGGTCACCCCATTGCAAATGACTATCTGTACCTGTCTGAGCATGAGACTAGCTGGTGGCCAGAAGGAATGAGTGCTGACAGAGCTGCTGCTCGTCGTTCCGGTTTTATGACATCTGAAGATAATGGTGCCACTAATTGTGAATCAATCTGCAAAGAAGATTTTGACGTTGATCCAATGTGTACCAACTGTCCAGATTTGACTCCCAAAGGGTACGTGGATTTTCTTCTCAGTGTACGATGTTTCTTCTTTACATACAGTAGTGCAGGTTTATTTATCCCCATAACTGTTTCGTGAGAGTTTCTAGTATTCTGTTGCCACAGTTCATTCATGCTCCATTGCTCCCTGTTGTGATTGTTTCATGAGTTTCAATGGCTTCATAGCCCATATATGAAGCACGCCATGTCTATATAAGGCTAGATGCTGCAAACTGAAATCTCAAGCTAAACCTTCTGGGGACGTTGACTTATTGGATTAGATACTAACTGTATATTTATTTAGCACTAGATTAGTGATTTTTGAATAGGCCAGACGTTTTTCCCTCCAAAGACATGTCATTTCAATTTACTTACTGATTACTTTCACTGAATTCGTCCTGTCTGATTCCTTTTCTTTTTTCCATTGACATGCTTTGTGGTTTTTGGCAGATATGATGGGGATGAAGACGCCCTGTGGCTTCACTGCGTCGAGTATTCTGGGCCTGAATGGATGTATCAGTGCCCATATCCAGACTGGGCTGTTCTAACTTGAGCTAATGGGCTGAAAAGCTGTTAGTTTCTTACATAATCATTTGCCAAATGCCCAAAGCAACAGCCCGTAGGTGCTGGCCCGTGCTTGCCTTCCTCGTCCTTCCAAATCCTATTACTTGATTGCTTATTCAACCATATCCCTTGAATCATAGGGATACTTTGCATTCTGTGATACTGCATAGAACCTTATGGTCACTTCCTTCTCATTCAAACTGTTAACATTGCTTGTCTACTTGGTGTCGGCATATGAGATAGTTTAAGTTGGTCTAATGGTAATACCACTAGTCTTGAAACTGGAGGTCTCATATTCAAATTCCTAAGTAATACCTAACGCTTCCTTATATACTTTTCTTCATTTGGATAATGTGACTGGTAATGTTGTTGCTGTCGATGTTTGTGAACGACCACACATCCACTTGTGGGTTAAACCAAATGCATTCCTTGAAATCTCGTCACACTTTCTCTTCCTCGTGAATCTTCTGTGTGCCTAATTAACGCGGCTAACTCTGGTCGCGCGCAACGTTGAAGTTCCTGTACTTGTGCATCTGCCCTATGTAGACCCTAGTTATCCTCTTTGCATTCATCGCCATGTTGACGATCCCATCTTACTATAGCGTTCGTTATCATATTATAAGGTTCCCTTTCTTTACTTTCACTACCTCTTTATCAATTGCTTGGTGCTACTTCGACCTCTGAAACTAGTTGAGCATCTTCTCATTATTGTTTGGTTTTTGGTTTTTCCTTTGGTAAACTGACTTTAACACATGTCCTTCGCGGCCTTTCTTCAGGTCAAGGATTACCATTTATTGCGACCTTTTATCTAGCCATGGTGTCCTAACCATTTTGGGAAAAATAATTTAGCATTAGGACTCCCAAACTATTAGTGGGCGAGATTTGATGCTTTAAATTATAATTATATAATTTTGATAAGGAGAACATAGTGGTTGGTCATCACCAAAAACGAGTAGAAAAGGGTCCAGGAGATACAATCGTCGGACTCGATCCAGTCCAACTCAACGATGGTCACCCCAACCATACACCGTGCCGGGTCTAAGTGTCACTTAACGGGTGCCAACGCTAGACCGAATCAAATGAGGATTTTGATCTTCGAGTTTGAGTTTAGAGAATTGGTGCTTGGTATTCACTATTCATTCATTAGACGTTATGATATAATATGATACAACGAACTCGATTTAATTCATATGATCTAAAAAATATATCTCACTAGAAGTATTTAAGAGTATCGTTACTCTAAACAGTATGACAGTTTGACCGATATGTATGACAAAGGCTAGTGTACGTCTGGCGTATAATATAAGTTTACATTCAAGCCTTGATGGGATCCCGAACTTGTGAAATCCTAGGTTCTTTTGATCAAACTTGTGCAGTCACAATCTTTTTAGGGTTTTCTGAATTTTCTCTCAACAACACGAAAAAAGTAAAAGATAGGGCGGAATTGACGTGTAATCCGTGTGCAATGAAAACTGCAAGCACGGTTAGGGTGGTTTTTTTTCTTCTTTTATCCATTTTTTTAAGAAAGAAAATTTCAACTTCATCCGACTAGTTCCGGGACCAGGTCTGGCCCATTCCTCAAAAGAAGTTTTGACGGGATCCCTATCTACCAAAGTTTTGACTTCGCAAACCGGCGAACGAATAATCATGGAGTCCTCCCATACTAAGGGACTCGGGTCAATTTAAGGGTAGCACTTACCAATGAGGCCCTATTGATTAGTATTACATACAAAAAATCAATGCTAGACACACTTGAGAGAAGCCTCGAACAATATAAAGGTAGAAGCTCGACCACCATCAAGAAAAATACCTGATTGATGCAGAGACAACACTCAACGTGATTGGAGTCCACCAACGACGAGAGAAAAATTCACAAGCATCACGCTCAATGAATAGAAGAGTTTTTTTACAACCATTTGAATAGATATGGAAAATAAAACTAATTAAAGTACAGAAAAGGAAAAAAATCCTTAACGAAAAAGGAAGTTAACTCGTCAGGGCCAAATCACCAGTCTCAATTCCACGGTCGGGGATTTAACAACACTGGTCGGAGGTCCTTTTGGACCAATTCCCCGGTTGCCACTTCGGATCCCCGGGCGGGTACCTGCTCCTTGCATGGGGTGGGTATGCTCTTCTCCATTGCCGGTTGGGAATCACATCAGGCCCTCTCCGTTGAAGAAGCTTTGCCCTCAAAGTTTTAGAGTCGGTTTCCAAACGAAATTTCATGTATAATCATCACCAAGAAAGAATAAATATCCTCCGCAATCCCACAGAGTCAAGAGCTCAAACACCCGATCAAACATGTGCTCCAAATCATGACTTTCGAAGCTCAAATCAACATGAATGTTTCCGTGAAACCTCTAGTTAGGTTTCCAAACATAATTGGTTGCTCCCAAGGCATCTAAATTTGAAGATCCTCGTCCAAAATCTCCATCCTTCACTGGACTCAAGCAACAACAGTCTATCCTCTTGCCTTCACAACAATCAGTCGTCCAAAGCAAGCTACCAAAGCTCAAATCTTGAAGTCTCCTGCACGAGAATTCATCGTCACAAAAGTTGTAAAAAGGATTGAGATAAGCTATATGCTCCTTTCCCACCACGACCATCTAGTAGAATTCTCCATCTTCCTTCTATGGTTCTGGAATGCCTGTGGTTGGAGAAACCACTCCGTTGTCTTTAAGGCACTTGCTAGAATTGGCTTCATCCTTCGACTCATCCTCTAGCTCAGCATCGACTTCATCAGAATTGGATCTCTGTTGAACCGGAGAACTCGAACTCGATATTTGTTCAACCATGGTTTGAAGCATAGCTCCCACCTGAGCCATCTGTGCTGCAAGCTGTTTCATTGCGTCTGCAAGGTTTGGCTCTATGGTTTGCTCTTCGCGGCCTTCTTCTCGTTGCCATTGATTTGAACCGGAAATACACAAACTAAAAATCCAAGACATCTATGTATTCTTTGCGCTCTTTTCTTTTCTTTCAACTCACGTTCAACTTTGTGGCTGATGAAAAACTTTTCCACTTTTTTCTTCTCATGAACAGTAACCGAAATCACAATTTCTTTTGCCTTTTTCAATAATAAAAGAAAACAAAATTACAGATATTGAAAATAAATGACCTTCTCTTCGCTGCTGAGTTTGAACCGGAGCTCTGATACCACCTGATAAGATTGTGAGCTCGTAAATGCCTAGATTTTTTTTTTATCAAAGTCGCGTAGTCACAATCATTTTAGGGTTTTCTCAAATTTCTCTCAACAACACAAAAAAGTAAAGTTTATGGCGGAATTGACGTGCAATCTCACACCCGGGAGAAAGCTCGAACAATATAAGGCTAGAAACTTGACCATAATCAAGAGGAATACCTGATTGATACAGAGACAACACTTAACGCGATTGGAGTCCACCAACAATGAGAGAAAAATTCACAAGCATTAGGCTCAATGAACCAAAGATTTTTTTAATTAATCAAAGTCTAATCTCTCTCAAATCAGAGTTTACAACCCTTTAAATAGGTCTGAAAAATAAAACTAATGAAAGTACAGAAAAAGAATCCTAAAATAAAAATGAAGTTTAATTCGTCAGGGCCAAATCCCCAATCTCAATTCCCTGGTTGGGGATTTAACAACACTGGTCGGGGGTCCTTCTAGACCAATTCTCCGGTCGCCATTTCGGATTCCCAGTCGGGCACCTGCTTCTTGCATGGTCAGGTATTCTCTTCCTCATTGCAGCTCGAGAATCACATCAAACCTACTAGATGTATTTTTATATACTTGGACGAATAAAACCCGTTGATTAATTTTTTTCATAGATGGATTTTGTGGTTTGTGTTTAGAAATCATTGTTTGGGGCTGATCCATTAGAGCTTAGCATATAGTATAGTGCTCCAAATTTGGGTTAACTCATGACCTAAATAGTGGAAATCAATAAACGTATGTTATCATACGCATAGTGAGTATGGCTATTTAGACCTAGAATTCATTGTTGTTTGGAGCATGATATTATATACTAAATTTTACTAAGTGAACACTAGACCCTAATTTCTAAACTCAAACCATAAGATCAATTTAATCAAAAAATAATGATCGGTAATTCTGATTTATCAAAGTATATTAGAGCATATATATATATTTCATTAAGAGCATGATATAATGCATTTAGAGGTGACAATATATAATCCAATCCATCCACTTAAATATCCAACTAATTCATTCCATTTGACCCAAATGAAAAATTACAGTTGGGTACCTGTACTTTTTATATTTTACTTGGTACCTAATTTTTTTTATATGAAGAATGTCATTGGAAAATTATGTTTTGGTTTCTAAATTTTTTTATTATGACATTTTAGTAAGTATATATTTTATATATTGATTCAAGACTTTGATGCTATTTGGATCCACAGATCAATTCACCAATCCATGAATCCACCAATCTTATATATTGATTCATCCATTTATTCCGTGGATCCACCAATCCATAAATTCCGATCAATTTGCCGCCTCTAAATGCATTGAGTGTCCAGTTATACGAAGATAAGCTCCACGAAAGAAGAAGATAAAGCTAGTGAACACGGTGAGCTTAGTAGGGCTTCTCCGATGGCACAACACCGTGGATTCGTGGCTGAGCTACATTGCCATTTGTCCGCCTTGTCGGCCAAAGTGGATCGGTCCCAACGTTTTGGCCTTTTTTGTTTTGGTAATATGATAACTGCCACATGTAAAATCCTTGTTTAATTTCATTCATCAATCATTTCATATTTTACGAAAATATATTTATTTATGTGATTGACGTGTGTTAATGCCAGTATTTTATTTGTGCTTTTGCAACTTTATATCGTGATATTATTTCACCTCACTTTGTTGTTTGTAATATTGCTGCAAAAGCATAAAGCTCTGCAGGGAAGGGAAGGGATTGGTTTGTTGCCATAGAAAAAACAAAAAAAACAAATTAAAGAACCATTTCTTTTCTCTGTGCAAAACTGTTAGGAACGACTTTATTATCAGTATTATTACTAACTAATTCAAATTTTTTTTTAATTTGCAACTTTTGATAGCGGATTAATTACAAAGGTTCCCAGGACAGCAAGGCCCCCCCTCTTATCCAATTTGGGGGGAATCGTCACTATAAATCCAAAACTTAGAAAAGCCACAAGCATTTTCATTAATCATACTTTTTAATATATAATCTACGTTATCATCATGAGTAGTGGCGGAGTCAGATATTTTTTCTTGAATTATTATTCTTATTTTTCAAATTTATACGTGTTTTTTTTTATAATTCTAGTTTGGAAGTTGGCTTACCATTAGCTAGCTCTCCCACCGATGATATGATAGTATAAATTCCCGCTAATGAACTAAATATCCTTCACTCGCTAATTATTCAGATTAAGTGCCATTAACAAATTTTGTATCTATTCATAAAGATGCAGAGCCTTTTATTGGAGGAACCACAATCTACTCTTATCTTATCTAACTATGGGACAAATGTCTCTAATAAAGAAAAAAAATGTACCTGTCCTCATATATCTCCTTCATCATCTTCTGGGCACAAAAGGGGAAAAAACCTTCCATCTTTTATAAAAGAGAAGCCACTCAATTATTAACATATAGAGGCTTTTAGTTTAGTGCAGAGGAAAAAAAAACAAGAATTACTCATTCATTATATTGGAACATGTATGTATGTACATCACAAAACCCCCACTGGGTTTCCTGACTATGGGGGAATCTAAACTAAATAATTATGTAAAATGAAAAATTAGTTGTTGATAGGAAATTAAAGACCCTCTTTGTAGAATGTCAGCAAGCATCAGAGGAAAGAACAAGTTGCATAACCCAATTGTTGTAATTTTTCTCTCTTGAAATATAAGATTATTTATATTTATAAGATAATATTCATTTTCGATTACGAGGAGTTCGTTTTTGAGATAGGACACCCCAACCGTGATGAGCAGTCGCAACTCGCAAGCCTATGAGAGCGGTTTAATCGGGGGCTCACAAGCCTTAATAGACTTAGCAAAACTACGTATCCACCTATCCAGTTAACGGTCGAATGTGAATCAGTCAACACGAGGAAAATCTTCGTTGACGGGCTTGGATGGCGGCCATGTAAAAACCCTCCGGGGACGAGTATAGGAAGGATCGTACATAGTTATGTGATGACATTTAGAAATATTGTCATTCACAAGGCCTCTTGACTGACATTTAGAAATATTTCTCATACAAAATTTTGAACTAATTATTATGTGGCGTTGGAACACCGAATATGGTCATAATCAATACCTTCTAAACTGACAAATTGACACAAGTGGAACTGGAGTTCACCGAAACACAATATTATTGAGCCATGCCACTATTGACTTGGATACAGTGTGAAATATATTGCTAACTAAATTTATTGAAAAGACCCAAATCAAATTTCATGAAATATCATTCTGTACCTATCTGGTTTAGGTTTCCTGGTGAATTTAGGGCAGGCAACTACTGCTCTTTCTTGAGGTAGAGGCACGAAATTGGAAGCAACATTCAACCTTTAGAGTTTTTAGGGAAATACATATTACACATAAAAGTAGTGGGTGGGGAGATTGGGATCAATATTTCCATTTAACTTTCGAGTCATTGGACACTAGGACCAAATAATAACAAAAAATTTATTTACATCCTCAATCATGTTGATTTTCACCTTTAAGAAGACTGATACGATGGAGTTCGGGTAAGGTGTATTCGGCCAAGTGGAAAGACCTGAAACAAGCAAAGGTTCCACCTACGCTTTCCTTTTTGATTCGGCCACACTTAGGTTGGAAGAGTCCTCAATAATGCTAGTGGAGAGTGGGGGATCTTAGACAATCAAATTCATCACCGTGGGTATTCGATCGTTTCTGATCCAGTCAACGCGAGAAATTCCTATATTGATTGGATATGAGACAGGTATGGATAAAATATGCAAAAAGATTGATGGGTATGGGACGGGTATGGTTTTAGGGGTTGTTTGGAAGTTATGATTCTAGATGAATGATTCTTTGAATTCATGTATTCTGGAGAATTCATCGTTTTTTTGTTCCAAAACTTTATTCAATACATGCATTTGAGGTGGACCCTCAAATCTCATATCACCCAAAATCACTCATTTTAAATCTCAACAAAAAGGTGAGATTCTTCCTTTGAGATTGTTGGCTTTAATTTGTTCACTTTTAGCTCATTAAGTGATTTTTTCTTTTCTTTAAAATTTTTGAATGGCTACAACCAAACAAGACATTCTTCCAATCATCTAATTCTTACAATCTTTGTATTTACAATAGATGTATTCATCAAATAAACATATTTGAAGAATCTCAACTTCCAAACGACCCCTTAGTCTCCCTCGCCCCATACTCATACATGTATTAAATTGAAACCTATCAATGATAGTGAAGGTAACTTAAGACAATATATAGTAGAAATGCAATTGAGTGGTCACCCAAATTCAAATCTGATTCCTTTTTTTGTCAATTCTCTCTTCATTCCTTAAATTTCCCTCTCGCACACAAGATAATTGTGTTAGTTAAATATTACATATAGAGTTAGAAACTAATGATTTGGAAAATATTATACTCTATCTTATTGATTAATAGATGTTTTAGGATCATACAATTTGAACTGTAATAGGAATGATTGTATCTTTGTTACCTTAATGATATAGTAGGTCTGTTTAGCGTTATAATTGAATATTTACATGTAAAGTCGTAGGTATAATGATGTAGGATGTACGGGCCGGGTATTACCCATGGGTACATGAAATCCACAAGTATGCGGGGATGGGTTTGTAAAATCTTCCCCGCACGGGTATGGGGCGGGTACGGGTTTGGATATTTGAAAGTGGGGATGAGAATGTTTTAGGCAAACCCGCCCCATTGCTATCCCTAGTAACAATTCTAGGGTGGAAATTGACACTGTATCGATGTCCCGATACCAACTATCGAAATCGTGAATGTCGAATTATACCCTAAAATAAATCTCAATCTCTAAATTAATTCGGTATCCCAATCTCAATCCCTAAATATTTCGGTATCCCAATCTCAATCCCTAAATATTTCGGTATCTTAATCGATATTTGCTATTAATAATTAAATATATAAATTAGAGTATGTAATTTAATTCAGGGCAAAGAGTCTTGAGTTCGCCTAGAGCTAGGACATGGATAAGTAGAAAGGAGGAGATGATGACATTTCAACATTTCTTTTCATTTGTAATCTTTATTCGATGGATTGGAGGCTAAGAGACAGCTAATGAGAGTGTATTCTTTTTGGTGATATGTAAAATAACAAGAGAGACGAGTGACTTAAACTGAAAAGTCAAAATTGGGTTGGATGGAGTTTCTGAGTTGTCAAAAAGAGAGGAATAATCAACGATTGTGTGATATATATATTTCATTAATTTTTATTTTTTCTCGGTTTTTATCGGTAGTAAGGTATAATACTGATCCCAATCCCATAATTGGATTATATAAATACTTGAATCTGAACAAGCAGGCAATTCTTACATCCAAGACTAATTAAGTGCAACTATTCAAGATAATTGGGAAGAATCAGAATATGAGGTGTGACGTGGGGAATACATGATCTGCCAAGCTTAATGGAGAAAAAAGCAGACACAGAAGGCGCAGTAGCTTGCTAGCTTTGGTTTAGGCCTAAGAAGTAAGAGGATAACAGGCAAAAGAAAAAGTTTGTACTGTGCCAATGGACTTGGCCTGCTGTCATCGGCAAACCAGAATCCGCGTCTTTATTAAAGCCAGAAACAGGAGAAGCCAAGGGAGAAATCAGAAAAAAGGGAAAGCGACAATGTGATGGATATATAACAGACACTCTCTCTGGGAATTGAACAAGTTGATAGGATGGATTCGTGGATCTGAGAAATGGCGTCCCCTCTCCTGATATATATCTTTGCCTTGCTGCTAATTAGACTAGCTAGTAAATCACTACCATATGTTTTTGTTCCCCTTGCTTTGCCTTTTAACGTATAACATGAACCCCAAGTTTGTGTATAAACTCCAACTTTGGTAATGTTATGTTAGATTAGAAATCGATCACAGTTTGATGTATATATAACTCCACGTTTGGTAGTGTTGTGTAGCGTTAGAAATCGATCACAGAAAAATTAGGGTTACTGAATCTGGTTTGAGTTGTGGACTAGGTTAATACGTGTGCGATATATACTATGTCTCGTTTTACGCACATCAGGCTACCATCCGAGTGGCTACAAGATAAATCAATCACGCACTTGACTCTTAGTTTGTACGAAAATGGGAGTTCTATGAAGAACACTCTCTTGTCGTGTTTCAACTATCTAAATCTTTGTTTAAAGGGTATGGGAGGTATACTATTTATAGGTGACTCATATTCTTACTTCAACCAACTAAAATTTATGAAGCGGTTGGTTTTAGGACAATCCAAGTATCACATCAGAAATACAAGGGAATGTACCCTTGTATATTGATGTCCACCAAACTCATCAGTACGAGGCTTTTATGGGAGTATAATAAAAAGTAAAACCATTTCGACTTGGCCCAAAATGGACAATAACGTACTAATGGAGCTATTCGGTTACAACAAGTGATATCAGAGCCTGGTTAAGTAGATTTGGGGCGGTGGACGTTAGTTTGGTGGGACCGTCATTCATGACCACAAGATTTGAGATATGCATTTGTTTGGTGGATCCAGAAGAGATCCACGTCTGTTTGGCGGATCAAGAGAGGTTTGCGTCTGACTCGAAATGGCGTAAAGAAACCAATCACTCTCGCGCATAGCCCTCTTACGATGATTGAATAGTGACCCAAATTAACCTAAATTGAGGGAAATTATCAAGGAATCTCAATTATCAATGATAAATACTCAATTAATATATAATCAAACATGACAATCACCCTCTAAGGTTAATTAGACCCAAAATTGAGGAAATTGATCAAGGACTCTCAATTATAATGATAAGTACTCAATTAATATATAATCAAACATGTCAATGACAACATAGAGTTCACAATCATCAAACTACAACATCCTAGACTAGGGTTCACATCAACCAAGTGAATGTAAAATCTACTCCATGCATAAAGAAAGAACTACAACTAAAGAGAAGGAAAACACCATAAAAATATGAATCTCCTTCTTCCTAGTTGCTTGGGATGGTGTTGAAGATGAAATGTGGCCTCCTTTGATCTTGGCTAGGTCAAATTCCTCTTCAATCTTCTTTGGTTTGTCGCTTTCTCTCTATAATTAATGTAGAAGAAAACCCAAATCTCTCTCTAAAGCTCTTCTCCTTTTGAAATCTGCTCACCCTTCAAATTTATACTGGCAATGCAATCTTCATGGCCACACGTCACAACCGTGATGTGTGCAATGAAACCGTGACACTAACACAAACACAATGTTTCACTTACACCCTTCACGATTTCCTTTATTCTTCACGCACTCAACCCGTGATATGTGCAATGCACGCGAGAAATTCCAAATGCTCATGAAAAACAAATATTAATTTCTTAAAACATGTGTTGGTTCTAGTATTGGTATGATCAAATATCTCCTTAAGCCAAATTAAAATTTTAGGAGAGAGAAAAAGTCATTAGTTATTATCTACATAATTATATATATTTTGTTGTACTTTGTGCAAAAGAAAATTATCGTTAGATAACACGTATTTGTTGTAATTAATCTTATCATTGTTAAATCACGATCCTACCAGTATCATATGACAAACAATACTATCTTAACGCTTTCATGTCATGATATTATTACTATATGACAGTAACAAGATGATATTATGAAGTCATACTATAGTTGTAGATGTTGGTATTACAGTTATGGGATTGTATGAAATCAAATCTTTGAGCAAAAGAATTTGATGTCATATTGCCATTCTTATCATAGTTGTATGTTCATGGTATGCTAGCGGCCGATAAACTCCATTTGACGGGTTTCTCTTATAAGGTCTATACGAACCATTTCCCGGTGGTTAGATGATGTGAAAAGTTCCTGCTAAAAAATATCAAAATGGATATAATTTATTAATTATTGTTTCTAAACATTTTCCCTGTGTACGTAACATGAATGCATATCACCCTATCTTGATGATGTCACAGTCTTGGCTTTTCCCATGCATCTTTTGATCTTTCCCTCCACCAACCTCTTTTCATTACTTTCTCCTTTCAATTATTAGCCCCCCCACAAAATCTAACCACTAAATTATTGCCCAGAATATAACCAAATAATAATAATAATAATAGGTTAAAATCGTAAAAATCAGAAAGGAAAAGACATTTAAAAAGTTCCCAGTACTTTTTCGTTCATGATTCATTATGAACATCTGTTTGACAAGTAGGAAACTGTATTTTGTTTTTGGCCTTTCTTTCAAATTCATTCTTCCACGATGATTAGAGCAACAGTTACATATACACGTAAGCAGATATGTTCTCGACTTTACTGATATTTAGATAGCTAATTGCAGCCTCTCTGGTTGAGAATGATAAATTAGGTTTTGGTATTTGAAACTTTGGCGATCTCTCGGTGCATATAGTAATTGGATTTGTGCAAACTTCAATTTATCTAAGTTGGTTTATTTATTTATTTGAGAAAGTGTGCTAGTAAATGATATAAGATTTAATTATTCAACCTAACTCAACAATTCCAGTTATTCATAATAAAGGGTTTGTCGAATCGCATCATTCAAAAGTACGGCTAACTAACTCATGAATAATTATTTCAAACAAATGAATTAATAATTTTTTAATAGTTTTACTCGAAATGGCGGTAGTTCGACTATTTGTCGACTACCGCACGATGTTTATCTTTTGTTCTTTGACTCTGTACTGGCTATTTACCTGACTACTGTCTATGTTAAAAAAAAAAAAAAATCTCCTAGTTTTTGTTTCTTTGTTTTTGTGTATGACACACGTATTCAAGATATACCACACATTTCAGCCGGAAAAAAAATGTGTACCATATGCATATCACAATCGAAAAGTAAAGCAAAATCACTCAATCGCCTTACCGGCAAAAAGCAGAGTAAAATAATATCTTTGAACGTAATCAACAACAACAATCTTCTCTTCTCCTCTCCGTCGATGGAGTGATTAAGACGACGTCACTTCGCATTAGAAACTTGCTTTTAAAAAAAAAAAAAAAACTTGGCAGTAATGCCGCCATACTCGCACGATAATCATTTGGGCAAACAAATTCACAAAGTAATCAAACCTCCGTAATATGCAATGCAATGGTCATTATCATCATGATTAATTCATGTCTGGTGTGCCAAATTACGATTAACCAACATCGGGGTTTTTTCTTCTTAATCTCCCTTTACCAATAAAATGCAAGATTAAAGTGCCGAACATCTTAAAAAGTGCTTTAGAGTACAGGTGCCATTCATATATACAAACGCGCAAATTTTCATATTGAACAACACCAGTGCATAATTCTTTGTGGGGAGTGAGTTTGGTATGAATTTTTAGACAGACAATTAAGAGATTTTTTTTAATATTTCTCTCAAATTTTCAATAATATAAATCAGGATTATGTAGGGTTATGTACCAAATTTTACTATAAGTGCACTACACCATGATTTTTCGTAATCATGATTTTTAATAATATCTTGGCGGGCATACTATATATAATCAATTAAGCAAATATTTCACATATAAAGATAGTGACGTAGCCAGACTTCAAGTTAACTGGGGTCCTAAAAATTTGTAATGCTAGAATCTATGCCTTGAATAGAGTTTGAGTTGTTGATTGGGGTTCTTAAAGATAGCTAAAATTAATAAGAGTATGGGGTCCTAAGTTCGAAGAATCGGTTGAAACACCTACGTATCTACTAAATTTTTTTTGCCTAATTTTTCCTGTCAAGTGGTGTCCTTGGACCCCACTCCTCAACACTTGCCTCCGCCACTGTATATAGACGACATTAATCTTGGAGCTCAGAGTTAAAAGCAGCAGAAGTATTTGCAAAATTGTATAGTACAAGAGGTCCAACCGAAGGAACCACTTACAGAGATCTAAAACTGATAGACGATTTTAGCTAGCCATATAAAAGTATTGAATCATAACTAAATCATGATTTCAACACCAATGATTTTATTACTAATTTTTCCCCGTACAACATCGAATACGATTTTACACTTTCTTGCCGTTAAAAAAGATTCTAATAAAGAACCGCGTGAAAATGAGGATAATGATTAATAATTGTAGTGAGTTGTCGCCGACGTCATTACTTAGTGGCACTTGCGATTATGGACAGTGGCATACTATAGACGATTCTCTAATATTCGTAGATTAATAATGTAAAAGCTGGGTGGGTATATACAGACAGATCGAGGAGGAAAGCATGCGATGTTTGTGAAATCGTATCGTAACAGCGTTCTAATCGGAAAAAAACTTATTGTGTTAATGTAAAACGAATAGACAAATTTTGCTCGACACAAAGGACGTAGGAAGTGGAATCTTAATAACATTGGCACAGTAGGCAACCCCGTACACAGAATATTTTACGGAAAAGAGATTACATTACATGCAAAAGTTACAAGTAAAAAAAAAAAACAACGTACGTAGGTCAGTTACCCAAATCCAAAATACATAACAATCTTCATCATCATTATTATTTTTGTGGTAATTAATTGTCTTCAAATTAATAAGGGCTGTTGTTCATCGTCGTTATCATTTTCAAAACCTCTGTCTTTGTTTACGCCACGGCAATTCCATTGTTGAAAATCATGTCTTTCTTGTTGTTGTTGTTGTTCATATGCTTCATCAGTTGCTCCTTCCTCTGCTCCTCCGCTTCTTGCTCAGCCGCCGCGGCGGCCAGTTGCACCATCACCTCTCTCCGAACCGCCGCCGCGTCGACCGGCACCACCTGGTTGATCTGGTTGGCCGGCTGCTCCCCGAGCTTTGTCATGTCGATCACCACCTTCGCTTCCGCCACCTCCACCTCCTTCTTCACCGGAAGAGCATTCGCCGGAGTGCTTTTCCGGTACACCATGTACAAGATCATCTGCAGGATCCCGAAGGTGAACCCCAAAATATTGGGAACCTGAAATATAAAAAAAAAAACAAAATTAATTAACCAATTAATTCATAATCATATAATAATAACAGTTAAAAGTTAATTTTGAATGATTGAATCGGACTACTTACAGCGACGTAAGGGTCTTTCTTCAGGAATCCGTACATGAACCACATGACCGCGCTCAGCGTCAGGAAGAAGGACAGCGAGATCGGCATGAACTCCACACTCTTCGTTTTTATCACCTTCCTCTGTACGTACGTACAAAAATAAAATAAAAACATGAGAGTCTGTTGCATAACAGTGAGCTACGTACGACGACGACGGAGGAAATCAACTGTGAGCTACGTACAACGATGCCAAGAGGGGCGACGAAGACGCAGAGGGAGAAGACCATGCAGATCCAACCGAGGACCTGGACGCGGAGGAAGCCGTGGGTGAACGCGAGGGTGAGGGTGCAGATGGCGCCGAAGCCGACGACGTTGAAGAAGGAGAGGAGCTTGACGGTGGTGATCATGTCCTTCTTGGTGGCGTAGAGGAGGTAGACGGCGATGTAGAACGTCTGCATGAAGAAGGTGAAGACGTTGATGGTGACGAGGAGCATGGCGTCCTTGGCGAAGAGGGCGTAGAAGAGCCAGAGCATGGCGCTGAAGAGGCCGATCACGTAAGGGAGCGACTGGAAGCCCTCGCTCGTTTTCTTCTTCCATATCTGGTAGAACGTCGGCAGCGGGGCCAAGCACACCATGCAGGAGATGGCGTTGCCGAGGAGGCCGAACAGGAACATCAGAGAGAAGTGCACCGCCATTTTTTGTTGTTTTTGGTAATAGGGCGGAAAGCACTAAAAAGGAAGGGTTTAGTTTAGTAGTGGATGTTTGGAGTAAAGTGTAAACCAAAGCTCTCTCTCTATTTGCTTGTGTGTTGCGATTGTTGGAAGAGGGCACGTGAAGGGTTTATATAGTACTCAAGGTGGGAGGAGAGAGAGAGAGAGAGAGAGAGAGAGAGAGAGAGAGAGAGAGAGAGAGAGAGAGGGACCAATTTGGCACTAGAGGCTACTACTCCAAGTTGGGTAGATCAAGCAATCAATCTGTCCATGAATGAGATTATGCGTCTACAGTAGGAAGATGCAAATAATGCTTTGCTTTGGTTTGCTTTTTGTTTCTTTTTTTTGCTCTTGCCAAACGAAAAAAACATCCACACACGTATTAGTAATACGAGTGGGTGTGTTTTGGGTGCTTTTTTCTCTTTGTTGTTGGATGCACAAATCAAATTTGAAAACCGTTTGATGAAAGAGGTTGTTCATTGGAAGGCTGAACCTAAGATAATACACGACCCGGGCCCTATAGAGCTCGTATTCATTTCCATTTTGAAAGTTAATACCAACACCCTCAATTGAAGAATGAAAAATAAAAAAGTTGATTCCAAACATGATCACGTAAAAGAAAGCCAACAAACAGATTCAAAATTCATACAAATCCTTATGGTTACGATGATGAGTTGTGTTACTGAATGGTATATATAATAAGATACATAATTAAACTTCTTCAAACAAAGCGCACGCGAGTAATTGGGATCAAACGGTTCTTGACATGATATGGAAGTCTGATTTGATCAAGGTTCATGTGTTCGAATCTCTATGATCGCGGATATTAACAGTTCATTAATTAAGCACAATGTGGTGAGCGCATGTGAAAACTTCAATGCATGTGAGTTAACTTTCATTTGACGGGGGTGTGTGCAAGAGAGTGGTATAAGATTCATAATTAACTTTCTTCCAACAGCTCAGAGTTATTATTAGTCTCTCCGCGTCCCTCTTAAATGAAGGTGGGACAAATCTCAACGCGAGGACGGACGATGAGTTCCAAAAAGAGGTGTAATGTAACACGTTGGACAGATTTCACATTGACAAAACACGAGAGGGTACTTCTTGTAAAACCTCTAAGGCAAACGTGATTAGGATGGAGCAATGCAGATATATGGATGCATTGAAAAGTAAAACTATGTGGGCTAGACACAAAACGGACAATATGTTGGTCAGGAAAGGAGCTGAGATGTTACAAGCGGCCGGCCAACACCAGAGCTTTCGATACTTGCAAGAGGTTGTCTTAAACTCTCAACGACCCCATTTATTAAACATATGGTATTCAACTTGTGCAATTTTTCAGGTGCATGTGTTATTTGTGTTATGTTTGAGGGAGGTGTGTTAGTAAATAATATAACATTCATAATTAAAATTCTTACAAGGACTCGAGTTATTGAAACCAAAAGATTCACAATAGCCCTGCTAATATTCTACATTTGGAGTAATTAGTTAGAACGGATTAACTCTTACTTCTAGAACAAGGTCCATATGGTTGTTTGAACTTTGAAGAAATAATCAAAATGATAAGAACCCACACATTAACAATTTGCACAAAAATGCAGTACTGCTTTCCAGTTGGTCGTCTTGTACAAATTTTTTTGCCCCCCTATACTTTTATATTTCTCATAATTAATTTCTTTTACGTGAATATAATCCAAAGCAGCTTTTCCCTTTATTTCGTTTTTTTTTCTTCCCCCTCTTGCTTTGGTGGAGATAAGGTTGCTGCCCTGATACCAATCCCTCCCAATCCCATCACTCCCAAATCCAGTATTAGTACACAAGTTGATCCCCAAAGTTATACAGGTTTCACATACATTCGTTTACCAGAAATATGGCTGAGCTTCTGTTAAAGTTAAACACACAGCTTCTTGCCAAGGTGGCCCTATACTTTGGCTATGGTGGCATAGCTAGATATAGCTAGCTAGCTAGCTTTGTTGTGAGGGTACTATTCCTAGTACATCTGCTAAAACCTCAGAACACCTTTCCGACGTGTCGTCCACCAAGTGGTTAATAAGGCCCTCCAACTCATATTTCAGTTTTTGGGGGACTCCAAAAGTGTAAATGTAAAAATTGCAAATGTGGGTTACAACTTACAACCCACTTGGAATATTCTTGTGCCCATTCTCTCCAGGATCGAGTTTTACCAGTTTTAGGCAAACCAGCTCCATTTGCTTTATTTGTAGGTAAGGTTAAAGCTATAGAAAAGGTCGTTAAGATGAAGTAATTAAATGAATTTACCGCCATTGACACCATCGTTCATTTGACTTTGCAGCATTCAGGTCAGTACCGATGGTTTCTTAGACGAGTTTATATGTAGGAGATATTGAACAAGTGAATTTCAGCTTCTTATGAAATTTTGGCGAACTGGGTATTTGAATATTTTGGAATGAGTTACGGCGGTGACTACGCTTTAAAAGAGTTAATGCTGACATCTTCGTCCTCTGATTTTTTTTTATTATCATTTTTAAAATTGATCATCTTAATTGCATATTATAAGGATAGTTTCGGAACAAAAATAATGACGACATCTTATTATTACTGTCTGTAAAATATGGTTTTTGTATTTATCTTTTTTCACACCCTAAGGAATCTTATTCCTTTCTCTCTTTCTCTTCATCTTCCTCTTCCTTTCCCAAAGCTCGACCAATAGGCTCTTCATCTTGCCACTGATGGGTCTTTTTTCAAGGAGAAAATGTTTATTTTTTCCCCGAAGGCCGTCTTGCCCATCGGAGGCTCTCCTCTCTCTGCTGGCTACGTACGATCTCTCCAGGTAGAGAAACTTATCCCCTCGCTTCTTCTCTCTCCATCTCCCTCTATGTCTCCTGTTGCGGCGGTCATCAGTTTGTCTTTTGTATCGATTGATTTTTTTTTTTGTATTGATTTGGTTTTCATAGTGACTATATTTTGGTATCGGTTGATTTTTAATCTGGTATTGGTTTGATTCTTGTACTGGTATTGGTTTGACTCTTCTACTATGACCCATTTTTGCCTAAAATGCATATGTATCATCTAAGGAACAAATTAAGGATGTATTTAATGTAATTTCAACCAATGAGACTACGAGATGACTCAAAATTATCCTAAATATGAGGTCTATGCTGAAACGGATAGCTACGATATTATCCGCTTTGGGCCAAAACTGCACGGTTTTACTCTTGGATATTCTCCCCAAAAGACCTCGTACTAATGAGTTTGGTGGACACTTATATACAAGTGTCCCTTCCCTTGTATTACCATTGTGGTACTTGGATTGTCCCATAACAGGCTAAATAACACCATGAAAGTAGAGATATCACATGAAAGTAGTTTTCTAACATCCTAGATGATATTATAAACAATTCTTATAATAGCATCCAATATAATCATAAACATTGAAATATAAACATCCATGGAATAACATAAATATCGAAATACTCAAGCAACCACAGACAGTCATAATAGGAAATAAGAGAATGGAATATTAATATCATAATGAGTTCACATTCCTACACAATCAATTCGAACTGACTACACATAAAAGATAAGGAGAGTACCACCATCGATCATGACAACATATCATTGGCTACACTCCTTTGTGGAAGCTAAGTTCTCGAACACAGTGTAAACAGAAGAATATACTGAATTTTCGTAATGTCTCTACAACTAAGGCTTTTAAGACATACATACCAACATACTTTTTTTTATTTTCTTTTCTCATGACAATTTTTTTCTTTTGTAGGAAGCTTTTCTAAAGCATTATATGTAACACCTTAAGCGAACCCCACATCGATAAAGTATGGGAGAGATCCATGGTTCATAAGTAAGAAACTGACTGATAAGCCAATATCTGCACATGTTTTCCCACCATTCTTGCACAGATTGAGGATTGATTCTCATGTTTTAAACAGAGTTCACGCTAAGTTGTGCTTTTATGTCATATGTCAGGACCTGGAGCGGAAATGGAGTCTTGGGAGCGAGTTTTGGGTCAAAAGTGGAGAGTGGGCGAAAAGTGGAGCTGGAAGACAGAATACCCGACCAGACTATTCAAATACCCGATCGGGTATAATCAAAGAAGATAGGGTAAATCATCCAGGAGGCCCCCCGGTCGTGGACCTCAAATATCCGATCGGGTATTTCACCCCCGAGATCGAGTATTTCCCCTGTGTTGTGCGTAGTTTTAGTTAAAACCACGATCTGTCCTCCTAATTCCCGACCGGGAATGCCCAACTCGGGCTATTTAAAGTCAAACACGGGAAGTTGAAGGCTCTTCGATTCTGGGAGCTGAAAACATAGGTTTAAAGAGAGAAAGTGATGAAGAGAGGACCTAGAGGGCCCTAGATCAAGTCTCCCCACCATTGGAGCTCGATTCAAGCCTTGAGGAGTGACGATTGAGGACCCGGAGCAGATTTCTTCCATCTACACGATGATTTCTACATTCGGCATAGCTTTTCACTCTCTCTCTCTCTCTCTCTCTCTCTCTCTCTAAGGAGTAATCCCCTTTATCACTTGGGTATGTAAGAACCATAGATTGTATGTTAGGAAGAGTTGTATGAACCCTTTATCATGAATGATTGATTGATTTATATCTAATTGATGATTCATAATTGCTTTAGTCTTGATCAAATTCTAGTGATTCCTACTTTGACCTAGAATGATAATCTTTGCATAGGTCAATAAAGCATCTTGAATTGGAGGTAGTGAATCGGCGACTTTAGTCGAGAAGTCGATTCTCTGCTCTGTACCGGTGTAGAACTGAGTAGAGGAATTTTGAATCTTATTGCCTCAGATAGCTTACGCCGGTGGAGGTTAATCGCCTGCTGGGTATTCAAACTGAGATGGTCTGGATCACTTTAGTCGAGACTCCAGACTGTTTGAGAACTTTCCGTAGTTTAAACATCAATCGACCTGACTCAGGTGAATTACAACTTAGCTTGACTGCGATATAGGGGGACTCATACCTGAGTGAGGCTTCTTAATCTGAATACAACTATTACTTGCTTTCTGTTTGTTTTTGCTTTGATAATCTTCCACTCAAACTGACCAGCTAGATAATAGAGATTCACTGAGTAGACAGTAAATCTAGGTATCGGGTTGACAAGTAAAACTGAACCCACTATACTGCATTTCCGAACTGCGATTATACTTGGTCGTAGTTTGGTGTTGTGTTTTAGCGAGACACCGACCTTAACTTACAAGACACGTTTTTGGGTGAAATGAAGTTCTTGTGAGAACTCTGAAGTTAAACGTGCTTAGGTGGAGTACAACAAGGATGGGTGACCTTATGGGAAGTCACCTTGAATTGTACCTCAAATCAAAAACCGTGAGAGTTGAGACCCAAAGCGGACAATATCTTCGTCAGGAAAAGGTTCGAGATGTTACATTATACCCTTATTGGCATCCTCAATTCCTTTTTCATTTTCAATTCCTCTTTCGTGTTCATTTATCTATTGCATATTGGCATTCTCGCTAGGGCTACAAATGAGTCGAGTTACTCGCGAGCAGCTCGACGTTTGATTATGAAAAAGCTCATTCGAAACTCGACTCGTTTACTAATGAGCCAAGCTTGAGCTTAGCCTTTTGCAGCTCGCGAGCTAGCTCGACTCGGTGGCTTTTTGAGATCAACTACTCGTGAGCTTGCTTGTTTAGAGCTCATGAGATGTCTCAACTATTAACATTGTGGCTAGAGAGCCAACTCGATTACCAAGTTATGAGCGAATCGTTCTATATGAGTTTGATTTTGATAATTAATAGGATTGTTAAATTATATATCTCACCCTATATGAAGTTTAACACTTAGATTATGTGAGAAAATATGTCTTATTTAATTTTAAAAAGCAATTATGTATCATAGACTGCTTCGATACTGTGAAATAACATAATATTCACTAGTGAAAATTTATTAACTACATAATTTGATACCACAAAGTATAATATGAGATTAGTTAATATTGAACACTTAACTATTATTTTTTTTCATTTTTACATTATAATAATCACATCATTACATGTATCATATATGAAATATAAAATGAATATATCAAATACGAATCAAAATTTTATTAAGCAAACTAACTTGAACTCGACTCAACTCAACTTATTTGCAGCCCTAATTCTCGCTAATAATTTTCTTGAGCTGACTGGTTTTGCAGAAAATTGTTCCGATGTTGTATGTTTTTCATAAGTGATCACTAAAGATTGAAGTTTTTCCAAGTGAGTTAGAATCAAAATTTTAATATGATACAAAAATTCAAAATTAATTAAAAACACAGGTCAAGCTCCACATGGCCATTACCATATGTAATTGGCAGGGATTAATTAACATCGTTTAATTTGTTCTGGTAGCGCGTTTATGAGTAGCCACTCTAGTGTAAAGCTGAGTAAAAGTAAAGGGTCAACAAAGTATATGCAGAAAAGACTGGGATATGGTCTTCTTCCACTGCCTGAATGACACACAATAATATAATATTATTATTGTTGTTGCATAGATTTATCGTGCACCTGGACAGAGATAAATTCTTATTGAGCATGTAACATGAGGCAATGATGCACTAATTTCCAGGTGATATGGCAGATACATTGCCACGAAGTCAGCAAAATATTGATCACCTTAAGTCTATCAGCTAGCAAAACGACAGAAGACATTCTTGACATGATGACTCTAAACGTCGGGACATAACAAATGCAGAACAAACATATGTGCCCAAGTGATAAAACCTAAACTAGAGGCCTTTTTTTTAGTATTAGGCATAATTTGTTTTTTCCTTCTCTAATCTTTTTTCTAGTATTTGACTAATACCATCATTGTTTTCATAAACAATCACAACATATTTTCATATTATGAAAGAAACGCAAAATACATTTGTTGTCTGCACTCTTTCAATGTTTTCAACTAAATACTCATTAGCAAACTGGTCGTCAATTCGACTTTGAAACTTGTTTTTAATATAACTCAAAAGTAAAAATGCTCTTTCTACACTGGCTATTGCAACGGGTAGATTCAAAACTAGCTTTAGAAGCAAATAAACTAACAGATATGATTATTGCACTTTGGTCTTGACCTAAGAAGACAGAGAAAGATCAATTTTTGGGTATTTTTCAATGGAAATTTTGTATATAATGTGATAAAATAATTCATATTAGCTTTTAAATATGAAATAACATGTATTGTAGTGGTAGAACATTTTTATATCATCTAGATGTGTTGAGTTCAATTCTTGATCTATACATATTTGAGAGTTTTTTATCCAATAATTATCGATGTTCTGTTACCCCTCCCAAGGTTTATGGTGTGGTTGAACTCCTAGCCCTTCGGGACTCTCTTTGATGGTGTTTATCTAATTTGTAAAGTAATGTTATGTTTTGGGGTGATGCATAGGTGATCCTCTGGATGGTCAACACGAATGACTTTTTGCACGGTTTGGATGTCACTATTTTTATGAGGTTCAGATGCTATGCTACTCGTTTGTCGTTTTAGTGTGTCTCGTTTCACTTCGTTCCTCATAGGTATAACAAGAATGCTCATATCGTGGCAAAGAAAAAGTTGTTTTATCGCTAGATCCACTCCTAGTTGACCAACTTCTTTTCTGCTTACCTTTTTGTGAGTTTGTCTGCAAAATGACCAACCTACTCTATATATTTCGTATCTTGCTCTTTTCCACTAGATATAGATTTCACATAGTAATTTTGATCGAAAAATCAATCTGATTTCTTTCATACCATTTGCCTTAATCTTGTTTAAGTGATGGTTTAATCTATGCCTTGGAATAAATCATCCAGGTTTGGGTCAATAAGCAGTGACAATTTCCCTCTGAAGACTCGCTTTCGCAATAGCTCCGGTGGATTTCCCTTAACCAAACTACTGCGTATGAGTCGCCGGCTCATTCTTCAATAGGCATGCGGTCATATTCTGTCTCCTTCCACTGCTTGGGAGTTTACGATCTCATGTTCTATTTCCCTCCCCGACGAGGATTCTTTCCATCCTCCCCTCATGGTACTACTTTGCTATCGGCCACCCAGGAGTTTAGCCTTATAAGGGAGTCCTTGCTGATTTACACGGGATTCCAATTTCCCCCATGCTACTCGGTTCAGAGCGTAAGCTAGTAATGCTTTCGACTATTCGATTTTGCCATCTAGGGTACGTGCAGTACTCCACCGCTTCGCCTAGCAGCACGATGCTTGTATTGTTCTCCCACAACCCCGTTTTCACGGTTAACGCTGCTCCCATTTCGTTCGCGCTACAATGGGAGTTGCTTTTGTTTTTCCCTATAGTTACTAAGATGTTTCAGATCGCCATGTTTTCTCTTACCTGTACATGGATTCAGCAGCAGTTTGAAAGGTTGACCTATTCGAGAATCTTCGAATCTACGCTTATTCTCAACTCCCCGAAGCATTTCGTCGCTTACTAAGCCCTTCCTCGCCTCTAGGTGCCTAGGGATCCACCGTAAACCTTTCCTCGTTTGAACCTCGCTCTTAACTTCTTTACTTTAAGGCTATGTCATCCTAAGGAGCTGCTAATTGTTAGGATCTTATCAACGCCCATGAATGAGAAATCATAATCAACATGTCTAATCAGAAAATTGGGTGCTATCAAATAGCTATGTACCGACTAAGTTCACAAGTTGGAGATAAGCAGACTAGAACCGCTAACATCCGTCACAGGGTAAACCACTACCACTCGGGGCCCTCGACTAATTTTAGCATAGGGGCTAATAGTAGACAATAACTCCCCCCGAACACAACTTACAACTTTCATCGTACTGTGCTCTCCAAAGAGCACTCTTCTCAAAAGGTGCTTGGTTGGAATCCCATTATAACTAAGGATTCTTATGGTTTCGGAGGATCCAACTAGAGGAAAATCAAGAATGGAGAGCTTTCCCCCGCCCCCTTTTTCCGCCCCACTCTTTGGTCTTAAGAATACTGGTTTAAGAATGAGTACTTGCCCTTCTTCGACCCTTACTGCCCAACCTGAGAGCGGACAGCTAATGCGTTACACTTATTTATTGAAAATGATTCTATGGTCGATCCGCGACCCTTGGATGCCGAAGGCGTCATTGGGAGTGATCTCGTAGTTCATACAGGGTGGAGACGATGGGAACGGTCCATTGATTTTTCTTCCTTTTGCCGCATTTCGCTAAAGGGTTGACGAGAGAGAGAGTGCATCAAGCTGTTCGCAAGGGGCAACTTGATCCTCTTCCCTAGGGATCCCAGATGAGGGAACCCTTGGAGAGCCACTGACTCCAACTATCGTCCATGTACGATCCATACTAGATCTAACCAACTGCACATCCTACATCCTCTACGTTCTTGACAACCCATCTTTGTCTCAGTACAGTCTTTCAGTGGCATGTTTCGGCTTTGTCCTCAACGCCCTTTTAATTTAAGGAATAATGTATGTATGTAGGTATATATATAAGTATGGGTCAGACTGCTATATAGTCCTGGGTGTATACTATATTCCAGGTATGCCTAATTAGATATCTCTATCTAGATCATGAATTAAACCAATTTTTTTTAGATATAACTATATCCTAAATAAAAAATAATAATTGACATTTCAAATTAGTCGAAACTCATTAAAATACATCTAATAACAAATCACTTGGAATATGCCGCCGCATGCCTGTGTATAGTGTATACCACATAATCTGTCTGACCTCATAAGATCAAGGCGCATGCCCTGCCTGTATTACTACACTCCTCTTTTGATTAAGATTAATCAAATTAGGTATAGATCACTCTTCTTGGTGTTTAATTTATTATACTTAATGAGACTAGCTAGCTTCCACAGTTAGCAGAAGTTAGCTAGCTAGCTTTAATTAGCCCGTCTCTTAATTTAATTCTGCTTTTTGTTTGGTATTAAAGTGCTTTTAACTGCAATCAACTCGATCTTCAAGCCACCTCACCTCATCTTCTGATTTCTAGCTAAGCTAGCATTCAAAATGGTTTGGTGCTCATCTTAAAAGTGATTATCCTTTGTGTCCGATTTGCCTTGATTTGTTTTGTTTTTTGGGAGAAAACGTAGTGCTGCATTGCATGGCTAATTCGAATAATTTTAAGGGGGATGCAATAATTAATCTCAGAATACATAAATATATAATATCCCATCAACCGTGTATAATCTGTTGGATCGTATTTATTGTTTTTTTATCATCATCAACATCAGTACGGTATACAAAAGTATTATAGGGAAACTCTTGTCAGTCAATTTTTATGTTGTTAAACTGATAATTCGGGATGATACCGGTTAAATTCGATGGTGATATGATGTCAAGTAAATTTATTTTTATATATTTTATTTTAACAACATTACCGAGGTACACTATTTGTTGAACCATTCGCATAAGCTATTTGACCAACTAGCGGGCTTCAAAGTAAATGTTAAAAGAAAATACTGTATTATTACTTAGGTTAATACTTTAAATTGGTCTGAATTGTACATTAATAGATTAAGTCGGTCAGTTGTTTTTTCAAATATCCATTCTGACCTATACTATTTAGTATTTACTATATAGATAAATTTGGCCGAATTTATAAGTTGAAAGAGAATAAAAAAATCCTATTTTTTTGGGTGTCGCTCTTATCTATGATGTTTTTTTATGGTTCTTATCTATGATGTTGGTATTTATCATAATAATAATAATAATAAATTTATATGGTAAAAGTGTCCAGTGTGTTACGTTGGGCAGAGTCTGAAACGATGTAGCACCTTTTTTGGGATTGTTCAGTCGCTGTAGATCTCTGGGATTATTCAGGCTTGGAACACTTGGGCCATCGTTTACTGAGACAGACCTTTCCGTTTTTTCTCAAGAAGTGTTTGCTTCGGATGACTCACCCAGCTCAAATCATGGCTCTGGTGGTAGGGATGACAACAAAATCCGAACCCACGGGTACCCTAACCGACCCAACCCGGTCAATGCGGGTAAAACCAGTGTTGACGGGTTTTGGGTCGGGTTCGGGTTTACACCCGTTCACTATTCCCCGGGTTGGGTTTGGGTTTAGGTATACCCGCCCCATGGTACCCGCCCACACTCATATAATTAATTTTCCGGTATATTTAGTATTCTAAGTTACTAATCTTCTTTATGTTTGTGGAGACATATCTATTTTTTTTTTTTAATTTCTAATTGTGTAGAATGAAGTTGATATCATTGAGTGGAGAGTGAAGAAGCTTAACTGACAATGAGGAAGAAGCTTTCAATTAATCATGTTGTTTATGGATAATTTGTGATTTGCTTCAATTTCTTGAGTTTTCTAGATTGGTGTTGAACAATTTGTATGGTTAATTTGTGATTTACTTGAATTTTCTAGAATGGTGTTTTATATATGGATAATATGTGTTGAGAGATTGATATTTGACTTTTATATTGATAGGAACTTGTTATTGTGAATTTTTTATGACAAAAATTCATGGGTACCCATGAACCCGCGGATACCCAACGGGTTGGGTTGGTTTGAGTTTTCCAAACCCAGTAGATTTTACGTCGGGTTTTTTCACGGATAAACCCATGGGTTTGGGTTTGGCAAAACTCGAACCAAGCGACCCATTGCCATTCCTATCTGGTGGCCCTCTTGTGGCGTATTTGAAAATTTCGTAACTGGGCTGCCTTTGAGGGCAAGCAATTTACAATTCCTCATTTACTGCGTCAATACCATTAGCAGCTTCATGAATGGAATTCCTTGCCAGAGGATCCACTCGTTCCGGTATGGGTATCGCCAAGCCACAATCGGAGGGAGGGGACCTTGCCTCCTATCGTCTGTATGTGGGATGGAGCGGTGAGTGTTGGCTCACATTCAGCGGGCCGGAGGGCTGGTGGTCAAGGACGGTGGTGGTAATGTGCTTTTTGGCTAAAGGTGTGTCTTTTCCAAGCATTGTGGATCCTCTTGTGGCTGAGACTCTGGTATTCCGTGAGGCAATCCAATGGTGCCAGGCTCTTGGTTTTCCCCCAGTTATGTTTGAGAGTGATGCAAAGGTGCTCATTGATAAGGTTAATGCCAACGATGCGCAGGATGGTCGTGTTGCGGCTATTATGGAGGAAATTGTGAATTTGCTAGCTATGAATGGTGGTTTCCAGGTTAGGTTCGTAGGTCGGAATAGCAATAAGATAGCCCATTCTGTAGTTAGAAAGACTCCGTCTTTGTCTCCGGCCTCGTGTCGATTGTACGAATTTTGTGTCTGGGTTGGTTCCCAGATGTAACTTGTGAGCTTTACTTAATCAATATGATGATTTTTTTTTTTTTTGTAAAAAAAAGTGCGGTAGGTGACGGCTATACAATAACCTTCCCCTAACTGGATCGGATTCCAGCATTATCTAGCATATATTAACCCCCACAATGGCAAGAAGTGCCTAGTTCTATACATTTCATATATTTTCATGAAAAAGAAAAACAAATAGATAATTACGAAGGCAAATCACATCTTTAGTTTACTAATATTTAGAGATGACAAAAAAGACTTCTTATTTGGGCATAGCTCAAAACTCATTTTAGTATGGGTCAGATGTATGCACTAACATGCTCACTGTATAAAAATACATAAAAATTGCTCATCATACATATAAAATGAAATCATTCAAACAAATTTTTATATTGGGGTTTTCAATAATACAATTGGAATTGAGTGTCTGTGAGTTGCGACTATCCATAATGTTCTGAGTGGTGTCATTGTTTTCTTATACGAGTGGAGTGGTGTACAATTTGGTGGATATGATTTATACGTATAAATTGAACGTTGGATATTTTTTTAAGGGTTTAGTATTAATATATTTGTCAGGTGATTAATGTGGTGGGCACGTACGTGTAACTTCTTTTATGGAAACATCTCACTATTTAATTTCGTTGTTGTTGAACTCGGTGACAAAAGTTACTCATTCAGCCTGCCTAGGGCAAAACCTGCCTTGATTCCTATGGGTTTACCAAGTAGATACTAATAAACTACAACAGTGAGAAATGAAGAGGATGTGAATCGTGTATAGGGGTGGGCAACGGGAAATGAGTATTTGGGTATACTCATACTCGTCCCGCTTTTTTAGAGTTCCGTAATATTTATTATGAGATGAGACTTGGGATTAAAAATTTTCACATTGGGTACCCGCGGGATACCCGCTAATACCCATATGGATAGTATGGGTACCCGTAAACCCATCCATCGCATCAATGATTTGATCATCAAATGAAGTGCATAGACGCTTACTACAAAATTGATAACTGCAGATCTTTAAGCTGCGTACCAATTATAATGTTCTTGAACATTTGATTACTGCAGAGATGGCATTCCCAGAAAAAACTGTATATAAAAAGTCATATCGACACTCCAATAACTGTCAGCCTAAGCAGCACAGGTGACTGGTTACACATTTTGTTTTGCAATCGCCAACTACCAACGGATGAACACAAAAAAAAAGAAAGAGAGGCCGCAAATGTGATGGCAATTGGTAAACCGTAATACACACTATGTATTCATTGATGGTTCATTTCCACCCTGTTATTATGCATAGAAGAGGAAAGTTCCCTAGACTTTGGGACTTCCCAAATTGCAGCTTGCAGGACAATGAAAACAAAACAAAAATTTCAGTTTTTGGCAGCTTCAGAGGGAGTCTTGGTGGTCATCTGATCAACTGCGTGCACTGTGCTTTGAAGCTCCTCCCATATGGCTTTGTACACCATCCTTTGCCTGTTCACCGCAGACTGGCCCTCGAATGCAGATGAAATGACGTCGATACTGCCGAAAGGTAGTGAGGCATCAAAGAAGTCAGATCCATCAGAAAAGAGAAACCACATAATCTGGACTGGGAAAGGAAAAAAGAACAGCATTTGAGCACATTCTAAAGGCAGCTGGGAATAGACTCTATAACCATCATGCACATGTTATTAGTATTTCAATCTCAGCTCAGGTTCCTTATCTCACTACTTTGCAAATTCGCCACAGAATTCCATCACATCATCTGATTCCCAAAGCTGAGTTATCAACATAATGTTTAAGCAAATGACAACCAAATTCATAGTCCATCCAAGATGCAAATCAGCCTAGATCTTCTGAACTCAGCCCCGTTTATTGCGAGCACATGACAGCAATTGAATCCACTCGGAAAGTTTTAGACTTTCACTCTTAATCCAATGAGCTACCACATACACTAGACAGATTCAACAAGTGTTGACTGATGCAAGGACTGAACTATTAACTTATGTCCATGAATAAGTAGCACATGTAGCATCAAAGGTATATCTGATAAGAAAATGAACTTTAGAGACCTTACCTCACATGTCGGCCATCGCCATATGCATCTTTAACAGTTACTGACTCTGCCTCCAGCTGCTGCTTTATCTGCTACCACAGAATTTCCAAGTTAAGAGTTGAAATGGAGACTGCAACCAATTCCAAATTTCAAATTCAGATGTAATTTACGTAAAGCGTATATATTCTCTCCTTTCCCCCTCTTTCCTCTATTTTGATGGGGAAAGAGGAACTAGCAACTAGCAAGTGGATTAACATACGAATTGAAGGTTTACGCAAGTCATTGGCAGATCTTCTGATAACAACAAGCTGCCACTCAGAGAGCGAGAATATGCAAAACAATACTGGATAACTCAATTCATCTTAACTCATGCATAACCCCCAAGCTCAGGAATGAATCAAACAGAGACAACTATCATAGGAAAGGAACTAACTTCACCATACTAAATTCGTACTTCATAAACATGACAATCAAGCAGTGGAGGAACGAAGCTCAAAGCCATGGTAACAACTGACAACTAAAAGGCCAACCACAAGTAGGATGGCAGAACACCTTAGCATATGGTTTTAGGGTTATGAACTAAAAGGATAACCCTAAACCAAATTCACATCTTAACCAAAAGTTATCTTTCCGGCATAACAAATTCAGCAATGAAAACCAAATACCCAATCAGAGCAAGAAAGGAACCACCTTTAACTCCATAGACTGCATGAGCGGCGAGTCAATGGAACCACTATCATTTACCGGAGTAGCTCCGGCACTGAATCTGCGATTAGCCGCGGAGGCAGAGCCAGCCCCGGTGTTGAATAATTCACAGGGGGAACTGCGAAGTTGAAGCTCTGAGGTTCGGTGATGAGTAAACGCTACAGAATAAGAACGGAACTGAGAGCTTCGAGGGCATATACGAGAAGGCGACGGCGACGGCCGTGAAGAAAGTAGAGCTCGGCGAAGCAGCAGGTGGGTGGTCGCTGAAGATATGACGTGAGGGCGCAACATTAGAGTCTTCGCCATTAGCGCAAGCGAGCGAGCTAACTATTTTCTCTATTTCAAAAGTGTCTCTGTAATCTGTATGCTATCGGCGAAGGGAAACGAACGCCTCAAACGAGTGGAAATCGGAAGTTCGGAACAGAAGGCCAGACTAGCTGCCACGAGGAGAAAACTACGTTTTCGCCCTCAGAAATATTTTCCTTACATATTAGTTCCTATGGCAAGGTTACTTTAGAAACCCTAGTAGGATTAGATCCCTGAATCAAACCTTGCCTTGATTCCTAGAGTCGAGGCCCCTGCATCTATGAGTCAATTTTGTTCCATTAGTCTTTGTAATGTGGGTTATGTTGTGGTGGAAAAGACGATTGTCAACAGGCTCAAATCACTGATGCCCCGCCCGTTTCACCCTAATCAATCTAGCTTCGTTCCAAATAGACACATCACTGATAATATCCTTCTTTTGCAAGAAATTGTTCATTCCATGGCCAGGAGAGGAAGAAAGAAGGGTACCATGCTCCTGAAGGTGAACTTAGCTAAAGCCTACGATAGGATCGACTAGGAATTCCTTGAAGAAACTTTGATTTTGGTTGGCATTCCCTCCCAATGTGTCAACATCATCATTCAATGCATGACTTTGGTGGAGATGCAGGTCCTTTGGAATGGAGGAGAGACTGAATCCTTCACCCACGCTAGGGGACTCCGACAGGGATGTCTCATTTCCCCTTACCTTTTTACCCTTTGTGTTGAAAGATTGAGCCATATCATTGACAGCAAAGTTAGGGACAAACTGTGGGAACCTATCTTCTTGTCTATTGATGGCCCTCCCCTTTCTCACCTATTCTTCGCAGACGACCTTGTCTTGTTTGTCATGTCTGAACGATTTTTGTGAAGCCTCAGGTGAACTTGTTAGCAAAGACAAGTCTAGAATGATAGTAAGCTTACAGTTTGGAAAGCCCGCACTCTCTCTCTTGCTGGTCAGGTGACCCTTGCCAAGGTTGTTTTGGAATCCATCCCCTCATATACAACGCAAACAACCATTTTTCCATCCTCAATATATGACACTATTGATAGGAAAATTAGGTGGTTTGTTTGGGGATCTCAGGTGGGGAAAAGAAATGTGCATTTGGTCTCCTGGGAAACAATTTGTAAGCCCAAAAACAAAGGTGGTCTTGGACTTAGATCTGCTAGGGGTCTCAATCTTGCTTACATGGTGAAACTAGCTTGACATATTATGAATAATGAGAAAGACTTGTGGGTTCAGGTGATGCAGGGCAGGTATTCCATCACAGTGAAGGGAGAATTACTGCCATGAAAACCAACAATCACTCCAACCTGTGAACAGCTATCCTTAAAGTGATGTCTATGATGAGAAGAGGGATGGCGTGGAGCATAAGAGATGGCAGTCGATTGGTTTTTGAACCAACACTTGGTTGGATCATGATATTGTGCCTGAGGATTTTGCTCTTGTGGATCTCTCGAAAAAGGAGAAATACTCTTGCGTGGCGGACTGGACTAACAGGGATGGCTAGTGGGACTGGGAGAGACTTAAGAATTATCTGCCTATTGAGGTTTTAATTCGTATTGCAAGGTTGGAGGGCCCCTACCCCGGAGCTTGGAGAGGACATAACCATCTGGGGAGTTGAGAAGGATGAGAGGTTTAGGCTACGATATGATGGATAGCGTGACGGACGACATGCCTTTGGAAGCTTGGAGAGACCTCTGGAGATGGGATGGCCCCAACATAATCAAGCTTTTCTTATGGCTTATCTCACACAACAGACTCCTCACCAATGCACAGAGAAAGAAACAACAAATTGCACAAAATGAAGGCTACAACCATTGCACTGACGAGGAGGACACTTTGGAGCATATCCTAAGGAAATGCAAGAAGACTAAGGGCTTCTGTAGTCACTTCAAATGGAAGATTACATAGTAGAGCACTTGCATCGCCTTCCAACAGTGGATTCATAAAAAAATCAAAGATGATGACAAAGGAGTTGACTTTGGAATTTCGTGATGGCTTGTTTGGAAACAAAGAAATGAAGAGGTCTTGGATGGTAGGAAGTACTCTGAAGAAGGTTTGATTAACAAAGCCAAGGCATGGCTTAACATTCATCGACAAGCTAAAGACAACGCCAACATGAGCCTTCTAGTGCTCAAATCTGTTCAAATCGAGAAGGAGCTTAGCTGGAAACCACCAAGAGAAGGCTCGATTCAAGTACAAGTGAATGACTCGGTTTTGGGTTCTACTGGCATGGCTGTTGTAGGTGGCATGATTAGAGATTGAGTTGGGCGCTACTTAGATGCGTTTGCCCGCAATTTATGGGCTTGATCCATCACGAGTGCTGAATTGAAGGGAACCGTTGTTGGTCTTGAAAGGGCATGGTAGCTTGGCTTCAGGAAGATCGAGCTCAAGCTCGACTCCACTACTCCGATAAGCATTGTCAGGAACTGGAAAGACCACAACCATTTGCATGGTTTTCTTGCGGAAAAGATTGAAAACCTCCTTGGTCGTGATTGGAAGGTAGTTGTTAGTCACGTGTATAGAGAAAAGAACTTTGTTGCTGATTTTTTGGCTTCTAAGGGTTATACCCTTCCTTTTGGCACACTCTAGGTCAATGTGTGTGATCCCTACCTTGAACATTGGTTGTTGTATGATGTCATGGATACGACCATGACTCGTTCTATTAATATTATGCACGAGGGCATCTCTCGGCTCTCGCCTGTCTTTCTAAAAAAAAGTAAATGGTATGATTCAAGTTATTTATATGTAAGTGTTAACAAAACATACTACGAAAGTGGAAACCAATTATACCAAATGCATTGTGCAATTATATAATGAGTTAATGGTATATTGGCCCCTATACATTGAATTAATGTTTTCTTATCATGACCCTTGTACTATTTTTTTTAACATAGTCTTTCATATATAGACATTTTCTTATTGTGGCAAATCTTGTTAAAAGACTGTTAATATGATGTTGAATGGGTACCCAATTTGTCATTGGACATGCCTAATTAAGCGCTGACACAGTAATAAAAACTCATGTAATTACAAAGTTATCCTTGCTATTTAATATTTTTCAGTTTTGACCAAAGATATACCTATTTGTAGATTTTGATTGAAAATTGTAAGGGGAAACTCATGGAAGGGATTGATTAAGGAGGCGGTTAAAAATATTGAGGAATATTTTTGCAACTATGAGGACTTATTATGCGCATGAGCCCTGAGTCAATGCTTAGATATGTCCCAATTTAATGGAGACTAATGAACTTTGAATGATAAGGACCGGATTAGGGGAAAAATTGTACTTTCAGGGGCAATGATAGGAAAACAATTAGTTCAAGGGGCGATAATAGGAAAAATATTATAGTTCAGGAGCCAAAATGTTATTAACTCTTGGGCTAATACCACTACAACACCCGAACTATCAAAGAAATGTCACTTGTGTCCTATTTTATTCAATATTCCAATTCTATCCCATCGTATGAAATTTTGTGTCATTTTTGTCCTGTCAATTTCGTTGACCGTTAAATATAACGTTTGACCAAACGGTGGTCAAAGTAATTTTGACTTTTAGTGACGTGGCAAACAATGTGGCATACACCTAGATGCCACGTCATTGCCACATAATTTTTAATACAAAATAAATTAAAAATACAATAAAGAAAAAAAATTAAAGGACATCTTCACCGTCTGTTCATTCCCCTCCACCGGCAATTTAATCGCCACCACCCCCTAAGTGCACTGTTACTGAGTCCAGCTAAAAGCCTCCGTCCAGGGATCCCATTCTTCGCTTCAATCACCATTCCCCTCTCCCTCTCATCTCATCAATCACCATTCCCCACTTTTATTTTAAGTATGAATGTTTATATTATTTGTTGGATTCAAGTATAAATATTAGGATGTGGATATTAAATATTGTATTTAAATACGATGATTTTTGTTTGTTTGTAATGTTGTGCTTTTTACAAATATGGATGAAGTTTAGAGAGAGATTGTCTTGAGATGAATTATATAAATATGTAGTTTATTTGGCGTTACAAGTTTTCACTTTTCCTACATAATTTTGTGAAAATTAGCATATATCGATTGTATCCTGGTCATACCATGTCACTTACTAAAATGGCGTAACGATATAAACTGGTTTAACAACCTTGTGTGGAAATGCACTAGAGATTTTTCATGCTTCATAGAAAATAGGGTTATTGCTACAATATGCTCATCTACTATGCAATTTTTCTATCAAACGTAACCATTTACTAATTTTACATCAAAATATATCTATTTACCTTAAAAACGTTATAAAAAATTTCCTTCTATTAAAGTTTCTATAAACAAATAATGTTAACCACGACCGAATGGTGATTTGGGCGACACAAATGTCCAAAATGCCACTAATAATTTTTCATTTTAATATTTTTGTTTCTTTTGTATAGCTTAATACCTCTAATAATACCAGTTTAATGTGTCTTAGAAAAATAATCGGAGGGGCAAAATTATTATTTTTCCTCCTATTTTGCCAATGCGAGGTTGTTCGAACCACGATTCGGCAGCCGTTGACAGCTTTTGGATGGAATTTTTACCACGATGATATGTTTGATAATATTTTTAAAGTACAAAAAATATGTTTGATTAAAAAATAGTAGAGGAGATGTTTGATAAAAATTAATAACAGAAGACCATATTATACATACAAAACAAAACAAAAAATGTTTTGAAAACACACCAATTTTTTTCATTCTTCTCCTTCCGTTCGGAAAAATTATGTTTGGAGAACTAAGAACATGACTATTCTCAACTTTGATGAAAATATTCTCAAGGATTTCGGTACAGCTCTGCTTAAAACTATGATGCTGGTTTTTGGCATAGTAGTTTGGACATCAAGAGAACTCGAATTTAACGCATTTAAAGACGACAAATAACTATATGCAACAAGGAGTCTGACTATCTAAACCCAGTAAACCAGGTGAATGGATCAAATAGCATTCCTTCCTGCAACTTTGCAGGTCATGCAACCCCCTAAACCATGTATATTCAGCACACAATGGTGAGAATCAAGTGAAAAATCCCCCTCTCCGCCTTTCTCTGTACAGCCTGGATAGGATGACACTGCACCATTTACCACCAGCAGACAAGATACTTTGCCATCAAACTAGCGGTCAGACCATCGCCTGGTCGGAACCTTCCAAGAGTTCCAAAGCCACCATTCATTCTCCCGGCAATGCAAGTAAGAAAGGAAGCAAACTCATGGGATGATGCTTCCAGGCTGTTTCTGCTTCTCAACCCAATCGTAATAGTCCCGCAGCAGCTGCTCCAGTAGCAAGGGAACCAACCTGTCCACTAGAGCTTGCATCACTCTGCATATTCCATTTACCCCACCAGCATATCACATTTTGTTGACTGTAAATGGCTACAAAGCAATAAACATCAACTCTTTGAACGTCAACTGGAAATCGCAGCAGTGAAGTTCACTTACAAATTTCCAGGACCCTCGACAGCAGATAGGGGCAGCAGCGTGAAGGGCTGCGTGTAGATCTGTAGACCAAATGGAGATTATTATAAGAATATACAACAGCAAAATTCGATGCGCAACTCCTTCAAAAGTTACATCAAGCTAGTCTGCTGCCATTTTTTATATCCATGTTCATTGTTCTGGGATCAGAACTAAGATAACTGAGACAGTATAAGAATCTTTCACATAACGTGTTTGAAATTTCTGTTGAAGCTTGAACTAGGATGTTGCTCCAGCTACGCTAACCAACTAACCTCAAGTGTGAGATTCAATTTCACATCAACCTCCAAAAATGGTTCTGGGTTATCTGTATCCCATGTCATCCGATTCACCATGAAAGCTGCAATTTTGCGAGGGGAAAAGTCAGATAGAACATTGGCCACTGAAAGGAGTTCACAGGGCAACGCAAAGGCAACTTTTATCTACCCTGTCATTATTGTGTTACTAAACCATATTTGCACATTCGAATCAAGAACAAGAGGAGAAGGATAGGGACCTGAAAAATGTTCATTCTGGTATTCTACAACATCCGAACCCTGGAGCTGAAAATGGAGAATTTATCACTCGTATAAGTAGCAGTATAACAAAATGGCATGAACCCACTATTCATTCAGCTTCAATCTTTTGCAAACTTGCACCCAAAACGTTAAAAAAACTGACCTTGCAAGAAAGCATCTCGATGGTGCAATCTTCATGAGTCGGGGTAACTCGCAAGTCCAGCACAGGAGTGGCTTCGATGTTGAGGAGCTTGAGTTTGGGAAGAATGCACCTGTAAGTGTTGGGATCAAGGGATTCAAAGCTCTGCAATGCTTTGTCGTTCAATATGGATTTGATCCCTGACGAGTGGCTGAGGAAGTCGCCGATCTCATACCCGCCAGCGGAATTGGAACCCTGGGTGTCGAGCTTTACCCTTTCCTTTCTCGCCGCCGACAAATTGGCTGTCTTGGATGCCGAGTTGCTGACCCGCAGCACCGTTGTGGCGCTGCTTCCTCCGACAGCTGCATTAATCCTTCCCCTGAAGACGCAGGTAAAAGAACAAAGAACAAGCAGAATCAAGCTAATCTGATTGATAAGATTCAAGCACACAATCCATTAGCAAATTCTGGGGAAATGGAAAATGCTGGAATCATTCATTCATCACAGACCAGATGGGTTTGATCGGATTATTATCCGAGTGGTGGATACTGTGTGGTTTTGGAGCAGCCAGATTCCTGCTTCTTATCATCGACTTCATAATGGACTGTCACTTCGTATTGCATGTAATGCTCATCGAAAATGGTTGCAGAGAAAGGAAGAATCCAAACGATGATTTATCCCCGCCGTCATTTCGGCGGCTGCCGGAGGGTAGTTGGCGATTATAGTGTAAGCCACTGAAATGGAGGGAGAAAAGAGACTGTGTGGTGTACGTAAGAGCTAGATTTCGGTGGCGTGGATATTTTCATATTTTATCCACGCCTTCAGAAGAAGCCAATGCTTACTACTGAATTTAACTTTTTGGGCCCGCTAGCAACAGTGAGAGTCAGCTGTATAACCGAAAATATTATTTGAAGCATTGTAGGAGAGAGTTTGTATGGGAAAATGGGAACCACAAGCTAACATTTACATGGCAAGATCTGAGGTTTTCCATACCATAATATGATGACCCACAATTTACAGGTTGAACTACTGCATGTTAGGCAGTTCCAAACAGTTTCAAGGTGGAACCATGTTTGTTCGACTGGGTTGATCACTCACTCATCATCATCATCATCATCATCATCATCATCACATTCCCCTGCCAAACTCTCAGCATCAATGGCAATGCAATGCACGTAGTCATCTCTACAACCCACGAAGATCCTGCCCCCAATCATCACCGGGGATGAGAAAATGTCTCCCGGGAGATCAAGCCGAGCAAACTCGTGAACCCGGGAGCCTTTTTGGGGTTTCTCCACATCATCCATCTTAACCTGAAGCAAATGTATGGTTCCAGAACTAGAACACACGCAAATCAACCTGGGGAAATATGAAGATAGATCGTTAGCAATGTCAGTGGTACTGTGGGTGAGCATGATCCTGTTCAGTCCAGTTCGGAATTGTACCGGATCAAATAAAGGAAGCAAACAAAGACTAGTATTAGATTCATAGCTCATTTGATCCCATCTGGCCCGCTCTTACTTTCGTTTTTTATTAAGACGATCCATGGAATCGAGAACACACCGTAATCATGTTAGGCCAGATCTGATCTTATCCAAGTTCTGTGGGTGGGTAAAGTAAAGTAAGATGGTCAAAGTTACCGGTCTGATGAAACTGGGGAGGCGGAACCAGACACCAACAGCTGCAGGTGCTCATCTACGTAAGCAGATGCAGTAACCGGATCGCCTAATTGGTGTTCCCAGATGAGATCACCGTTTTCCTGTTGGGGAAGCAAAGCTGATTAGACGGACAGACTGCGTAGATTATTGTAAAACATGATCTTCTCAGAGATGTCAATTGAAAGAGTATAGTACTATTAGGATCTTACCATATCTAGGGAGTATATGCTTCCATTTCTGGAACATATAAGCACCTGCCAAAATCTATAGATCATAAATCTCTAAAAAATATTGCAGAGGAATTCAAGTTACTTCCTAAACTGGATTGAAGATATTAATCGGTTGTAAAAGCAGTTTGAAAGATGGAAATGATGCTAATAAGCCGCTTGGTTACAAGTTTACAACAGGCTGATGGGGAGTGGACTTAACAATAGCCGATTAGTTGACATGGTTGAGGGTAGGGGGTGGGATCTTAGTAATTTAATCACAACCAAGCAATGACAGTTCGTCGTGAAGCGACAACTTGTAGAAGGGGGTAGGTTTTCCAGAGTTAATGATGGACAGTGCTGGCTGGCAATAGATAAAAAAAAAAAAAAAAAGTTAATGAATGATAAGCTGGAGTGCAGGCACTGCAGGAACTTCTTGAAGAAACGAGTTTCCGAGTTACAAGAAATATAGAATACACTGATGCAACTAAACTACTGGTAGATACTGAATGAAAAATTGAGAATATGTTTTACCTGGCAAGGAAGAGCCAAAGATGTGCAGGCTCCTGCAAATATAGGACCACCAATTGTAATCTGAAGAAAACAACCATCACTATGAAATTGAACGCAAAGACCCATGAGGGAAGCAAAATCCAGCAGCAAGAAGAGGACTACATGAAGTCGAACATCTGAAGAAGAATCGGTACCTTCCACGAAATGGAACCACTAAAATCCAGGGCAACAATGTTACCGTCCACTAGGCAACATATAACTGCAGCAAAAAAGAGCATGTAAGAAATCTAAAGATGGTGAACGATCAACTGAAAGTGCATAGCAGCATGATGAGGCGCTTGTATACCATTCCCACTTCGAGAATCAACTGAAAGTGATCCGAAAATGGGTACCTCTAGCTCTTTCTTCCACAAACTATAAAACGGGATTGCCTGTATTTGTACAGAAGATTGTTTCGTGAGATTTCAGAAGAAAACAAACAAGTATTTGTATTTTATTTTGGGGCTCAGGATCATGTATACTGAGCAAAGCATGACGATGAAAATAGTCAGCACAGTTCTTTATGCAGCTGCAGACAAATTTGGGTAGGAGCACTTGAGGTGGCAGGCTGACCCAATGATCAGCTACAAGTGCAAATACTGTCGATTAAAACACTACCCGGAATTGACATTCTCCCCAGCACACCAGCTCAATTTCTTGTCGTTTAATCATTATGCAAGTGAATAATGCTTCGCCCATTCCATCCAAATCTGTAAGCTACCATAGAAATCCTACTACTCGGTAAATTCAAATTTATAAAATAGCAGCGTAGAAAGCTGGTCACATGCACAGTGAATGCTGCTGGCAATATTATTATCATTGAGACGCGAGACATTGCCATGTAATGTTAAACAAAAAAGAACTCCCAGGATGAGAAAAACAAGGACAAACCTGTCAATGGTCATACCTCTAGGCATGTAGCTGTTACACGACCACTAGTAGAACTGACATAAAGGAGTTTATGGACCTACAGCAAATAGTCAAATGGAAGGTGAGTTCAAAATAACTTGAAAGTGATTGCAGGCTGAACTGTATGCTTACATCATCTTTCTACGCATTTTCCATAATGAGAAAGAAAATGAGCAAATGATACGAAGACTGAAAAGCAATAATCACCTCATCAATGGCAGGAGACCCAAAGATGCTGCCACCACATTCAAGCTTGTATACACAGCGCTGGCTTTTGTAGTCAAGAGCATATAAGTTGTGATCATGTGAACCGCACCTGCAAATTTCTTCCCAAAGTCAATGCCATCTAAAGGGGAACTTTGAAATAATTGGTGAATAACACACGGTAACCTGCACTTCATTTAATTTCCAGGGTTCAATTCTTAAAATTCCCCGTCTTAAAGCAATATGTCAAAGTTCATACAGCGTGCCCAACCAAAAAGAGATTCATTTTGTTACTAAAAACTGAGGAGGAACCTCAGTACCAAATTCTTGGCAATCCATGGTAGAGCTTATTTATGATTCGTGCTGAATCCGGTAAATGAACAAATAGGTAGTCTTTAGGTTCACGCAACAGCACTAGGCATCAATTTAAGATATCTGTTTTACATGAAAATTGAAATATTGAGTATCTCTACAAGATTGAGTGCTGGTTTGGAGTATTTTTTTTACTCTTTCTTCCCTCCCATTTACTTGTGACTCGAGCAGAAGAAACTAGTTACCCTTCCTTTGATATTGATAGTTACTTATTCCAACCCACTCAAAAGTTAACCACAATAACCTTCAGTCTTTCTGTCATGCAAGTGAAGAAAACTTGACCTACCTCTCTTAACAAGTAAAACCAAGCTGAACAGGCCTAACAATCAAGGAAAGACAATGACATTAAGAACTGAACTTAGATACTGAAGATTATACCAGATTACTTGTCTATGCACGTCCACCACTGGTTGACACTTCACCTTCAAATGTCGGGGGAAAGTATTTTATATTAACAACAGGAACAGAATGCTGAAAGCTTTTTGAACAAGAGTGTAAAAGGACAACAGAAGACCTCTACAAATGAAAAATCAAAGCCGAGTTTCATGGAAATCGTTTGTCTCAATACTGTGGCAGTTTCAGTAAACTTATATCTACCATAACTCACTTATAACCTAGCTACTTGAAACCCTTGACTAAGCCAATGCCTTTAAATAGACTTCTCATTATTCTTCCAATGGGTTCCCACAACGAGCTTCTTAATGCCCTAGTGCTATGAATATAGTTGTTAATGTGATTTCAAGAGGATGCTACAACATGTTCCTTCCTGTCACATCTTCCTAATTCTGGTACAAAGACAACTTACTTACATTTGTTCGACCTATTAATTGCCATAATGAAAACGCTGTGCAATCATCACATAATTGGCATCAGCAATGCAAATAAGATATAGCAAACCATTAAAAAAAAAAAGATATAGCAACCAATGCTTATCATAAAAGTCAAAAGTTCAGAACAGATGTGACCAGGCGCTATTAAACAAGGGAGAAAAATGCAGCGAAATTCATTTTAATGCCATACCTCACCACCAGTTTGGAAAGTCCAACACACATTGCCACTGAAAAGATCTAGAAAATGAACTTTTCCCTCATAGCACCCAACGACCACCTGATGAGATAGCCCCACATATTGAATATTAGCCAGCTTCCAGTGATTAATGAAAAGTTCCAATAACAAGGTTGCTTATTCAGCAAGAACAGTAACCTGAGAATAGTCGACAATGATCACAGCGGAGCACTCGATTCTTCCACCTAGTTTGACCTCCCACAAGACAGACCCACTATACAAATAATGAATGTTATACATCATCACTCAAGAAATATAAGGTACCATGACCATGTAAATGCAATAGAAAAACTAAATGTAACAAATGCTAATCTGAAGTGATGCTCCCCAGGACTATCTGTCACCAGTAAAGCTCTGTCCTACTAAGAATATCGTTTCAGGGAGCTTCATTCAACTAGCACTACTTAAAATGCAGAATGAGAAGTCTCAGATTGACAACATGAAGAAACTCCATATCAAAAAAAATCAGAGTTTGATTGGAGCGGTCCAAAGAGAAACCTCTTAGGTAGAAGTACAATTGAAATGGCTTCAATTTACGTGCAACTTAGATACCAACATCCTGTTTAGTAAAATTTCTTCAACGTTGGTGTCACAATCATGTCGCCAACAATCTTGAACTTATTATCTCTAACTATACTATCTGAAACCAATCTGATCTATCATCCTTAACATTTGTACTATTAATATATTAACCTAAATCTCCTTGAATTCTAATTCTTCTCCTACTCTTCTTAGCATGGTTCTCGGGACATAAAAAACGTCCACTCAGTACACTCTCACAGGATTTCAATCAAATAAAAATGAACCTGCTGTTGCCATAAGATTCTTGGACCCCGTCACAAAGCAGTTCGTACCTCTTAGCATTTAGACAAATGAACTTATGTGAATGAGATCCAATAAGCAAGTAAACATCTTTGCCCTTGAACACCAGAAGTGGAGATGCATCAACACAGGACTTCATATTGACTTTCCAGAACTTCTTCAAACAAGAATGTTTCCTCTTCTTTATGCTATCTGCCCGGAAAATTAGCTGGTGTTGATTGTCAAACTTGTATTCTCCCTCGTGCATTACATTGTTGCACCGGCTGAAAATGTGCCACGTCGGGATCCAGGCTGCCCAAAGATGTTCATTATTTAAACTAGCAGATTTTGCAGAACAACTCTCATCTAAACTCAACTTAAGCTGCTTAGATGGAGGAATATGGCTTTCATTTTTTTCAGGAGGGTTCCTCAGATGCCATTTCTGTTTAAGGGTTAGAAGAGAAGAAGCCCTAGAATCAAGTGAAGACAAACTGTCTGAATGATCTGCTTCTGCTCCAGGTACAACATCTCTACTGCATATTTGCCGTTTACTAAGAGCAGCATGAAGTTTAGATGGAGTAGGAAAGTTGTAAAGCAATTTCAAGTTGATCCCTAGCCCATAAGAAACATTTGCTGCAGTGATCGAATTCCCACCCAGTAAAAAGAAATCGTCATCTCCAGAAACCACTTCAATCAGCAGTGCCTCAGAAAATGCCTGATAGTGAAAGACAGTTTAGTCACACTCCCAATAAAGCAACTTGCAGAAGAAGTAAATGGAGTCTTTTCAATAACGTTCTATTAGGATCTGAAAGATGGACAAACCTTCTTGATAATGTGCAAGAGATTGCTATTGCCAGCATTGTCCGCCTCAATATGATCATGGTTGGTTGAAACTGTTGAAGTCTCCAAAGAAGAATAATCAACTTTTCCACTGGAAGATATGGGTAATGATTCGATGACCACGAAGCTGTTAGGGATCATTGCTAGAGGAACCTTGTCAGTCATCCAACTTCTAATTGAAGACTTCACATGATGAAGAAAGAAGTCTCTATCTTTTAACACTAAAAATGCCTTGACATACAAACCATCTCCTGGGCCATCATTGAAAACCACAGCAGCATCAATAATATGAGGATGTACCCTGAGCACACTTTCAATCTCTTCCAAAGCTACTCGTTGCCCATTCACTTTTATAGTTCGGTCTTTTCTTCCCAAGAAAACTAAGGCTCCAGATTGGAGCTTTTTCCCAAAATCACCAGTTCTGTGGAATAACAGAGCTCCACGATTATCCGAGGAACAGTTAGAGATGGAACTCTCATGCAACTTTACGAAGTCAGAAGACACGACAGTCAAATTCGAAAAGTAACCTGCAGAAACACAGAGACCACCGACATAGATTTCTCCCTCATCCAGAGCACCATTTTCACCAATTATTTCAACTGTACATCCAGTTATAGGCACACCAATTGGAACACTGCTTAGTTCCTCCGTTTCCAGTATCATTGGCAACCTTCGGCAATCAAAGTATGTACAGTCTCCAGACACCTTTATAAAATAATTTTTGTGTTAGCTCCAGCACAAAAACTCAAGCAAATCCATATGACAGATCAAGATAGATAAAAGATATGCAGATTTCACTAAACACTCAGCCGCCACCAAGAACAATATATACACTACAGTCAATAACAAGTGGAAAATGAAAAAAAAAACTCTACACAATGAATGTTTGTATGATAAACAAATGCACAAAGCTCTTCCACACCCTATATTTTTATAATCTACAGCGGCAGATTGGATAATGTGGGTGTCTTACCTCTGTACTCCCATATACATTCAAAATAGAGGTCTTCGGAAGTAATTTAGAAAGCGTGTCCCACAAGGGCAAAGGGAATACTTCCCCGCTTAAAATTAGTAATTTCAAAGACCTTTGGATTTGCAACTCATATTCATTTTGCAAAGCTGGAATGACTGCCTTCATCAGTGAAGGAACAGTGGTAAGCCTATTGACACTGTAAGCCTACAGGAAAGAGTGCACACTGTTAATTGATTGAAACATAAGGAAAGGTCTAGTCAATTATATAAGCATTTATGCTTCAGTAAGCTTCAGCCAAAACAGACTAATCATGAGAAAAAGCATCGACCTGGAGAAAGTTGACAATAGAAGAAGGATTCTGTTTCAGTTCCATGAAAGGAGGGATGACCACTGTACATGCACTAAGCATAGCACACAGAAATTCTTGCAGATGATCAATAAAACTAATTGATGCTTTGAAGATCAAAATCTCGTTGCTGTCCACGGTATAGAGGTCTTGCATCCACAGATACCTATTCAACAGACCTTTCAGAAAAAGAAAAAACAACCACCAAAAAGATTATCAAAAGTAGTTATCGTATAGCCCACTCTAAGAGAATGGCAATCCACACAGAACAATTAGAGCACAGAAACCACACCTTGTTCAGTACCGCAAACACCTTTCGGGAACCCGGTTGACCCAGAAGTATACATCACATAGCAGAATAGCCTCTGTGCATCCCTCTGGCAAGGGAAAACCAACCCCGAGGGAGAAACACACTCCTTGAGGCTTTCACTCATTGTAAAGAACAATATGGGACATCCACTTGATGCAGCAAGCCAATCAAGTTTATTAGGCTCATCTGAACCATCTTCTTCAAACAAGGAAGCACAAGTGATGATTAGGTCAACACTGGAAGAAGAAATAATTTGCAGTATTCTGTCCCTCGGCCACCCGGGATCAAGTGGCAGGAATGCCTCCCCACATCTCAAGACCGAAAGAACAGACACTATGTACTCCACAGATGGTGGCATGTAGAGTCCGAGTATCTTTGGTTGATAAGCCTTATTTGATTCGGCAGCATCCTCCGGTCCTGAGAATTCAGTGACACCACGTCCATGATCCCTTTGATTGCTGTTCCCTACAATGCCCACAAGGCCACAACAGTAGGAAATATTTGCTGAGTTCACTCCGGTTTCCTTCTTAGATTCAGGATATTATGGAATTCGAGACACTTCCCTTTTTCAGAGAGCAAAAATCGATCCTTTTTTTGGGGTTTCCAGATTGTAACCACAGTTTCAGTTGTTTTTCTAGGTTTACAAAAGGAAGACTAACTGATGGCAATTACCTGGTAAACTTTGGGAGCAGAAGAATTGAGGGTCACCCCTGTCGCCATCGAGAACTGATCGGAACCGAAAAGTGAGATACTCGACAGACTTCACTAGATCACCGAACGTGAAAGTCTCGTCGCCTTCATACACCAGCGGTCTCGAATGAGTTGGAGAAGAAGAATCGTCAGGTTCGACGCCAACGACGGTTGCAACCCGATCGTCGCCGCCGCCGCCGCGCCCAGTTCTCGACGGTGCAGCAACTATAACTGCCAATTTCCGGGTGTTCTTCGAAGCAGCTCTAATGAATACATGAGATAAGCAGCAGCCGTCGTCCATCACCCGCTTTCAAGAATTTGAGAGCTCTCAATGCTCATTGATTAATTTGATTTCTCGAACCATAAAATATGCACGCTATGTTTCTTAAGGAAAGAAAAGGAGGGAAAGGAAATTTGGGGAAGGAAATTTGGACTTGCAATACACTTTCTCTTGTTTTTTAGTGGAAGGAAAATGGGTAAGGAAAACTTCTTCTTCTTGCTATTGCTAGTTGCTACTGTTGAACCCTCCCTCTAAATTGGAGAGAAAAGGAGAGGGACACACATACATGCATATTTTTTTCCTTTTCAATTTGCTTCCCAACACAAAATAAAATTAATTATTAATTCAATTACTAACTTTACTGTTATAAAGAATAATTAACTTCACCTACTCTCTCATGTCTATATCTATGTATCTATCTATCTATCTATATCTATCTATCTATACTATATATTATGGCAATTCAAAAGAAATCTCTTGTCACATAAGCACTTGGAGGATCCACAATTTGCCAAGTTGGACAACTTTTTTACAAACAAAAAAATTAGTTATTAATGTATTTATGGAGCTACCTCTCTCTTCTTTAATATTTCCATTTCTTTTAACTTTTTTTTTTTGCTTTAATAGTATGTTACATGTTGATAAACTTAACCAAACACACATAAATAATAATTTTTTTGTCCAGTAAAAAAAATATAAATAAGAAAACAGAAAGTAACATATACCACATTTGTTTAAATAAAAAATATCTGATTAAACCTTATGAAGTAATGTTTTTACTCATTTTTGCTAAAATTGAATGATAAGTTATATTTTTATGGAAATTAGACAAACATACACATAAACAATAAATTTTTTTCGATTAAAAAAATTATATGAAAAGAGAGAAAATAAACATTTGACATTCAATTACCTATGAAAAATAAACTATATTACTTTATATTTTGTTGCAATGAAACACTCTCTTATTCGTAAATTATATGTCTATAAAATAAAATAAGTATTATTTAGCAAAATGTCAGAGTATAATCTTGATCGAGTAGTTATAGTTATTTATTTAAAAAAGACTTCTTATTCCTCACATCATGTTCTACCTTAAACTCCTCAAATGAAGAGAAATCACATGTGCAATAATTTTATAATGTGTCCTAAGTTCACATCAATAATATTTGTTCTATATCATGTTGATTGAGCAAGCTCTATTGAGGTCCTAAGTCGTATGCTAAGAAAATTTTCTTTCAGACTTGGACTTATCGTCAACGATTATAAATAAATTTTTTCAAAATGACTTAAGTATGATTGTTGACGAACTTTGACTTCATACCCTAGGATGAGACACAAGATTCCTTGAAAAAACATAAGGAATGTTAGAGAATCTTAGTTGAGTATCTACGATAAACACCGCGTTTCATCAACTACTAACTTAGACATTTAGCAAATAAAGGTTGGCAATTTTTAGTAAAATAGTCAATTGGGATAAACATATTTATCCAACAATCAATTATCATTATCCAGTAATCTCAACTCTCAAATTTGGTTGCCAGTTCGTCCAAACTCGAGAAACACGAATTGATATATGTTGTATAGATAATAAGTTAATGGAAATAATCAAATGAAATCCACCGATATTGTTCAAATGATAAGACATTTTAAATGCACTTGAAAAATGTGTGTATTGTAGACACTCTTTATCAAATATTAATATATAAGTGATAAAATCTTTGAAAATTACACATTCAACGACCATGTTAAGACCAAAATCCTCGATAATGTGTGCGAGTGTCTTAGATTGAGATTCTAAGCCAACATATAAACAATGACCACGGTTGAACTTCAAAAATTAACAATTGATACATATTCTATAATATACTAAATTTAAGTGTCTTGATAAAAAAAAACTAACATCCAAAATGGAAATGAGGCGAGATTATAGAATTTAATCATCACGAGGGCTACGGTGTGTGTCAAGTTTCAATATGGATGAATAAATTGATCCAATAATGAATTATCTTTACTAAGAATGTCTCACTAAAATGTCCTAATCTTTACAACATTGGTCAAGAGTTTGTCCAAACTTGAGGATCATGAATGTGTATTGGATTTCGAAAGGACCTATAATCTCAACCCCTTTCGGGGGCTAAATACCTCTGATCACAACCATAGGTGTCAAAGAAGAATGAAAAGAAGCAAAAAAAAAAAAGAACATAACCTCCGATACGATGAACAGAATAAAAATATATCGAGCTATGATCCTTTCATCCCTACCCTATTATTCTCCATAAAGGGAGGCGGCGGGAGAGGATAAGAAATAAATAGCATCATCTTATAATTTCCCTCTTTATATATTACATATCAAACGATAAATGACCTCAATGGTTGTCTGACGTTATGGGGTAAAAGCGGGATCTCTATCCCAAGGGTGGGGATAGGCGAGTAGCACTTTTAATATGAGTATTAGGCGAGATAAGATAGGTCTGGAAAAGTATCTGGATAATTTTGAGTCTACTATATATATACACACACACACACACACACATATATATATATATATATATATATATATATATATATGGTTATGTCTTTGTTGCACTCACATTTTTAGGTGCATTCAATGCACTCGCTTCATATTTGTCATTATGAGCATGCGATTCATGTCAAAACAATGTTAATCATCACGTATGATACGATGAAAAAGAAACCCCATGAAGTAGCACAAAAATTAATGGTCGTATGGTAGTGTGTGTGGTTCAGGTTGGCGTACGCTAAATATTAGTGTTTTGGTTGACAAATTTTGACATAAGTTATAAATGGGACGTGACAGCGACATAATTTATGATTAGAAAACCGAAGCATCAGAAGTGAGTGTGCTAAATATTGGAAATTTTCAATATAGACATACTACAAACTCTTTTATGAATCAAGAACACAAAATATTTAGAAGATCCAAAATGATTTAAACATATAAATAAGTTAATTAATATAAATTATAAAATAAATCTCTCCGGCCAACGGGCCGGGTAAAAAGCTAGTATAATATTATGGCAATTCAAAATTAAAATTTTGCCACCTAAGCACTTGGAGAGATCTCAAGTTGCCAAGGTGGACAATTTTTTTACCAAAAAAATAGTTATTGACCTATTTATGGAGTTGACCCTCTCTCTTCATTTAATATTTAATTCTCTTTTATCCAATAATTATTTTGATTTTGTTTTTGCATTATATCTATAAATAATATATGGAGAGAAAGGTTATCAAACCGGTTTTGCAAGTGTAATGGTTTTACCGGTGGTACAACTGGTTTGTGTCGTTTCATGTCGGTTAATAAAATATGTAGAAATATAAAAAATCATTAATATCAAATGAATTTAATCATATATAAACCATATTTGAAGATAATTTACGTACAATTCATATTGATATTTGAATAAAATATGATATTTCAAATAAAATTACATGTACTCATACTTAAATTCACTAAAACTATGTATTTTACTTAGAAATTCGTAAACTATCATACCGGTCATACCGATGGTGTCATGTCGATTTCATGACCGGTACCGGTTGATGGTTCAACCGGTGGCATGCCGACCGACGTGACAATCATGATGGAGAGTGACATATATCACATTTTGGTTTTGCATTATATCGATGTACGCAACAGTATACTAATGTTCGTAGAGTGACATATACATCACACTTTTTAAACCAAAAAATATATGATTAAAGATTACTATGTAGATTTATGCTCATTTTTACTAAACTTAATAATAATTTACATTTTAATGAATAATTTAAACAAACATACAAAAATAATAATATTTTGTCGATAATGTCTGAAAGAAACTTGACCAAGAAATAATAGTTATTTATTAAAAAGCTTTTTATTCATTCTGATCAAGTGAAAACATATGAATCACATGTGCAGTATTTATAATGTATCCTAAGTTCACATTACTAATATTTTCTCTAAGTCATGTTGATTGAGCAAGCTCTATTGAGGTCTTACATCATATTCTAAGAAATTTTCTTTTCAGACTTGGAGTTATTTATTGTTAAAGATTATAAATTGAAGTTTCCAAAATGACTTAGAGTATAATAGTTGATTAACTTTGACTGAGACACAAGATCACTTGAAAAATGAAATGTGTGGAATTTAGAGAAATCTTTGTTAAGGATGTACGTTAAACATCACATTTCATGCTAAGAAAAATCTAAATTCGAAGATTGAGATAATAAATAAATATTAATGTTTTACTTCACATATATAATAAAAAACTAAATGTGTGGAATTTAGAGAAATCTTTGTTAAGGATGTACGTTAAACATCACATTTCATGCTAAGAAAAATCTAAAATTCGAAGATTGAGGTAATAAATAAACATTAATATTTTACTTCACATATATAACAAAAAAATATTTATAGTTACAATAGTGTAAACCGAGCTATTGGGTCAAAAGAAGAATATTTATTAAATATGAGTTTAGTAAGAAAATTGTAACAAGTCTATATAGTTGTGAGTTTGTGATTTCATACCAAATTTTGGCAATAACAAAAAAAAATTAATATTATATTCCACCCAAGGAGCTAGGTTCAAAGGTATTAATTAGTGTTGAAAGTAAAATAAACTCTTTGTGTATATATATATATATATATATATGTTTAGATATTAACAATAGATGTGTCTATAATACATCCAATAATTTAAATACATGTGAAAAGCCACAATGTTTGTATGAACTTTTAAATTTTGTTACAAAATATTTTGTTAAAAAATTATAAGTTAATTATTTAAGGAATACATAATTTTGAATGCACTTGAAATATTTGTCTGTTGTATACACACTTTACCAATTATTAATATAAGTAATGAAATTTTTGTTCTAGAACAAACACCAAATATAAAGAAATTTTAGCGAATGGACATTCAAATAGTTGAAAATTTATACATTGAAGGAACATGTTAAGATGAGAACCTTCGATAGTGTATATGAATCCGTAGATTCAGATTCTAAACGAACATTTAGACAAAAGGCAAGGTTGAGGGATAGTACAAACTTAAAATATTAGCAATTATAATAAGTTGTTATACAAAGACTTCATGAACATCAACAATAAAAATGAGTGAGGTTTAGAGAATTTAATCATTATAAGGGATACGATGTGTGTCAAATTTCAATTGGATAAACATAATTTATCCAGTAATCAAGTATCTTTTTCCAATAATTTGAACTCTGATTAATTGGTTGAGAGTTCGTACAAACTCGAGAATCATGAATTGGTATATGTTGTATAAGATAATAAATTTGAGCATCTTAATGGAAAAAAAAATTATATACAATCCTAAATGGGATGTGATAAACCTTTACGACATGATTTATGATCAGAGAATAAAAACATCACAAACGAGTGTGCTAACTATTAAATATTATTCGATATAGGCATACCACATATTCACTTACGAAACGAGAGCAGAAAATGTATACAAGATCCAAAAAGTTCAAACATGTAGATAAGTTAACTAATATAAATCATAAGATGAACTTCTCCGGCCAACTGGCCGGGTAAAAAACTAGTTCCCTTTTTATCAAAGCAAAGGAGGAGGGAGAGAAGGCTAGCAAGCAAAGTTCATATAGGTACTACTTGCAACAACAGCAATAACGGAGTTTTAGGGTTTGCTCCGAGTTATTCGGAAAGAAACCTTCATTTTTTCTTGCTTTGATTTTTCGTAATCCGTGGCGGCGCAACCGTCTTTGATACGGTCGACCTCGATAGATAAGCCTCCTGATGTTAGTGGTATTTGGCGGCCAGCCACGGCATCTTCCTCTCCTGATGGGAAAAGCGAGAAGGAGACCGTGCAACCCAAAAAACTAGTACGGGGTTTGAATCTGGACTAGGAAGGGGTAGGACTATCGGATACCAACTCGGAGATGGAAACTGAAACACTAGAGGATTCTCAACCGTCGATGGAGAAAGCTTTTGACTGGGACGGCGCAGCCAGGAAACTGTTCAATGAGCAGGTGAGGGATGAAGGATGGTATATTGAAGACTCGGACTTCGAGGATGTGGCTGCTCAGGAACGAGAAGAAGATGATGTGGTGTTGGAAGAGGAATACGACCCGAAGTGCTGCCGACCCTCTTCACAACTGCAGAAAAGATTCGCTGGCGCTAAGAGTGGAGATATGCTCTGGTGGTTAAGGGATTGGGAAGAAGGGTGCCCTATTTGGCGCTATCACGTAGATTGAATTATCTATGGGCTAGAAACGGGGACCTACAGATAACGGATATGATGAACGGGTGCTTTATGGTGCGATTCAGGTCTTGCTCGGATTATGAATTTGCAACTTCTGGTGGCCCATGGCAATTGGGTGATACTTACCTCACCGTTCACCGTTGGTTTAAGGGCTTCAATCTCTGGAAGACAGAAGTAAAGTCTAGCATTGTCTGGGTGCAGTTGCCGGAATTACCTATGGAGTTTGTGAATGCGGAGGCGGTGATGCATATAGCTCAACTGACTGGTAGACCGATACGTGTTGATCGTGCAACGACTATGGGTGCGAGGGAAAAATTTCTGAAGGTATGTTGGAAGTGGATAAGATGAAACCACTGTTGTCGCAATACAAAGTAGAGGGGATTACGTACTTGATTCAGTATAAGGGGCTTGAGAATATATGCGGGGAGTGCGGCAAGTATGGTAAACCATCAAGTCATTGTGAATGCCGAATTATGAATACGCAAGTAGCAGAGGAAGAAGTAGAAAAGGTACCGGAGACTCAACAGCATGAGCCCACCGACGAGAGAGTATATGGGGAGTGGGTGACGGTTAAAATAAGGGAGTGTGTGCCTGTTAGGCGAGCACAATACAGTGGACAGAACAACATGCGCCGGCAAAATTCTTTCCACGTCCTGCATGTTGACAAAACGGAGGAGGTTTCCATGCAGCGTGCCACCGATGTGAACCATGCAGGAGAAAATTGAAATGCGATAAGCGAGAAGAAGAAAGTGATGAGGGATGAGGGGATGAATGGAAAGACGAGTGCAAAGAAGAAGATGGAGCCTAATGCCCAACATCTGAAAGGAAGGCAGGAGAAGACCCAGAATAAAACAAGGGGCAATAATAGCTCCAACAGAGGTGATGGTAAGACGGGAGGCAAACTAGCAGGTTCACTGGGTACTATACTAGACCAGCGAACACAAGAGAAAAGATATGAGGAAATGTGATGAAGCATGGAAAGGAAAGTAAGCGGAAGCGCAAAGTGGGAAGGAGACCTCGGAAAAGGTGGGAAGTTGATGAAAGGGAATGACATCAAACAGAATGGAGCTGGTAAAACTACTCTTCATGGTGTGGGGAACCTATCCTCTTTAGGTCATAAATGAGGCTTCTTAGCTACAACTGTCGCGGACTGGGAAGCAAGCGTGCAGCTAGAGTTCTGAGGTCGCTTTTGCAACAAGCTTCCCCACAAGTGGTTTTCTTGATGGAGACCAAACAGACTGAGGATGAGAATGAAGTTACTCAAAAGGAGATGGGTTTTCAGCATGGTGAATGTTGGTCGACGGACACTTCTGGAGGAGGTCGAGCTGGTGGTTTGTGTATATGGTGGGTGGAAGAAGTTAACTTGACGGTTATGTCTTCATCGCTACATCATCTGGATACAAAGATAGAGGAAGTTAAAGAAGTTACTTGGATATTTACCGGTATCTATGGCTGGCCGGAGAGGGAGGACAAATTTCAGACATGGGATCTTATTTGCAGGCTGGCGGGACAATGGACTGGGCCTTGGCTGAGTGGGGGATGGGGGACTTTAACCAAGTTCTGTCGGCCAGTGAGCAGAGTGGGGGACGAGCTACTGTGAAAGTGGAGATGATCGATTTCATGAATGTTTACTAGATGCAGGGCTGAGTGATTTGGGGTATGAGGGCTATCGCTATACGTGAGCAAACAGAAGACAGGCGAATAGCCTTATTGAGGAATGGCTGGACAGGTATGTGGCTACACAACAACTAGCTTTTTACCCGGCCCGTTGGCCGGTGAAATTTATTTTATAATTTATATTAATCAACTTATGGGTAATGTCTATTTTTTATCCAAATCTTTTTATGATTCTTTTATTTATCCAAACCTATTAAAATTCTATTAATTATCCAAATCTTTCACAATGCATCAAAATATTAGCCATTTTTACGTTATCGTTAATAATTTTGTAACTCTTTTCTTAGTTAAAATATTAAAATTTTGAAATGTCGATCTTCATGAGTCTCTTCCAAGTCAGTATCATGTTGCCAAGTCAATATTACTAACAAAATTGCTAATTGGAAGTTAATATTTGGTTAATTCTTAGTATTTCGATAGGTTTGGATAATATAAAAGAATTTGAAAAATGTTTGGATAAAAAATAGACATTACCCTTAACTTATTTATATGTTTAAATCATTTTGGATCTTTTATTGGATTATTGATTCATAATAGAGTTTGTAGTATGTTTATATTGAAAATTTCCAATATTTACCACACTCACTTGTGATGCTTCGATTTTCTAATCATAAATTATGTCGTTGTCACTTCTCATTTAGAACTTATATCAAACTTTGTAAATCAAAACACTCATATATAGCGTACGTCAACCTGAACCACACACACACTCACGCACATATATGGTGACTTCTATCATATCGTGGGTAAAATCTAGGGTACGACATACCCTTAGTAAGAAAATGCTATCTAAACCTCGAATTAACCGGATTTTGAGGTATTATACTATACCCTAACCCTGGATGTTATATAAACCATAGACCTTAAACCCTAGGAGTGTGCATGTAATTTGTTGCAAATGTTTCGACTAATTATGACCATCGATTTTTGTTTCTAGTTAAATTGATCTTAGTGTATGATTTTGTTAGAATTAAGGCCTAGATTTTAATCTATAAGGATTAGGGTATACTACCACATTGCAAAATTTGGTTAATTCGAGGTCTAGATAGCATTTTCTACTTTTCTTACTCAAGGTATGTTATACCTTGATTTTAGTCAAGGTACGATAGAACCATCCATATATATATAGTTCAAGCTAGTGTGCACTATACTTTTTCATTCACACTACCATACGACCATTAACTTTTACTATTTAGACCCCGAATTAATCGGAGTTTTTTGGGGCATGATATTATACCTAAACTCTAATAGGTGAACTCCAGTCCCTAATTCTCTTATTTCTAATTTATGCACATACTTTAGCATACCTATCTTCTATCGTATTTTGAGTAAAATCAAAAGTATAATATACCTTGAGATTATATATGTGTGTGTATATATATAGTAGGCTCAAAATTATCCAGATACTTTGCCAGACCTATCTTATATCGCCTAATACTCATATTAAAAGTGCTACTTGCCTATCCCCCACCCCCGGGATAGAGATCCTGCTTTTACCCCCATAACGTCAAACAACCATTGGGGTTGTCTATCGTTCCATATGTAATATATAAAGAGGCAATATCGAAGGATTTCATTTGATTATTTGCATTAACTTATTATCTTATACAACATATATCAATTTGTGATTTTCGAGTTTGGACGAACTGACAACCAATTTTGAGAGTTGAGATTATTGGATAAAGATACTTGATTGCTGGATAAATATGTTTATCCCAATTGACTATCTTACTAAAAATTGCCAACCTTTATTTGGTAAATGCCTAGGTTCGTAGTTGATGAAACGTAATGTTTATCGTATATTCTCATGAAAGATTTTTCTAACCTTCACATATGTATTTTTCAATGAATCTTGTGTCTCATCCTAGGGTATGAAGTCAAAGTTCGTCAACAATCATACCTAAGTCATTTTGAAATTTTTTATTTATAATCGTGGACGATAACTCCAAGTCTGAAAGAAAATTTCTTAGCATACGACTTAGGATCTCAATAGAGCTTTGATCAATCAACATGATATAGAAAAACTATTGTTAATGTGAACTTAGGACACATTATAAAATTATTGCAAATGTGATCCCTCTTCATTTGAGGAGTTTAAGGTAGAACATGAACTGAATGAATAAGAAGTCTTTTTTAAATAAATAATTGTAACTACTCGATCAAAATTACATTCTGACATTTTGCTAATAATACTTGTTTTATTTTATAGGCATATACTTTATGAATAAGAGAGTGTTTCATTGCAACAAAATATAGAGTAATATAATTTATTTTTCAAAGGTAATTGAATGTCAAATGTTTATTTTCTCTCTTTTCATATATATTTTGTTTAATCAATAAAAAAATTATTGTTTATGCGTATGTTTGTTTATTTTTTTCATCAAAATGTAACTTATCATTCAATTTTAGTACAAATGAGTAAAAATTTTACTTCGTAAGGATTAATTAGATATTTTTTATTTTAAAAAATGTGATATATGTCATTCTCTGTTTTATTATTTATATTTTGTTACTTGAAAAAAATTTATTATTTATGTGTGTTTGGTTAAGTTTATCAACATGTAACTTATTATCAAAGCAAAAAAAAAATAAAAATAAAAAATAAAAAAATGAAAAAATTTGGATAAAAGAAATGAAAATATTAAAGAAGAGAGAGGTAGCTCCATAAATACATTAATAACTATTTTTTTGTTTGTAAAAAAGTTGTCAAACTTGGCAAATTGTGGATCCTCCAAGTGCTTATGTGGCAAGAGAATACTTTTGAATTGTCATAATAGATAGTATAGATATAGATATAGATAGATAGATAGATGGCTACAATTATTTCCTGATGGGCGGGTGCTTCATCTTGATAGATCAAGATCGGACCATCGGCCAATTATTTGTGACACAATGGGGAGCGGAGGACGAGGAACTTAAGTGAGGGTGGAGTTTCCGGTTTGAGCCTCCCTGGGTGAGACATGAAGAATGCAAAAAAAAAAAATGTTGAGAAAGCATGGCTTGGTCAGGGTGGAGTTAACACGTTGGAAAAAATAAACAGCTGTAGCAGGAAGTTGAACGAGTGGAGCAGAAGGGTTTTTCCAAAGTTTTGTGTGCAGCGTGAAAATTCAGCGAGCAATGAAGGTGTTGGATAGCTCTACCAGCTCTCCTAGTGTTCTTGATCAAAAGCAAAAACTTGAAGAGGAACTGGCCGAGCTGGAGGAGAATGAGGAAAACTATTGGAAGCAAATATCGCGAGCGGACTGGTTGACTGGGGGTGACAAAAATACAAATTTCTTTCATAGGAAGGCCACTGCTCGATGGAAAAGGAATACGATATGGAAGCTTCGGGACGATTTGGGCAGGTGGTATGTTGGGCAGGATCAGGTCTTTGACTGCATGTACACTTACTATAGCAAGCTGTTTACCGCTAGAGTACCACCAGAATCAACTTTGGAGATGAACTCAGTTCAGCGTTAGTAAACCAAGAAGATAATGATAGTTTGCTGCGAGAGGTGGAGAAGGAGGAAGTATTTCGTGCTCTTAAGCAAATGGGACAAAGGAAGGCCCCTGAGGCCGATGGTATGTCAGTTTTTTTCTTCAAGAGGCATTGGGGGTATAATGGGGGATGATGTGGCTCAAACAGTAAAGGAGATTATTGAATAGAGGTGTATTCCAGAAGGGCTGAGCCACACCCTCATTGCGTTGATCCCGAAGGTGAAGGCGTCGGTCAGTCCTAAGGAATATAGACCGATTAGCCTGTGTAACACACTCTATAAATTGGTGGAAAAGGTTCAAGAAAATCAACATTAGCTGATTTTGGATAATAACATATTTGTTGAGCAAATCGCTTTCGTGCCAGAGCGTTTCATTACTGACAATGTTATGGCTGCTTTCGAGTGCTTCCACACAATGAAAAAGAAGAAGGGTCTCTCTGGCTATCTGGCAGCAAAGATTGATATGGCGAAAGTATATGATAGGGTGAAATGGTCGTTTCTAGCGGCTGTCATGAGGCGCATGGGTTTTGACGAGAGCTGGATCTCTTTGGTCATGCTCTGTGTCAGAGGCACATGGATTTTGACGAGAGTTGGATCTCTTTAGTCATGCTCTGTGTCATCTCGGTGTCTTACTCGGTACTTGTAAATGGCCCCCAGTTCCACCATTTATCTCAAGCCGCGGTCTTCGGTAAGGAGATCCGGTATCCCCGTGGTTGTTTCTCATCTGTGCAGAGGGCCTCTCATCCTACACTGCTCTAGCGGTTAGAGAGAAGAGGCTTCATGGGATCCAGGCAACAAGAGGAGCCCCGGTAGTATCTCACCTGTTTTTTACTGATGATAGTATCTTTTTTGCCAGGTCCACGGTGCAGAAGAGTTTGGAGCTAAAAAAAATACAAATTCAGAATTAATAGAAATTAGCCAGAGAGACCCTTCTTCTTTTTCATTGTGTGGAAGCACTCGAAAGTAGCCATAACATTGTCAGTAATGAAACGCTCTGGCACGAAAGCGATTTGCTCAACAAATATGTTATTATCCAAAATCAGCTAATGTCGATTTGCTTGAACCTTTGCCACCAATTTATAGAGTGTGTTACACAGGCTAATCGGTCTATATTCCTTAGGACTGACCGGCGCCTTCACCTTCGGGATCAACGCAATGAGGGTGTGGCTCAGCCCTTCTGAAATACACCTCTATTCAATAATCTCCTTTACTGTTTGAGCTACATCATCCCCCATTATACCCCCAATGCCTCTTGAAGAAAAGAACTGACATACAATCGGCCTCGGGGGCCTTCCTTTGTCCCATTTGCTTAAGAGCACGAAATACTTCCTCCTTCTCCACCTCTCGCAGCAAACTATCATTATCTTCTTGGTTTACTAACGCTGAACTGAGTTCATCACCAAAGTCGATTCTGGTGGTACTCTAGCGGTAAACAGCTTGCTATAGTAAGTGTACATGCAGTCAAAGACCTGATCCTGCCCAACATACCACCTGCCCAAATCGTCTTGAAGCTTCCATATCGTATTCCTTTTCCGTCGAGCAGTGGCCTTCCTATGAAAGAAATTTGTATTTTTGTCACCCCCAGTCAACCAGTCCGTTCCCGATATTTGCTTCCAATAGTTTTCCTCATTCTCCTCCAGCTCGGCCAGTTCCTCTTCAAGTTTTTGCTTTTGATCAAGAACACTAGGAGAGCTGGTTGAGCTATCCAACACCTTTATTGCTCGCTGAATTTTCACGATGCACACCAAACTTTGGAAAAACCCTTCTGCTCCACTCGTTCAACTTCCTCCTACAGCTGTTTATTTTTTCCAACGTGCTAGCTCCACCCTGACCAAGCCATGCTTTCTCAACATTTTTTTTTTTTGCATTCTTCATGTCTCACCCAGGGAGGCTCAAACCGGAAACTCCACCCTCACTTAAGTTCCTCGTCCTCCGCTCCCCATTGTGTCACAAATAATTGGCCGATGGTCGATCTGTCAAGATGAAGCACCCGCTCATCAGGAAATAATTGTAGCCATTGTTGTGTAGCCACGTACCTGTCCAGCCATTCCTCATAAGGCTATTCGCCTATCTTCTGTTTGCCCACATATAGCGATAGCCCTCATACCCCAAATCACTCAGCCCTGCATCCAGTAAACATTCATGAAATCGATCATCTCCACTTTCACAGTAGCTCGTGCCCCACTCTTCTCACTGGCCGACAGAACTTGGTTAAAGTCCTCCACCCCCCACTCAGCCAAGGCCCAGTCCATTGTCCCGCCAGCCTGCGAATAAGATCCTATGTCTGATGGAAAAAGAGGACGGTGTCGAGCGTCCTGCACGTGGTGCATAGTCGGGCGAAGGTGCCAGGGATATGTGCGAGGTAGAGGATTTGTAGAGGAGGTGATCGAGCAAGTCGAAGATTGAGTTTGCGGCGGCGGCGACCGGCTGGGCGAGTAGGGTCTGGGGAGGTTGCTTGTGCATTTTCCCCCCTCTCTTCTCCCAGCTTGAATTCGTTAGGGTTATTCCAATTTACAATATTAAAAGTTGTGCATCTTTTTAAGTTCTTTGCTGTTGTTTTATCACATGTATCATAATCTCTTTCTATAATTGTAGTTTCATATTCATTACTATAACTTTCCTATCGACCATCAATAGTCGATCCCTTCTTCTCAACAACGTCACTACTCACTATCACTATTTCCGAATTCACTACCTTTATCATCAATAGATTCTTTCCCATTCACCTTCATTTTAATGAAATTTTACTTAAGTGTAAAACTAAAATATTTGCAAATTTGAAACATTTATCAATTAAAGCTACTAACCAAATAGTTGAAAATCCCACACGTTTAGTTTTCAAGCTAAAGGTTATAAAAGTTATATTTGGATATATTTATTATTAGTAAATAAAAATTTTCATACGAAGAAGAGATAATGGTAGAAATATTTTTTTTTGGTAAGAAATTTGGACATATTTATTATTAGTGAATAAAAATGTTGGTACGTAAAAAGGAAGAAAAAAGTTTTTTCTCCCTAGAATATGGGATGGGTAGAAAATTTAGGAAAACTTGAATTTTTTTAGGATTCATCAATAAACTCTCGTGTATGAGATATTATTTATTTAGAAGTCTATAAAATACTTTGTTTTAATAGTTTAAATGACACAAATGTCCTTCCTACAAACTCTCCTAAGGCTGAAAATTTTGAATAGACCATATTTTGATGGAGAATCTCCATATAGAAGTGATAGGATAAAATAGTGAGAGATTGTAACTTCACTTATTTTATTAATTTATAAAAAATTTGAATTAGTAAAAATTTGAGAATAAAGTAAAAAAGGTAGACTATATGCTTATACATCTCAATATTAATCGTCTTAATTAAATAGAGTATGAGCTAGATGTTTGCTTCTTCATTTCCACGACATCTTATGAACAATATTGCGAATCACTCAATTATATGTCTTCATAATTTTTTATATATTCACTGTAACATCTCATCCTAAAACTTTAGTATGTCGTAGTGATGCATTCACCGCTTTCGTCTACCGCGGTGAATCGTTGACGACCACAATGATGTCCAAACATGTGTAGATTGGGAATTTGTCATAAATCGTGTGTATTTTGGGGGAAAAAAATTAGAAACATATGTGTATTTTGAGATATTTTCCTGAGAAAACTAGGTAGCAATAAAACACAAAAAGCTTGCAAACTATGCCAAAGTACAAAGAAATCAAAACCAATCAATCACTAAGCCAAAAATACTCCGCCACAAAATATAATGAATACCCCCATTAAACCAAAAATGGGGGAGAAAAACTCAAACCCACAAAATATTCCAACTTTTTTGCTCTGCGTTTGTTTTTAACCTTCCATGTTGGAATTGATTGAAACAACACGGACAGGGAAGCAACTGAACTGGGTTGTTGCCCATTCGTCTCCAAACCAGTCGGGCTGCCATTTCTTTGGCAGAATCAGAAGGTTTTCTGCACCTCGTTGTCATTATCCTTGGAAGCATGTTGCATGACGGCGGTATGGATATCTTCCACAAATCTCGCGTCAACAACTTGCAAGGGCGTAGAGGGTTGCTCATTGGGGCTTCTAAATTCATCTTCTTCAAGTGACCGCTGCTTTATATGACTGGGAACTATGACTTCATTGACTTCTGCTCCTTCATGGAGTTGCTTGAAGGCCAAATCTATGTCTTCGGCAGTTCTAACCTCGAGAACTGGAAGCACTTGCTCTCCTTCCGGATTCCTAGAATCATTCGGATGACTATGATCCGCTTGAGTGCTTTCTGCTTGTCCCAATGCGGAATCAGAAACTTCTGGAAGCTCCATGGCACTTCCCTTAGAAGATTGATGCATCACTGCAGCATCAATGTCTTCTACAAACCTTGCCTCAACAACTGGCAAGGGAGTAGAAGGTGGCTCATTAGGACTTCCCAATTTATATTCTTCTGATTGCTGCTTAATTGTGCTAGGAAGGATGACCTCCTCAACTTCTGCTCCTTCACGGAGCTGCTTGAATGCCAAATCAATGTCTTCAGCCGTTTTGACTTCAAGAAGTGGAAGCACTTTTCCAGAAATATGCTCTTCAGTTAGTTGCGACTCTGCTGAATCAGAAGGAGCTGGAAAGCTTGGGACTTTGCTCTTAGAAGCAATTTCCTGCACAGCAGCATGAATCTCATCTATATGTTTGGCCTCAACAACTTGCAAAGGTGTAGAGGGTTGTTCATCAGGACTTCTAAATTCATCTTCAAGTGACTGCTGCTTAATCGTGCTGGGAAGGATGACCTCCTCGAGTTCTGCTCCTTCATGAAGTTGCTTGAAAGCCACCTCGATGTCTTCAGCTGTTCTAACTTCAAGGACTGGAAGCTCCTTGTCAGTAACCTCTTTTGCTTTCACTTGTGTGCCTACAAAATCAGATGGTTCTGGAAGCTCCCCTTCACTACCTTTAGAAACTTGGTGCATAATGGCAGTGTGGATATCTTCTATAAATCTGGCTTCAACAGCTACTAAAGGAGTAGAAGGCTGCTCACTGGGACTTCTAAATTCATCCTCTGCTGCTGCCTGCTGCTCAATTGAGCTGGGAAGAATGACCTCCTCGAGTTTTGCTCCTTCATGAAGTTGCTTGAAAGCTAAGTCAATGTCTTGAGCTGTTCTCACTTCAAGAACTGGAAGCTCCTTGTCGTGAATCTCCTCCTCCTCTGTGGTCACTTGAAAGCCTGTTGTAGATGATTCTGGAAAGTCTCTGTCACTGCCTTTAGAGCCTTGTTGCATAACAGCAGCTCGGATATCTTCTAGGAATCTGGCTTCAACAACTTGCAAAGGTGTAGAGGGTTGCTCACTGGGACTTCTAAATTCATCATCAGCTGACTGCTGCTCAATTGTGCTTGGAAGGATGACATCCTCTACTTCTGCTCCTTCATGAAGTTGCTTGAAGGCTAAATCAATGTCTTCAGCTGTTCTAACTTCAAGAACTGGAAGCTCTGTGCTAAAAATCTCCTTCTCAGAGGGTTGTATAGCTGTTGATTCTGATGGTTGTGGAGTTTTGTCTCTGCTCTTAGAAGCTTGTTGACCCACAGCAGCATGGATATCTTCTAGAAACTTTGCATCAACAACTTGCAAAGGTGTAGAGGGCTGCACATTGGGACTTCCAAATTCATCTTCAAGTGACTGCTGCTTAATTGCACTGGGAAGGATAACCTCCTCAATTTCAGCTCCTTCATGGAGTTGCTTGAAGGCCAAGTCAATATCTTCAGCTGTTTTAACTTCAAGAACAGGAAGTTCTTTATTAGAAATAGAAAGGTCATCTTCACTCAGTTGCCTGCTTTCTGAATTGGATGGTTCTGGAAGATCCTTGTGACTACTTCCATTAGAAGCTCGTTGCATAACAGCAAAATCAATATCTTCGACAATCTTCGCTTCAACAACTTGCATAGGCGTAGAGGGTTGTGCATTAGGGCTTCCAAACTCATTTTCTTCTTCAAGTGACTGCTGCTGCTTAATTGTACTAGGAATGATGACCTCCTCAACTTCAGCTCCCTCGTGCAGTTGCTTGAAGGCCAAGTCAATATCTTCAGCGGTTCTAACTTCAAGAACTGGGAGCTCAGTCATGGAAGTCCCCTCTGTAGTCACTTGTAATGAATCAGATCGTTCTGGGAGGTTCTTGTCGCTACCCTTGGGAGCTTGTTGCGTCAAGGCAACATGAATATCATCTACAAACCTAGCTTCAATAACTTGCAAGGGTGTGGAGGGTTGCACATCAGGACTTCCAAATGTATCTTTGTCTTCGAGTGACTGCTGCAGCTTAATGGTACTTGGAAGGATGACCTCCTCAACTTCAGCTCCTTCATGCAATTGCTTGAAAGCCATGTCAATATCCTCTGTTGATCTAACTTCTAGAACTGGAAGCTCCCTGGTATGAATATCCTCATCTACTGTTTCAGGCAACTGCTTTGTGTTCTCAAGAGAATGCTCTGTACCCGCATCTTGCAAGTTGGAACTTATTTGTTTGACTAGTGGTTCGCTGGTACTGACTCCTCCATTTTGTAACATAATCTGCTGTTCACCATCAACTTCTTTGACTCTAAAATCCCCAACTGTATCGAGTTCTGATAGTAACCCTTCATCTATCTCTTTCATTTCATCTTCCTCAAAGTTGAAACTGCCCGCAGATTCAGGTGACCAAAATGCTTCTGTTGGACTTGAACGCTCTAAGGTAAGTTCACTGTCCTTGGGAACAGACTTTATATTCCTCACTGATGGTTCCTGCAATTTTAGACCATTTCATGTTTATCACTCACTAATTCTATCTGTTTTTAATAAATAACTCGAATTAACATGAAAACATAGATACACAGTTTAACAAACACTAACAGAATCAATCTTATGGAACAAGCAAACCATAAATGAAAATATTTTTGAAAGTTCTAAAATTCAAGGATGAAGCAGGAACTAGAAGGCAGAACTTTTTTAAATTTTCCCTTACCAGCAGTTCATGATTGCCATAAGATGGTCCAACCATGGATTTTTCGGACCATTGTACTTCATGGTCGCTGGATCTCAACGTAACAACTTTGACTTCTTCATCTTGCTCTGCAGTTGTTGATGGACGAGAACTGGATAAATCCAGTCGGTCGTCCTGGTTAAGTTGAAGAAGGCCCTTTTTGCTCAAATATGCCTTCTCTGCCATTTCTGCTATTTCTGCTTGTATATCAGAAGAAATCGAAGAAAAGGAGAGAAATTTATCCAGTTCCGGGGGACTCGAGTCAAAAACAGGCTCCTCATGCTTACTTTCATCCACCGTTGAACCTATGGAATGACGGTCTAGAGTGTCTGTTGAAACTCTTGGGCCATCATTTTCAGGATGAGAATTCACGTGGAGCAGGGTCTGTGTTGTCGGAACCTCAACTTTCATCTCATGATTTGTCAATAATACCTTCTGCCCATCAGTTATCTTGTCATCGCCTGGTTCAGAAGATGATGACAAACTTGACGGACTGCTATATTCCTCGTCACCATCCGGTTCAACCATTCGCAACAGGATCTCACTTGTATTCATCTGAACAAAAAAAGAAAGACAGAAACTATAGTATCAATACCTCCTGAAGGTGAATCCATCTCATGGTTGTTTTCTACATCACCACCTAATAAAGTATTAGTGATACTTGCCTCTTCTATATCCGCTTCATGATGATGATGAATGTCTCTTCTCCTTTCATCAGGTTCTGCATCATTATCACCAATGCCGTCAACAGATGACGACGACAGACTTCCATGTTCAACCAACACCGAAGAGGTATCAACATTATTAGCAATCAGTTCTTCTGATTCCATCTCGTGATGTACATCTTTTTCACTTATTAGCTTCTTCTTGTCCTCTTCTTCTTCCAACACCGAAATCACTGATTCAGTATCGGGAATCGAGCTCATCTTCGATTCACTAATTTCACTCAACTGCCTCTGGAAACCACCTGGGAAGTTGCTGCTGCTTGTTGTTGTTCCTTCATGATTATGAACAAACCGTTCGGGCAAGAAATAAGGTTTCCATAGAACATCCAGCCTATCTTGCTTGTTGGGAGGAGGAAGAACAAATCCGCCAAGATATGAGGGCCCAACATTGAAACTGTCGTGCCTCCTGAACACTGGCCCTGGTTGTTGTTCCCTATGTTGAAACCCTGCGAATTCCATATCAGAACTTTCCCCTTTGAGATCGGGCTTTTCTTCCCCGGAATCATATGGCAAATCAAAAGGGTTTCTTCTCTTCAACATTATGGAAGGAGCAGAACCAGGAGCATCATCATATGAATCATACGGGAGGTCGAATGGGTTCCGTCTAGATGTCGAAATGTGTGGCACATTAAAGTGAAGATCACCGCCACCATCGAAATCTATTAGATTCTTCTCCTTCTCAATCACAGCTCTCGAGTTCCTCCTAGCCCTCCTTCTAGCAATTAGACTCTCCAGCCTCTGGTTCCGTTCAAGCTCTGAAGTCCCCAAGTCCATGAGATTCTTCGTGTCATCTTCGGTCCACACAATGGCCGATTTGCTCTCGTCCTCTTTACCAGTTTGGGCACCTTCACTCTCTACTCCTTCCTCCTCTTCTTCTTCTTCATCCACATGATTGCCTGAATCTTCCTCCGAATCAACACTGCTACTATCTCTGTTACGCTGAGATCCTTCAGAAGCAGAGCCATAACGAGAAATCAGCCCTTGCTGTGGAGCTTCTTCGTCTAAAAGTGGATGAAGCTCGTCAAGCATTGGCATAATGTCGGCTATTGAAGCATCCGGTGAAGAGCTCTCAGCTCCATCAGACCCCGAATCCTCCGAACATTCCTCACACTCTTCTTCTTCCTTTTCTTCCATTGACCGATTCCCAGATTGAGAAGCAAGAAACTCCCCTACAGACATAGTAACACCACCATCGTCATTCTCGCCATTTCCCAACTTGCCATTATCATCTTTATCTCCCAAGTCTCCCACACGAGCATACTGATGATTCTCACCGACACCACCACCATTCTCCTCCTTCTTTCTCAACTTCATCTCCAGCTCGCTGAACACTTTCTCCACTTGCTCTGCAAACTGAATCTCTCTAGACTTCTCTTCAACAACAACAACAGGGGAACAACTCTTACTTCTTCCATCTTCTTCCTCAATTACACTACCCTTCATCTCCACCACGGAGCCCACTTCGTTATCCGCTCTCTGAACCACAGTGACGTGGTCCTCCTCCGACGACGTCAATCCATGTTTCTCGAACAAGTTAACGTCGTGGTGAGTACTGCTAGTAGTAGCTACTAGTTCGGGGTTATGGAGATCAATTTCGGGGATGTGGGGTTCCCCGAAGCTCAAGAGGGTACCAAGCAGAATCGCAGTGCAGAACAGAACAGGGGATGCAGAGACCAAAACGGAGAAGCAAAACGGGAAAGATCTGTACAGAAATACCAAGACGCAGAGGGCAGACACCAGAACTGGATGCCTGCGGATCCATCTGGAGCACATCTTGATCGTCAGAAGTGAATATCTCTTACCATCAACTGCAATTCTCATCGTATCAACCACCATCTTTTCCCCCCTTCCTGCTTTTTCTATTCTTCTGATTGTCCTAGTTTCTTTCCCCTAGCAAAACAGCAATCAGACACGATCATGGTCAGTAGATCTATGACAGGCAATAATTCATTCAACCCAGAATTTTTTCAGGTGATTGAGCAAAAACCCACCTGGGAAATCGAATGTTGTGGGAAATGGAGGGAAGAAAGCTTAGAGGAACAAGAGGGATGGATGAGAATTCAATACCTATAAAGCGAATCTCGGGGCAAGTTCACGGAGTGATGATGATCGGCTGCTGTACAATTGAGGAGGAGGAGAAGGATAGAGACTCTCTACAGCGAGGGAACTGTAAAAGCCGAATTATGTTTGGTGATCTGGTTTTTCAGTGTGGTGGCGGAGAAGAAAGAAAATGGGAATGGTGAATGGGGTAGAGCCAGATTGGAACATGGAGGAGGATAGATCATTGTTGGAAAAGGAAGGCATGCAGGATTGAGAAAGGAGAGAAAAGGGATCATTAGCAGAAAGAAATTCCAGCCAAAAATAAAATTTTGAAGGGAAATGGGAATGCTGGACTCCCTCTACTTTTTTGACTCATTCTTGCTTTTTCTTTTTATTGCTTTTATGTTTATTAATAAATAAATAAAAATTGGAAGGGAAGACAAGAATGTCTGGCAGGATAATAGGATAAAAATAAAATAAGGGATCGGGTCAATTTTTTTTCTTCCTATTATCCTACAAAGTCCAGATTATCATAATGAAGCATAACCACGAAACAATTATCAAACCCATTACCCTACTTCACCTGCCAAATTTTGCACCGATAGAGTAATATATCCACCGATCTTGATGATCTACGGGTACGAATTAGGTTGTCATCCATGTTGATCATCAAGTCGTATATGACCATCGAATTAACACACTACAAAAATCTATCACGAGAGTAGACAAATTCGAGTTTTACAAATCAGCAACCCTATTTAGTTATGGATGAACAATTGAACTGAAGATGCAACTCCCGGTATGCACATTGGTTAATGACATTCGATAATCATGTTTACGACACAGTAAACTGTTTCTGTTTGCTTTAGAGGAGTGGGCGGTGTTTTCTTTTCTCACTAAAGAAAAGAGGAGCGGGCGGTGGTGGGCTTAATCATTCCTTCCACTGATAATTGATTAGGCTTTTTTTCCTTCTGGTCCCCTCTCTAAAAAACTTTCTGCCTGGCCGGCTTGGAACTCTGACCTTAGGTCCTTAACCCCACACACATCCTTCCACCCTTCTTCTAAAGAATCAAAATATCGTACCGAAAAATTCAGTGATATGGTATTTTATACTAAAATCATGATTTAATCGTAGTTCAATCGTTTCATATGACTAAATATCGCCTACCAGTTTAACCTACAATAGAGGATTTTTTCCGATCAAACCGTCGGTACCAGAAGTCATAAACTAACAATTAAATGCCACAACATGGCTAACTCATATACATAATAGAATACAGAATACCCTGTAAAGGGAGAATGTTAATTTTAATTATGTACCTGATACACTTTATATACAGTTGGTGACAATAATCCCCCACAAATACAAAAAACAGAAGACACCCTTTGCTTTCTTCCCTTTTCACTTTTTTTTTTTCCCTCGTTTTCTTACTTTCCTGTATGTACATTATCATAATAACGATCCAGATTGGAGAGAAACAATGTTTGTTTTTGAAAAGAAAAAACTAGCACAGAAAGAAGAGACTAAGGACAGCTAGCTATCTCTTATCTTAAAACCGACAGAAATCCACAACAACAAGTAGCAGAGATGACAATGAGTTTTTACCCAATGGACGGCAGCATTGGATCCATCCCTAGGCCGGAGCCGCCGAAGGTCCCCGGCTCAGCATGCTTCACCCTCCCGAAGTAGCGGATGTGGCGGAGCAGCCGAGCCAGGAAGCTGTTGTGGCAGATCGTCGAGCTATCGCACACCACCGCTACGTGCTTCCTTGCCCTCGTGATCGCCACATTCATCCTCCTGTTGTCGCCCAAGAACCCCACCGCTCCCAATGTGTTGGATCGAACCTGCATGGATGTCGCGTTACGAGTTAAATCGCGTACCAAAATCAATCCGATTCGACAATGTTACAGAGCGGAGTTTAGTATTTGGTAGTGACTGAATATGAAATTGATAAATGCAATAGGTATCAACTCAAAACTACGAGACATGTGGCCATTCTGTTTTAGCAATTATAGATCATGAAGTGGTTTCACAGTTTTGTCAAGCTCGAAAATGATGTCGGCAGCAAAAAATTATACCAACGGATGAAAATGAACAACAATCAATGATGATGATTTCTACCCCCCCACCCCCCAAAAAAATGATGTTGGTGATGATGTCCATGTTGCATGCATGAATGTCAACTAAAACTGGCGCCTTTTTATGCTTGATGTTCACAGATGACCAGAAATGGAGGCAAAATAAGGTAAGTTATCACAGTTGGTGACTTTTCGGACTATTATGTCTGCACACCGCTTCCTGTTTGTTCTACACTCTATTACGTTTCCTTTGCATGTCATTTTAAGGGATTGAAAGAAGGAAGAAAAGCAGACAGAGAGAGAGAGAGAGAGAGAGCGGGGCCAAATCATACCATTGAGATAATTACTGCATCGCCCTCCCGCCCTTGGAAGCTATCGATGGTTGAGACCTGAACATCGCCAGACTCCGGCAGTTCTCCCAACCTATCCCTCAGCAGCTGTACCTGAGCAACGTAAGGTGACTGAACCACTATCGCCGCCGGTCTGACGCCTGCAAGTGAGAGTAACAGATGTATAAGCAAAAATCATTCAGGTTTTCAGGTCTGTGCCGAGGCTTGGACTGCACGGGAAGCACAGGGAATGCCTAAAAGTCTGCTTCCTTTTTATCTCTAGATCAAACCCCAAAAAAGGAAAACGAAACACAAGCAACCATTCTGGATGCAAATACTACTTACCAGCATATATCAATGAGAGCACATGTTCCACGACGATATCAGCTTCGCCTTCGTTGTAAAAAGAGCCTGTTCCGGCTGGGTCCAGATGCTCTTCACATCCCACTGACAAACTTCCATACGGCATCCTTGTGTCTAGTAGCAACAGTGGGCACAGGGTCACCCATGTTGGCTGCAGGAGTTGTTTACAAAGAATTAGAAACAGAAGGAACAATGTAACAGTATGTATGTGATCCCAGTTAAAAGCATCTCAAGACAGGGTTTCTACCTTCACAAACGGAGAATCCACGAGAAGATGGGAAGCAACAACGGGAGAGGACTCCAACAATCCACCATACATCTCCTTGGAAGCCCAGCTGGCTATCGCATCATTCATACGGTACTGTGTTCTTAATGTGGTTGTGAGGAGCCCTTCGTGTAAAGATGCAGCTCGTTCCAATAGAGAAATTCCCAGGCCACCTTCCAGGGCCTTTCGGGATAGAATTAGCGGAGCAAGCTGGCACTGGTCACCTGCAACAATGCAACGTCTGCTCTTGAGTATTGGAATCCAACAAGATGGTTCGATTGCCTGCCCTGCCTCATCTATTACCACCAGATCAAATGTAGGCAGCTTTCTTATGAGTGGATCAGCAGCTCCAGTGTTGGTTGCTAGCACCACTTGGGAAGTCGATAGCACTTCCTTTATGGTTTCCTTTTCCTTCTTCTGGAGTGCCCTTCCAAGTTGTTTCAAAAGCTGCCGTATGCCAGCAGCTAAAGAATCATCCTTCAGACAATACCGCAGGTCTTTTCTTAGATCGGACTTCTTCCTCTCGAGCTCAGCTCTATAAGCTGCAAGCTTTGAGTTCACTATCTCTCCCAAAGACTTTGATGCTACAGCCGAGGAAATACGTGCAGGATTCCCGACTCTCACAATGTCTAATCCGAAATCTGAGAGTTTTTCCACCATATTGTCTACTGCGGCATTTGTTGGTGCTGTAACAAGTACCCTTTCACCTTGTTCAACAGCAAGTGTGATGATTTCCTTAAGCAAGCCTGACTTGCCAGTACCAGGAGGCCCTTGAATTAGAAGTACCGGTCTTTTCTTATTCAAACCCAAGGCAATTGCTCTCTGCTGTGAATCATCGAATTTTGTGTCTATCATGGATTTATCCAAATTTACCTCATCCCAACTCGCTAAATTATTCTGCTCCAACCATTCAACATCTTCCTTGTCACCAAATAGCGTAGCCACAATAGCGATTGAAGGGTTTTTCTTCTGTAAGCCATTCTTCTGAAGCAGCATCAATGCCTCGCAGTTTCTCTTCAAAATAAAATCACAAGAAGCTATTCATTTAGAGAAATGAAGTGCAGCATTTAAGAAACTACAAACTCTCTAGAATTTCACAGCAGAAGGAAGCTTGGAATCCATAAAGCAGAAAGTCCAAGCACGCCAAGATATTCAAGAATCATGGTGTTACTACTATAACTCAGTACCAGATATCCGTTTTATGATATGTTTTTATTAAATACCTCATATGTGAGAGCATCTGCAAGTCCCTGAATACGATCAATGCGCACACTCTTGCCAGACAGCTTAGAGAAGGTGGCATCTCCATGACGAGATTCTAGGGCCACACTTATGCTGCAGCCATCCTCTCCAAGGTTATGTATAAATCCTTGCAAACAAGAGGTTTCAACTGCGCCCCTGCTATCACATGTTCTCACGCAGACCATATCCCCAGGAGTAAGGTTTGTTGGCGGTAATAGATGATTCCCATCGGTCCTAAACAATACCAAGTTCATTGCTCCTAACCCTGTTCACATCACAAGCCCATGTTAGTCAATGAACGCAACCATTTTAACTGCCAAACTATACTAGAAGAGGGTTTAGCAAAGACACCAGCCATGTTAGGGATAAGAAGCTAATAGCTATTACCTACAGAGCTGCTAACTGCATACAAGTTGCAGATGGTGTCACAGAGCTCTTGTTGAGCCTGCCCATGAGTAACCAAGAACTCGATCGGCCCACTTGATTCAGAGTTTTCGTCTGGGGTGGGGACAACATTCAACTCCTCCTGAGTATACTCCACTTCAGCATCCCTCTCCACAACAAGCAGCTCTGACATTTTCTTTGTGAAATCGTCAATCCTCTCTTGTATGGCCTTGGCCTTTTCCAAGTCCATACCTGAAACTCCTTGCACTCGCTTTGGCTGCGTTATCTTCCTCGCAATTTCCTTATGCTGAGCTGCAAAACGTCAACCCAACTCAAACTCAGCAATCGAGTCTACAGCCTATACCTCAATTACATATGAATGTCACCAAACACCAAAATTCCACCATGGCTAAGCTTTGGGGACTCAAACTACCCTAAAAGGGAACAAAGCGTTTCTAAGTATAAAAGAGATACCTGATTTAGCAAGATACTTGAAGAACTTCCAGGACTCGGTCTGACGCCAATCCTCAACCGAGCCTTTCTCCTGCATACCACGAAGAACTTCCAGCAACTCCCTCTGGAAGTTATCAAAGAGCGTCGGGTAATGCGTACAAGCCTTCAAGCAAACGGACTCGAGCCCTAGAGGCATAGGAGCCGCGTTCAAGTAAGCCTGCGCCTGCATCACGAACGTCAAACCAGGGCCCATCCTCTGCTTCAGCTCCTCGAACTCCCCTTGCGACTCCGCGGCAACAAAATCCAACGCCATTGCCTTCATCCCCTGGGATATCCACTTCACAACGCTCTTCCCGAGATCCCTCCATCCCAGTGGATCTCCTTTCTGTTGAAGCGCCTCCAAGCTCACCTCCTCCTTCCTCTCGCTCCTCGGCCTCACTACCGCGACGGCGGCTTCGCCGGCGGCGGTCCTCTTGTTAGTCAACGCCTTACCTCGGCTCCCACTGTTCCTCCTCACCTTCCCCTTCCTCTTGCCTTCCAAGGTAGCCGGCGCAGCCGCCTCCTGCTGCTGCGCTTGGAGACATCGGAATAAGCAGTGCGGGAACTTCCTGTGGCGGAGGAAAAGCGAGTGCGGGCGAGAGAGCGAGGAAGGGAAGGAGAAATGGCAGAACGGCGGCGGGCGCGGCGGAGGATGGTGCTGCAGGGCGAAGGCCGATTCCATTTTTTTTCGCAATTAACGGAATCGGAGACGAGAGAGAAAAGGGCTCGAGAAAGAAGTTGTGGACTTCTTCGGCTGCCGTTTGCTTCCTTCTTTGTTTTCTTTTTAAAAATAAAATTAAATAATTTTTTTCCTATTGGTCACTTGATGGAGACGGAGGGAGATCGGAGATTCGAGGGTTGAGCCGTGTGATTGGCTGGGCAGCGGATTCTGTGGCGTAGATTGAGGTTTAACGTCCGCCAGTGCCAAATGCCCGACGTGTTTCATTGTCGTTCTCTCTCTCTCTCTCTCTCTTCAATCTACATTTCTTGTGGTCGTTTCGCTTGGTTTGGGTTCTCCCCCTGAATCTGAATTTGTTTGTTAGTCCTACGCGAGAGCGTGGAGCACCCTCGTCTCCAATAAATTTTTTTTTCCCCCTCCCCGTCGAATCTCGTCTCCAATTAAAATTTCTGAATTTATTTTGGTACAAAAGGTGAAAGCGTAACGAGGTCGGCCCAGCAGGCCAGCATCCATCGTGGAGCTAGACTAGTGGTTTGTAGGGAATCGATTTGCTTCACATTCTACGCCCCAAAAAGTTCGTTTGGCACTTGATTTGTTCACTAACGAATCGAATTTGAACTAAAGATCGTCAGCCCATGAGTCGGTTCCATTTGGTAGCTCGTCATAGTCAACTTGTAACCTAAGTAGGTAGTGGGGTTTAGCGGCTTACAATGGCGGAGCCGGTTGAGGTCAAAGTGGGCCATTTGCACCACCTTGGCCCCAAAGATTGTGGAGTAAATTTGACTATATGATTGTTGACTGAATACAAGATCTTCATATTATTGGAGATAATTTTACGAAAAGTAATATGTTGTGATCTCTATTTAACTTTTAATTCATATATTTTGTAAGTGAGTTTAATATAAACAAAAAAACTCAAAACTTATGGGTTTTTTTAATAATGTACTTAGGGGTGTTTGTTGCTAGCAGTTGTCATTGTAAGTGTTGAAAGAGCACTTACTGTAATAAGCAAAGTAAAGAAACACTTCAGAATAAGATGATTTGCAGAATCATGAACGATTTTTCACTATGATATCTTAACATCCCTCATAATTTGCATGATGAATGTATTTTAGAAAATCTTGAACATACGTTTTTATTTTATTTTTGAGTAATTTCTATTTTTTATCCAAATCTTTCTCCTAGTTTCTCGGATTCTTTTATACTATACAAACCTATTAAAATGCTATTAATTAGTCAAATCTTTCGTAATGCATCAAAATATTAGTCATTTTTACGTTATCATTAATAATTTTGTAACTCTTTTCTTAGTTAAAATACTAAAATTTTGCAATGTTGACCTTCTTGTGTCTCTATCAAGGTAGTACCATGTTGTCAAGTCAATATTACTAACAAAATTGCTAACTGAAAGTTAACATTTGGCTAATTCTTAGTATTTCGATAAGTTTAGATAATATAAAATAATATGAAAAAGATTTGGATAAAAAATAGACATTAGCTTTTTTTTTCCATGTTTGACCCACTTAGAAAAATTTCTAGCTACGCTACTGGTGGCTTATGAGCTTATCGATTTACCGGTTACAAGTTGGCTTGGTGATATTCACAAGTTTGTTAGATTATTATATATGTACCTCACAATTGAGAGAACAAATATTTATTAGGTTTTTAAGTTATAAATTATTTTATGAAGTGTTTGGATATGAGTATTTGGATTTATAATCCAAATATCATTAGAATAATTAAGTCGTAAGTAACCAAAAAATCAAAACACTGTTACTTACGTTTTTTGGGTAACTGTTCACGAATTATTTAAAGATTATATAAATACAACTAATGGAATTTTGTGCTACAGCAGCGCCTAGGGTAAACCTCTATGTACTTTTTTTTATTTTAAATACACTTGTATATCCAAAACTTTCACGGTTGTGCCAATAATATCCAAATTTCCCGAAATACCACTTATATCCAATTCTTTCACATTCTTTAACGGTGTTTTTGGATATACAAGTGTATTTAACCAAAAATATATTGGGAAATGGATAGATTTGGCAAAGAACAACTTTAAAACATGGATATAAGTGGTATTTCGGGAAATTTGGATATTATTGGCACAACCGTGAAAGTTTTGGATATACAAGTGTATTAAACTTTTTTTTTACAATATCCACTATGTACTTGCATGCGGCTAACCATATTATAAGCTCTAAATTTTCTCACCTGTTTCTTTTTTAAACCAATAGACCTTCCTGTTGATATTGCAAAGATGATAGTGGGTTTTACTGTGGTTGACCATATGTTCACTTCTCCATGGTGATACAATTCAACTCTTGAAATTTTTAATTTGAGCTCATGATTAAGGTTTGCACTCTTTCTCTTGCTATTGTTATCTGTTTTGACCGTTGTTTTGAATTTTTCATATACTCATATTTGGTCGTTGTTTTCAAATTTTCAACACATCTTGACTATTACATGAAAAAAAAAAATGCTTTTTAAATCATGAAATGACAGCTCGTATTGAGTCGTACAAATAGAGGATCACACTAAGTTATAACTACTTTTCGATCATGAATGGGGGCTTACATTAAGTTGCACAAATAGATGCTCGATGAACTTACAGGTTCATGGGGATAAAGCTCATAAATTTGAAGAACTTGATTAGTAAACCGTAACTAGCTTGATGATTCAAGAACTTGCACTTCCATAAAAATTATAGTTGAATAATCGCTCGCCAAACAAAAGATAGCATGACAAAATAGAAAAGAAAAAGATGACAGAAGATAAGCAAATGCCAGCAAACCAAATATAAATCACTCGCCGCTATTCCTTAATATAAGTTTAACGACATGTCATTTATTAGTGTTGTTTATCATCTTATCAATTTGCATTACACAAAGGTTTTATAAAAGTCAGTTAACATTTAATCAAAGAGATACTTTCCATTACTCAATAATTTATTATTAACTATTATATTCACCATCTCATTAATTTGCATTATGCGAAAGTTCCATAAGGCAAGTGAACTTTTACATAATAATTTAATAAATGTGATACTTTTATAACTTGATTTTATTATTAAACCACACATTTAGAAAAAATCTACATAACACCATTTTATAAAAATTAAAATTAAAATATATTATATAAATCTTACGAAATGATAGTTATTTCTTATATATCACTTAAACCAATCGTATTATGTAAGTCTTTTGTAATGATTATGATATTACGTATGGAGATATATTCACTTCTTATGTATAAACAAAACAAACAGATAACATAAGTCTTACATGATATAATTTTTAACAAAATTTTCTGTTATTAACTAATCTGTTGACTGTATCATAAATTTGCATTACACAAAAGCTCTTAAAGTCAATTGTTTTTAATGGTATTCTAATAAAATGTGATACTTTTTATAACTTAATTATTTTATTATTATCTGAAATTTATATTATTATTCATCTTATCAATTTGCATTACGAAAACGTTCCGTCAGGTAAGTTAACTTTTCATAATAGTTTAATTAAATATGATAATTTTTGTAACTTGATTTTATTATTAGACAACACATGATAAACTATTTACATAACATCGTTGTATAATAGTTACATAAATTACAAATACAATGCATAAAATTTTGTAGAGATAGTTATTTCTTATATATAAATTGAACAAACATATTAATCTTTCATAATTATTAAAACTCTAAGTAGAGGTGATGGAGATATATTATCCAAATTATTTGATTTCAAACTAATTTATTAAATCAAGAGATGAAGTCTCAAATATGTTTAGTCTCTTACCGCTGCGAAGCGCAGGTAAAAAAACTAGTATTATTTATTTGGATACTAAGTAAATATAGTATTTGGATTGTGCCAAAGACACAACAAGAGTTTTAAATTAATAATATGTGTATTACTTGTGCATTCAAATATATATTAAAAGACATTGATTTTTAAATTTCTCACAACATAAAAAGAACTTATATGTAAATTTCTCAATGTTGGAATAATAAACAAGCACCAAAATGTAATTTTATTATCAAAATGTTTGGACCCGTTTGTAAATATTAAAGTTTATGTACTAAATTGTAGACAAAATTTGCTAAGCTATAATTTTCAAAAATGTAAAACTTGGCCAGATAAGTCAGTATATAAGATCTTGAAATACTTAAAGTTTCAAATGAATAACCAAACAATGAATTTGAATTACATGTATGTCAAATGTAAACATTTCAAATACACATCCAAACACACCCTTAGAGTTCAGTTTAGGGGTTCAGCCTTTTAAACTCTTAAATAAGTTAAGATCGAGTTGAGCTTGTGAGCTAATTGATTAGACGAGGTTGACTAGATCTTGTGCACTCAAGCAAAGCTTGAGCTAAAGCTTTAATAAACGAACATGGCTCGAGCTTGACTCATTTTCTAAAGAGTTCAACCCGATCTATGTCAAACTCGACTCAACTTGGCTTGTTTGCTGCCTTAGATTGGTTTGTGAGGAAAGTTCTTTAACTTCCTTCAATAGATTTTTCATTGGTTTGGCTTTGATTTGGAGTGAAGAATGTGTCACAAACTCACTATCCCTTCATCTCTGTCATGGTTAGGGGTTGTCGAGGAGTCAAACTAAGCCAAGATCTTTATTGGCTAGAGATTGGCTCGATACAAAATATTTGAGTTCGAAGTTGACTCGAGTTCGAGATGAGTTTTATTAAACTCGTTTGAGCTCGACCCTTTTTTGAAAATTGTAGATCGAACTCGCTTTGGGCCCGACTCAAGCTATTCTCACTATGTGAGCTCAACAAGTCCAACATTGTGTTTGGCTTTACAAATGAGCTCAACAAGGCAAGTTGGCATATATCCAATGTACGAGAGTTAAAAATTCTATTTTTTCGCCTAATGTATTAACTTAATTTAAAAATTTAAAGAATGCAACCAAAAAATCGATAAGTCACTTGGTATATAACTTAGGACATTTCTATCATGATTTGGTCTAAACTTCAAATAAAACTTACTTGCAGCTTGCCGAATTGATCTCTATTGTTGATCAATAGAAAGGTTGGTACCCAAGTTAAACATAAAAAATGTTGAATTGCACACTAAGTCAATCGATGGCAGGCATAGGTGACCGTCTGATGCTCTAAATTGACATTCATATACAATATAAATTAAAACTACACATCTTCCTCTAATTCATGGTCCATGAATTCTTCATGCTCCATAAAACCTTTGTGATTTATGATCTCTCCAAAACCTTCATGCATCTCATTGGAATGTCCTTTATGGGCTTCAGATTGCTCCTCGGTTATTTGAACATCTTCTAGCAGTTACTTTGGCTCTTCATCATAGATGCTAGTATTGATTCTCATGGGAGGTTCTGGTTTGATTATTGATTTAATGAATTCATCAAGGCCATCGAAGGCTTGCCGCATCTCTTCATTTCTCAATATTCTTCATATGTGCAAGGACCTTCATCTGCCCTTGTGGAAGGATGTTGTCAATACACACTCATTTCTCTTTTCTTAATGCTTTTTGCTTATTGATGGGATTGTGCTTGCATCGTCCTTCGATGACTTTGGCCAATGGTATTCGAATAGAGATATGAAGTCCACCTTTCTTCGAGTGATGGTCCTTCCTTTAGGTATCACGTCCTTGTATGGATTGTTATGGCTTCCTCAATTTTGAATCCTGTAAAAAAAAAAACCAACTAGAACGTCACATTTCTCTTTTATAAAAACAAATCAAACACAAGAGGTTAATACCTTTCAAATACTTTAAAAAGTTTCTAACAACGACTCCAAAATCTTGATGATCGCAATACAACTAGGGAATTAGCCATGTCCGCAAACCATGATCCTTCAGCTTCTTTGATGATGACTTCGAGGATTTGCTCGTCTGGGAATGAATCACTGCTTTTCACCGGATCTGGAATAGCAATCGCACACCCTCCAATCGAGATAGATGATCAGCAGCTACATTTATTACCCCTTTCTTGTCTTTGATCTCAATGTTGAATTCTTAGAGTAGTAAGATCCATCGAATGAGTCTCGACTTTGCATCCGCCTTTGATAGAAGGTGTCAAAGTGCTTGATGATCTGTGAAGACTACTGTATGGATAGCACCAATATGAGCAAAATTTGTAGAAGGCGAACATAATGGCTAGTAACTCCTTCTCATGGTTTAGTTCTTTTGAGCATCATTCAAAGTCCTACTAGCATAGTCAATTGGATGGAAATGTAGTGTATTGTGATGACCCCTAAACTATATTGGTATAGTTTAGTAATTATATAGTATAGTTTAGTAATTATATTTACTTAGCAAGTCATCACTTTTAGTTCATAATATTATCACTTAAAATATCATATATTTTTAATAAATTACAATATAAGCATATTAGTCCACATATTTATAATATTACATACCATATGTTCTAGTTTGCTATTTTTTAAGGCTAATTTCACTAGGAAGCCCAAACTATCCAAGAAGTATCGTTTGTGTCCTAAACTATTCAATATGACAGAAATGCTCCAAACCAGAAGGTTTTAGGTCAGTTGTAGCCCAACTATTTCGTTGACCGTTAAGTTTAACAGTTAACTTAACGATGGTCAAATGTTTGTTTTACTATAATGACGTGGCACCTACATGTCTGCCACATAAGTTGCCACGTCATCAAAACATCATATCTTTTTATTTGTAAATTAAATTAAAAATATAAATTGTAATAATTAAAAGAAAACTGGGATCAGGATCTTTCCCCAAACTCGATCGAGAACCCCCTCATCATGCATCAATCGATAACAATTAACTGCGGGAGGCTCTTGCCTGGAGGGGGGCCTAACAAAACCCATGCCACCCCTCTACTTACCTTCTTCCCTTGTCTCCAGTTGCTGAAACCCAGCGCCATTCGAGCCCCGCCGTCCTCCTAGAAACCACCGCCAAATTAACATAAAATCCTAGATCTGCTCCACTCATGCCTCCGCCTCCTTCCTCCCCTCATGCCAACTCGTCTATCCGTTTCCTTCCCTATCCCTAAATAAATAAATCAATCAATCAAATCCCTAAAAATCTCCACCCTCGCTGCCCGGATTCGCCGTTGAAGAGTTGTCGGTCGTAGCTCCACCATCGTCAGAGCAAGCAACAATTTTGAGATTTATGCCCTAAATTCATCCGCCCGACTTCATCTTTGCTCTTGCTTGCAGTCTTGCACCACCAGTGCCTTACTCCATTCACAGGAGAAGGAAGTTTGATGATGGCGGTGACGGTTATTGTAGTGGCGGTCTTGGTAGAAATCGAGTCGATCGAGGATAATTAGTGCCAGAGATCTTCGTTGTAGCCTGAGGCAGGGGATTAAATCTCCAACCTAAATGTTCTCCCATGTTTGTGACTATGTCAAGCGAGATTGGGGATGTTTCAGATTAGGGAAGATGCGACTGGTGTCGATGGTGGTGTTGATCGAAGGTTTCCCCCTGAGTTGGGATGGGCGACAGTGATGTTGAAGACGATGATGAAAATCAGGAGAGGGGGCAGCAGTGATTTGAAGACAATGATGAAAATAGGGGGATGGGGATGAGGAAGAGAAATTAGTTTGTTTTGTGTTTTATTTACATAATAAAATATTTTCTAATCCAAGTTTTATGAAAAAATAAATAAAATTGAAATTATTTCCACGTCTGATGCCACATAGATGCTCATTAAATTTTCTGTTAAAGATTAACAATCAACATTAACGGAAAAATAGTTCGCACCATATTTATCATATTTAATAGTTTAGTACAAATGACACTTTTTGAATAGTTTGGGCTTTCTAATGGAATTATTCTTTGATTTCTCATTTTTCAATTTTGAATTTGCATAGTAACTGCAATTGGACTTTGTATTAATATTCCAAAAAACGTAACGGTGGCCAAATAAAAAAATGGCCTGCCGGAACCCAATTAGATATATACTTTTATCAGTATGAAACGGTTAAACCATAGTTTAAACACTAAATGCCTTAAGTGATAATAACTTGGACTTAGAGGTTCCAAGTTCAAACCTTAGTGACAACAAATATATGTTTATTTAGTTTTAGTTTAGTGAAACTTAGTAAATTACTATAAAAAGTTAAAATGAAAATATGGCATGGAAAATTGTGAATCTTATCCAATCATACTTGGCAAAAGGTTGCTCTAAAATAACCATAAAATAAGTAAAGAAGAACACCCCCAACCCCCTTACACCCTAAAAAACAAAAGCCTACAATAATCAGGCTACAAACGACTCCAAATAAAAGAAATAAATCGATAGGGCTTTACGTGCCACTTTATGGACAGCCTAGAAAGCGACTCAAGGAACCTAACCTACTATCGCCAGAGAAATGGAATTTGTAACCAAGCTAGTATCATGAACTGCAAGAAGATCTAACGAGCAACAAACACCATGACAGACGGTGTCAACAAGAAAATCTTCAGGGAGTCACCAGGAGGGGGAAATTGAGCGTGAGTATTCTAATATTAATTACTATCTGCAATCAAACCACAGGATGTCTTGAATCTTATGAAAGAATGAATTGAATGTAGTTGTTAATTAATAATATTTATTCATAAAGGAGCATAATTTTTCTTCTTCTTATGATTGCTAAAGAAAAAGAAAGTTTTGAATATAAATATGTCTTAAACCTGATAATTTCTTGAAAAATAATTGAAGTAGTTCTAAGTATTGTGAACACCTTGAACAGATAAATATTATTTGCGTCTCATCATTTCTATTATAAACAAATTGTACATCTAATTAATGAAAAACAATAGAATGATTTCAACTCTTTCTCAAAAAGGAAAAAAGATTATCCCTCCCTAAACAACTATACATTCATGTTCATTGAGCCTACTACCCTCATTCTCATCCTGATCAACGTTGAACACCACAACCCCTCCAAAGCGCACGTGCTTGGAACTCGAATCTGAAGGTGTGCGCAATATTGGCTCGTTCACTTCTACATCATTAGGCTTCACATTAGCTTCTGCATCGGAGGGAGGTTGCAACAATGATGGCTCTTTCAAGGAGGATCGTCGTGATGATCGCGGTGGCTTCTCATATTTAGGATTACGATATATCCTTTGTTTCAAACGTATGTACAAGTAAGTAATGAACCAAAAGAGCCATGGCATGCTTACCAGCCCTATTCCTGCCAGGGGATACCAATATCGCACCCGATGAGGAGGCAAGAAGAGATACATCCCTAGGAAAATTCCTCCCAAGATTATGCACACAAATAACACAATCGTGATGAAGCATATCACAAGATCTTCTTGCTTTTTCCCCATGGTTCAAATGTACAACGTGTCCATTAGAGTTGAAGAAATTCTACGAACATTTGTAAGGTAGAGGAGAAGGAGGATGGTTTTGAAATTTGGTTATAGATGTGTTATGCGTAATGGTCGGCATGGCGAATGAGCGCACTTATTTTCCTTTTTAACGTACGTACTTTATTTTTCTGTTGGTCAGGGTATCGATACATAGATAGGCTATACTTGTAGAATGTGTAATCTAATACGGTGAGAAAACAATGCTATTTATATATTTTATTGAAATGTTTTTAGAAACATAAAATATACACCTTATGTGAATCCATCATCTAAAAAGCATGTGCGAGATCTATAGGCTATAAGGAATAATTCAACCACAATTTTTTGAGTGAAAATGGAGCAGTGCATATAAGAGTGACCTCTTGAAAATCACTTGCATCCAAAAGCAAAATCGTGTGAGACTAGACCCAAAGAAACCATATCCCAGGCCAAAAAAGGGTTGAGATGTTATAAGTGGCATCATACCCTCTCTGCGTCACTCTTGAATCAGGTTGGGGCAAACCTCAACAAGGATGTTGATTTCCAAACTACACATCGACAAAACATGTGAGAGATACATGGGCTTTACAGAATAATGAAACCTTAAATGACAAGACAAGTATTCTGGTGAAATGAAGGAGCTTTTGTAACAACTCTCAAATCAAACTTGTTTAGGGGGAGTAGTGCAGAGATGTATGACCGATTGAGAAGTTATCATAATGCACCCAATAACAAAATCATACGGGGTTAGACCCAAAACAAACACTGTTTTGATAAGGAAAAGGACCGAGATGTTACAAAAAAATATCATTGTTGACATTTCAAAAAGTTTCAAACATTTTAATTAGCAATCCCCAACAGGCTTATTTGTTCCCTTCTCCTCAACTAAAATAAAATTTCTACATCTCTCTAAATTGACTATCTTACCTTGACCCTCTTTCACAATCCTCCATAGTTGTCACAAGATTAGTATCATTGCCACCTACCAAGAGCCCCCATCCTCGTATGTGTTTCTACCTATATTGTTCTCCTTTTTATCCAATTCGGCTATCCTTCTAATAGGCCAGAAAGTGAGGACTTCCTCACGCTATCGTGATGTGGGCCTGTCTGGGAAAATCAATCTTAACGGTTAGTGTGGAGTGGCTCTAGGAAGGGCTTCAGTGATTGGAGGAGTTGGTTTTAGCCATGTGAATCCAAGCCATCTGATACACAGGGTCCACATGAGAGGGTTTTGGCGAGGGAGCTGAAAATTTTAACTAGTGAGAGAAAGAGACATTTAATGCCCTAACGCACCCACCAACCTTTTCTCTCCCAATCTTTCTCATCCTCTCTTTCTTTTTGTCTCCCATGAAATAACTCTACTCATCTCTTACCTCCATCATGCAACTTGGAGCATCGAAGAAGAAAACTCTTATTTGACTGAATGAGGATCATGAAAGAAGAATACCCTATATTTTGTTGTTGAGATCTGGACCGATTCTTGTCCAATAACTTTTAAATGGAAAAAATGGGAGAGAAGACCCAGATCGACTCAACATTCCAACTTTTGTTGATCCACTAACCAATGTTATAGATAAGGATCTTATTGACACCATCATAAATGTTGATGGCAAAGAAATATGAGATGTTTTGAATGGTTTGGAAGAGATTAGGGCGATTGTTGGTGAAAGTGAAAATGATATGTTACTAAAATTTAAAAATGCTTCACTTTTATATGTTTGTGTTGTTGGGATTGGTTGGGGAGTATTGAATGCCTTGTAATACCTATTTATCCTTTATTGTTTGTTGTTGTGAGAGGTGGCTATAATGGTTGACAGATGCACGAATACTTGTATGTCGTTTGTTATGATACTATACTATTATGAAAAATGATCGCGTGTTAGTACATGTAGCGTATGCAAATTTACCTGATTCGGAAAAGGGTCACTCAAAACCACTTACTCAGGTGGTGAGGGACGAGTTTTATGGTGGTTTAAAAAGAATGCGGAGGTTCAAGTGGATCTGTGGTTAAAGTTTCCCTTGATTTTACAAAACAAAAGAATGAAATTAAATCTAAACTGTTGGTTGGTGAAGGAACCATGAGGGTGAGGCGTTGCATAGGTAAGCTCCCACTAGGGTTCCTTTGAATTGCAACCTTAATCTTGACATCATATGAGCTTCTTGAACATTGATATGTTTATTCCTACCATGGCAAAGGCCAGTTTTAATAGGCAACGATAATGGGCCCTACAGATGTCTCTTGTGAGGATAAATCAAACAGAAAGGATAGATGAAATGATTCTCTAGGTTTGGCAAACCTACGCAACTAATGAGTTAGCTGACCATGAGGATAGGTTTTTGGTGGAACATTAGTTAAAATGAGATCCCCAGAAAGCCCTCCAAATCGCGGCCAAAACAAAGAATCGGCAATTAATCCACTATATTAACCAAATCAACGAGTTTACATGGCTAGAGCCCCTAGGCTTCACGTACCTATGAAACTAATAAACTTATCCAACCATGGGTAGGGTATCATGGGCGTTCATCGATGAAAACGAAGACTCGATGAGACTATAAGACTCGACTGCCAGAGTAGACAAAAGGGGCCCGACGCTGTCGATTTTGCCGCCGATTCTCCCTCGAAAGTGGTGTCGCTCTAATCCAGGAGGGTTGCTGTAACACCCTAACTCGTATGTTACTATTATTATTTTATTAAATTTTAGATTTCACTATGGTCATGGACTCCTTTTGTCAAGGATACAGGCTAACAAGACCCCCTCCTCAAATGACACAACTATTTGAGGAGATAACAGTTCACGGTTATGATTGGGGAAGCACTAGAAGAGAGCAAAACTCAAGTAAGAAGGGCATTCATTCGATGAAATCTTGTTCTCCACTTGAGGAAAAGATTGATGACTTGATCAAGATAGTAACATCGAGATAATGCCTCAAGTAGTCGACCAAAGGCTCAAGTTCATCTTTGTGATTGGTGCCAAAGTCCTAATCATGCTCTTGACGATTACCAAGCGATAACGGAGGTGACCACGCCCCAAGAAAAAGTGGATTTCATTGCAAATGCTAAGGGAGGTAATAATACCTATAAAAATACACAAAATTCGAGGTGGCACCAACATCTCAACTTTTCATGGGCATCACCTTCCAACACAAGACCTCCTGGTTTCCAAGCACCAATGGGAGGGTTTCCACAACAACCAAGCCCACATTTTCAACAAAAAAGGCATCCTTACCAACCCCAAATATTCCAACCTCAAGCATTCCAACAACAAGGCGGACAAGGCCTCCAGCAACAATAACTACAACTAGACAAGCTTTCCAAGCTTGAGGACCTTGTCAACGCCTATGTGAACACAAGCATAAATAAGTTTGAGGAAATAGACAAAGTCATGGAGGTGGCCACGGTTAAACGGCGACTGATTCAGAGTGCGGACGAGGGATAAACGAAGCATTGAACATAGGAGAACATGCTCGGCAGTAAAAACACGGGCAGACTACCCTAAAAGCACGACCGTGTTTTATCTGGCCCCCGCTAGTGTTTTTACCGCCGAGGGCATGTCGTGAGGGCTGCTGGGGGCAAAACACGGGTGGGCAAAATTAAAACACGACCGTGTCCTTGATCGTTTTTGCCCAGAATCGGGTTTTTGAGGCAGATTCAAGCCAAAGGAAATTTTGGTTCCCAAACACCCAAGGGGCGAACCCTAGAGAAGAGAGACTGCAGAAATCTGATCTAGATCTTCAATCTCCATCTTCAAGCTTGATTCCCGAGCTCCAAAGGTGAAGAAATCCTCCAAAATAGCTCCGAGAATGTTCCCAAGTTGCTCTCTCTCTCTCTAGGGTTCTTCTAACGGGGAAGAAGGAATGGAAGTAGAGGAGGTTGATTTGTCTCTTGTGCTGCTGCTGAAAGAGGAATTTTTCAGAAATCCTTTCTCAGTTATTATTACAGCTATTGTCAATAACGCTTACCATGGTCAGGTGAAAATGGATAACTCTTTACGGTAGTTAGTTAATTTTAAACTTTGCTTTGTTGGGCAGGCCTGGGGTGGCTCCACTAATACGATTTTTTCTTCTACAAGGTCCAATAAGATGACTTATTGTGGTTTTAGTAGGAGGTGTTAAGCATAGTTACTAAAATACGGTGTGTGAAAGTTAAGTATATATCAAGTCATCAAATTCCTCCACACTTAACCGTTTGCTTGTCCCCAAGCAAACCAAGTCTGATACAAGGTAAGCTCATCATATTTCAATCATACCAATATTGGGGACAATTAATATAGGCACAGAACACGTGAATCGTACTGGCTTTTGATCATTGCGAAATGGACAACTCAACAGCAACCTAGACAACCACCACAGAGGACATTCGAGTGCAGCAAAATCGGGTAAAGGAAGAGGAATCCTTTCTGTTCACCAACCAACATAGACTTGACTCAACCACTTGACCAAGAAAGTCATCGCATGCATCAAACTCAAGACATCAGAATCAAGACCGAGCCATCTAGGTCCACACCGGGGTAACAGAGTATAGAGAATACGAGAAAATGAATCGCTCACTCTCGACCAATGGGGTCATGACAATTTGATTCAAAAAATGTGCATGCTTATTCTCTCAATCCCTAACGTCTCTTCAACATGAAGGCAGCCTCTAAATGTTAGAGTTCACATATGGGGTGTCACCACTAACTAATCTGTAGGTCTTAGACACAAGTTCAGATGATTGGCTAGGGTCTTGGACATGGGGAAAAGGCCTTTTAGGTGGTGGAAGTATTCGTAGCATAAGGTTCCACAATTCCAAACGCAACACAATCACAGTCACTCAAACCACTTACTTTCTTCCTGCCATTCTGCATTACTCAAATTCTTTAGAGCACAAGAGCGAAGGAGGTCACATAAATGTTAGTATTTCCAAGCCAGGATGCTAAGAAACACTACTTAATGGGCACTATTCAGATTTTGTGGTAGTGGCTCTCTTTTGCTTTCATTCATTTTTTTTCTTTTTTTTTTCCCATTTCTTGAGAGAACCACCACCTATGCACATTTTTCAAACACATGCCCAACTTTTTTTTTTAAGAACTACCTCCAACCCTCACATTATATTTAGAAGAAACAGCAAAGAACATGCAAAAACCACTATGTGGAACCTTCTAAGAGATGCAAAAGGGTGATTTTCCATTGTAGACCGAAAGAAAGAATGGAAGTAGAGGAGGTTGATTTGTCTCTTGTGCTGCTGCTGAAAGAGGAATTTTTCAGAAATCCTTTCTCAGTTATTATTACAGCTGTTGTCAATAACGCTTACCATGGTCAGGTGAAAATGGATAACTCTTTACGGTAGTTAGTTAATTTTAAACTTCGCTTTGTTGGGCGGGTCTGGGGTAGCTGTCCACTAACACGATTTTTTCTTCTAAAAGTCCACTAAGATGACTTATTGTGGTTTTAGTAGGAGGTGGTAAGCATAGTTACTAAAATACGGTGTGTGAAAGTTAAGTATATATCAAGTCATCAAATTCCCCCACACTTAACCGTTTGCTTGTCCCCAAGCAAACCAAGTCAGATACAAGGTAAGCTCAACATATTTCAATCATACCAACATTGGGGACAATTCATATAGGCACAGAACACGTGAATCATACTGGCTTTTGATCATTGCGAAATGGAAAACTCAACAGCAACCTAGACAACCACCACAGAGAACATTCGAGTGCAGCAAAATCGGGTAAAGGAAGAGGAATCCTTTCTGTTCACCAACCAACATAGACTTGACTCAACCACTTGACCAAGACAGTCATCGCATGCATCAAACTCAAGACATCATAATCAAGACCGAGCTATTTAGGTCCTCACCGGGGTAAGAGAGTATAGAGAATATGAGAAAATGAATCGCTCACATTATATTTAGCAGAAACAACAGAAAACATGCAAAAACCACTCTGTGGAACCTTCTATGAGATGCAAAAGGTTAATTTTCCATTGTAGACCTGAAAGAAAGAATGGAAGTAGAGGAGGTTGATTTGTCCCTTGTGCTGCTGCTGAAAGAGGAATTTTTCAGAAATCCTTTCTCAGTTATTATTACAGCTGTTGTCAATAATGCTTACCATGGTCAGGTGAAAATGGATAAGTCTTTACGGTAGTTAGTTAATTTTATACTTCGCTTTGTTGGGCGGGCCTGGGGTGGTTGTCCACTTAAGTGGACATGTTCCACTAACACGATTTTTTCTTCTACAAGGTCCACTAAGATGACTTATTGTGGTTTTAGTAGGAGGTGGTAAGCATAGTTACTAAAATACGGTGTGTGAAAGTTAAGTATATATCAAGTCATCAAATTCCTCCACACTTAACCGCTTGCTTGTTCCCAAGCAAACCAAGTCAGAAACAAGGTAAGCTCAACATATTTCAATCATACCAACATTGGGGACAATTCATATAGGCACAGAACACGTGAATCGTACTGGCTTTTGATCATTGCGAAATGCACAACTCAACATCAACCTAGACAACCACCACAGAGGACATTCGAGTGCAGCAAAATTGGGTAAAGGAAGAGGAATCCTTTCTGTTCACCAACCAACACAGACTTGACTCAACCACTTGAGCACGACAGTCTTTGCATGCATCAAACTCAAGACATCATAATCAAGACCGAGCCATCTAGGTCCTCACCGGGGTAAGAGAGTATAGAGAATATGAG